GCGCGACAAGCACATGTGTGTTCGCAGGTAACAGTTTACATTTTATTTGTATAAAATAAGGTCAGTCCTTTTTCATTGACTCGCAAGCGAAACGGCGCCGCAATTTATTTATTTATTTCCCCGTGCGGCGGACGAGGGGCAGCGACAAAAAACCGAAACGAAACTTTTCCTGTGCTCGTCCTTCCACCTTTTTGTGCTGCGAGAGCGTCGTTAAAATTTATCATTGCAGCGCTGCTTCCGCTTTGGACGCCACCTTCGGTTATATAAAATGATAAAAAGCGAGCTCGGCGATTATTGTCGTCGTGCGCCTAATGCACGGGTTTCCAAGCCAAGGTAGACCGATTTGAATATTTGTGGAAAAAACGTGCGAATCTGCAAGAGGAAAGTCGCACGCCGCGCGGCAAAAGAATATAATGAAATTATCCATTGCGTTTGTGTATAATTTCATGTTCACCGCGAGTGATGCAAAAAAAGCAAACAAACGCAGAGAGAGCTGCGCTCAAGCTCATTAATTAAATGCGTTATCACAGACCTTGGTCTTCTCAGCGTATATTGCGCAAAATTTTTGTAACATTTTACGTGGTTTTCGGCAAATATTGAATTAAATTTTGAACAAAAAATGTCCTGCTAAAAATTATTTTCTTGCAATTTATTTATTACTTTTAAATATTTTTAGTTATACGAGAATGAATGAAAGGGAGTTTTTTTTTGAAAAATATTTGTAACAAAAAATAAATGGAAAAAAATTGTGTGCCAGATAAAATCAAAATTTTTTCCGGAAAAAAAAATGATTTTTGCTGAATTTTATGCCAATAGGGGAAGTGCGCAGCCCTGGCGCTAGAGCGTTGGTGGCTGTCTTTCGAACTTTTTGCACTTTGTCAGAAATGCGGATCCCGGTGACTAAAACGAGTATAGCTAACTGAATACGTCATGGATACCTTAGGGGCAGTAACTGGTGGTGGCCGATGAAACCTGTGAGAGTTTACAGTTGTTGCATCGCACCGCGGTGGAGCGTGGGGATGTCGAAAAGCAGCCAAATGTTGGGCAGATCGGCTTCTGCCGGAGTGCCTCGCAGGCGCATGCGTCAGCGACTTACGGCGTTGGCCGAAAGTGTGGTTTTGCTACTGGTGCTAGCTTCACTGAACTGAACCAGCTGGCTGAAGAAAATGAAAACAGCGACCGGCGACGCGACCGCTCATTTTTAGAGTGTGACTCAACTTTCCCGTCATTTTTCACGAGTAAGTTTACACCAGCACTGCATGGTCTTTACGCTTAAAAGCCAAATCGAATCGCCGACCCGGCTAGAGTCGACAAAAAGCGACAAACGAGAAATGGTTCGTGTACACGAGGCACACATTAATATTCGCAACGCAAAGACTCAGCCAGAGGGTGAACGGGCGGAATAAGGCGCAAGCAAAGATTATTTCTTGGTGTTCCGATTTTGAATTGTGAGCTACAAACCCATTCTTACACTTTCTCGTTGCATATTTTGTCGTGGTTTTACTTGCGATTCTGCTGATCTCATCAAACAAACTTTTTATCACCCGTCGCCATTCGCCATGTGGTTGCCTTAATATGCATACATAAACAGAATGGTGCAATTTATTTTTATAAAAAAGAATAAGCGCGTGATTATAATTGAGTTAATATGTGTTGTATTAATTAAACTTGAAGGGGGTCAAATGTAAAATGTACATATTGTCTTTTGCGATTAAAGTTTATCTTCATTAAAAGTTAGTTCCTCATTCTCGATTTCTTCTTTCAGGCCTCCGCACGAGAGCGATTTAATTGTGTGACGACTGTGCACATGAGTGTTGGACCAGAAGTTATGTTCCTGCCAGCAAAGAGTATCGGACATAAGAGAAGGCTGCTGCAATGCACTCGTCCTTGATCTTACTAACTGTCGGTAAGATAAATTTGCCCCGAGTGAAGCCCTTTCGACTCTCGCAGCCTACCATCCAACTACCTCTGCCCACCCAATCCAACCAGTATGTTTATGGAATAAAAATTTGATATCTTGAACAAATCTCTGAATCCATCCTTCAACTTTTGACAATAAAATTTTTTGTACAAAGTCTCTTGATGTGCCCTTCGCCTTTAAACACTGGTTTGAATTTTGGCACGTAAAGTCGGTGTTTCTTTTTTTTTAACTGTGAATTTCTTTTTCCAGGCTGACTGCAGTGGATGGGCGCCCCAGTGGTTTTTGCAATTGATTTGCCAAAAATTGAATTTCTCGGATGAAAGAAAGTCGGAAAGAGCACTCGTCCCAAAATTTCGAGCCGCTCCGTGCCAGGCGGCGCTCCACTCATCCTCGGCAAGTCGACTGTGTCTCACATTGGGTAATTAACTAACTCACTCCCTGCCTCACCCCTTCCAACTCTGCTCCCCAACCGCCGTGCCAAGCATTATTAAACTAATCAAAATTTCTTTGACCAAAAATCCCTTGATGCTCCCATCGTATTTTACCACTGCTTTCAATTTTGGCACGTAAAGTCGGTGTTTCTTTTTTTTAACTGTGAATTTCTTTTTCCAGGCTGACTGCAGTGGATGGGCGCCCCAGTGGTTTTTGCAATTGATTTGCCAAAAATTGAATTTCTCGGATGAAAGAAAGTCGGAAAGAGCACTCGTCCCAAAATTTCGAGCCGCTCCGTGCCAGGCGGCGCTCCACTCATCCTCGGCAAGTCGACTGTGTCTCACATTGGGTAATTAACTAACTCACTCCCTGCCTCACCCCTTCCAACTCTGCTCCCCAACCGCCGTGCCAAGCATTATTAAACTAATCAAAATTTCTTTGACCAAAAATCCCTTGATGCTCCCATCGTATTTTACCACTGCTTTCAATTTTGGCACGTAAAGTCGGTGTTTCTTTTTTTTAACTGTGAATTTCTTTTTCCAGGCTGACTGCAGTGGATGGGCGCCCCAGTGGTTTTTGCAATTGATTTGCCAAAAATTGAATTTCTCGGATGAAAGAAAGTCGGAAAGAGCACTCGTCCCAAAATTTCGAGCCGCTCTGTGCCAGGCGGCGCTCCACTCATCCTCGGCAAGTCGACTGTGTCTCACATTGGGTAATTAACTAACTCACTCCCTGCCTCACCCCTTCCAACTCTGCTCCCCAACCGCCGTGCCAAGCATTATTAAACTAATCAAAATTTCTTTGACCAAAAATCCCTTGATGCTCCCTTCGTATTTTACCACTGCTTTCAATTTTGGCACGTAAAGTCGGTGTTTCTTTTTTTTAACTGTGAATTTCTTTTTCCAGGCTGACTGCAGTGGATGGGCGCCCCAGTGGTTTTTGCAATTGATTTGCCAAAAATTGAATTTCTCGGATGAAAGAAAGTCGGAAAGAGCACTCGTCCCAAAATTTCGAGCCGCTCTGTGCCAGGCGGCGCTCCACTCATCCTCGGCAAGTCGACTGTGTCTCACATTGGGTAATTAACTAACTCACTCCCTGCCTCACCCCTTCCAACTCTGCTCCCCAACCGCTGTGCCAAGCATTATTAAACTAATCAAAATTTCTTTGACCAAAAATCCCTTGATGCTCCCTTCGTATTTTACCACTGCTTTCAATTTTGGCACGTAAAGACGGTGTTTCTTTTTTTTAACTGTGAATTTCTTTTTCCAGGCTGACTGCAGTGGATGGGCGCCCCAGTGGTTTTTGCAATTGATTTGCCAAAAATTGAATTTCTCGGATGAAAGAAAGTCGGAAAGAGACCTCGTCCCAAAATTCGAGCCGCTCCGTGCCAGGCGGCGCTCCACTCATCCTCGGCAAGTCGACTGTGTCTCACATTGGGTAATTAACTAACTCACTCCCTGCCTCACCCCTTCCAACTCTGCTCCCCAACCGCTGTGCCAAGCATTATTAAACTAATCAAAATTTCTTTGACCAAAAATCCCTTGATGCTCCCTTCGTATTTTGCCACTGGTTTCAATTTTGGCAAGTAAAGTCGGTGTTTCTTTTTTTTAACTGTGAATTTCTTTTTCCAGGCTGACTGCAGTGGATGGGCGCCCCAGTGGTTTTTGCAATTGATTTGCCAAAAATTGAAATTCTCGGATGAAAGAAAGTCGGAAAGAGCACTCGTCCCAAAATTTCGAGCCGCTCCGTGCCAGGCGGCGCTCCACTCATCCTCGGCAAGTCGACTGTGTCTCACATTGGGACTCACTCCCTGCCTCACCCCTTCCAACTCTGCTCCCCAACCGCTGTGCCAAGTATTATTAAACAAATTAAAATTTTTTTGGCCAAAATTCCCTTGATGCTCCCTCCGTCTTTTTGGACGCCTCACATGTTCATATAAGATTTTTGCTCAAAATTAATTTTCATTGGTTAAACAAGTTGGACTGAGCATTTGTTTGTTTTTGAAGCTAGTGTTTATAAATAAATTTCAGCAAGAAAAGTATTAATCCTTTTTGGTTTATTGTTTTTTATTTGATAAATTTCATAACATATTATTTATTTGAATTATTGTTCAGTATAAATATCTTCAACTATGATCGAAACATATCCTAAGGTTTGACTAGATAACCTGTGCCTGTGAAATTCGCCAATGTGGCACAGCAGATCCAAATCCTGTCAATCATTGGCATGAGAGTGATTGGGATTGTGTTATCCAGAATGTGAAATTCTTTTATTTTTCTAATTGCCCTTTCGACATGAACCCTAATTTCAGCAATTCTCTCACTGTTCCTTAATTCTTCAGAACTGAAACGCTCCTTATTCTTCAAGAAATCGGGGATCAGGACTTCCACTCCCTTTTTTTCGAGAACTTTTGCAATATCGAAGCCTCGATCAGCCATCACAATGTCACCTGTTCTCAGTTTTTCCATGATCCCGCAGTGCTGGAAAAGCTTTTTGTCTGATGTTCGGCCAGCATAGACACGTGATACAAAAGTAATGGTTCCATTTGTATCAATTGCCACAAGCATTTTTCCAGTGACGTGGTTCTTGTAAGAAGAGAAAATTTCCTTTTGTGCCTGAGATGCACTTGGTCTCTCGGTGTAGATCTCTGTGGCATCTACGATAGTAATTATCTTCTTCAGCCTATCCTTTAATGGGTTCGGGATGAGCATTGGGTTGCTTGGTGCTTCTGGTGTCCAGAATTCAATTTGAGAGAGTCTATCAGCCATTAATAGGAGCCATGTGTTTATGATACGGGATGTGCGCCCCGGGCTGATTCCAAAAAGGTGCCCTAGGTGTTTTACTTCATAGCCTCTACGCAGACGGATCATGGTCATGAAGAACTCGTCAGTCTTCGTCATTTTAGGAACCCTAAATTTACCAAGATCTTTATCTGAATCGTGCGTTTTCGCTTTGCTGCCTAGATAATTCATGGTATTTGCATCTTCAATAAAGAACTGGTAGAAGCAGTAAAAAACATCGTAATCTCTGAAGCCGGTGTAAAACTTGATAGCGTCGGTATCTTCAACAAAACGGAGGATACCGAAGCTTGATTCTAGTTTCTTCTTCATAAGAAGTCTTGATTTCAACAGCAATCCGTCAGCCTTCCTTCTTAAAGCAGACGTAGTTTGTGTAGGAGTGTCAAAATCGTCTTCTTGCAGCTGCGAGGCTTCACTGGAGGAATCGCTTTGGTAATTTTCTTCTTCGTCTTCTTTGCTCATTTCTATTTCTCCGCTTCTTAACAGGATGGATTCTGTGAGAAAAAAATATAAAAAAATTAGTAAATTTTAAAAACAAAATGCTTCTAATTCACCATCAAATGCATAAGTTTCTTTGTTTTGCATATTTGAGCTCAAATCAATCGTAGAATCGAAATTGAGTTTTCTTTTTCTGGGAACTACAGCCGGTGTGCACAGGAGGTTTGAATCTTGAACTTGGTGAGCCAAATCTACACAAAATCATTAAATACATAATTTGAGCATATGCACACAAAAATATTTTTTTCTTTACCATTTTCTGGAGTTCCAAATAATGTGAATGGAGGTGCTGGTGCAGGACTGCTGGTACAAAGCTGCTCTCCTTGTGAACTGCTGGTCGAGTCATCATTAGCACACAACGTCACAAAATCATCATTTTCATTAAGCTAAAGTCAAATTTATTAGTTTTCTTTTTTAAGTATATAATATGGTAAAAATACTATAACACAGATACGTGAGGACAATGGAGACATAGTAATAAATTATATTTTAGATTTACCTTTAAATTGCAAGAGCTCAGAAGTTGATTTACAGATTCTGTGTTGTTTTCTTCAGAGCATATTTGCAAATTAATTTCTTCTGAGCTGCTCTGTTGGACTTCACTAAATGATTCCAAAATCTGCATATGTTGGGAATGACGGCCCATGTCCTCTTCACATGGCCAAGATCTGGCCTCTGCATGATTTGGTTTTGGCAGAGGAGAGTCTTCCACCTTTTCAAAGCCCTGCGTCTGGTGGTTGGTACTGCCACTCACATCATTCTTTAGTTGGATGCAACCGGAGAACGCTTGAGGGACAGCGTCATCCTTGAGAAAAACTCTGTTGCCACTTCTGACAAAGTCCTCTTCTAAGAAATGATCGCTGCAAACAATCAAATTGCCAACATGAAGGACCATAAAGCCAGCATCCTTCACAGCTTTCGACCACAAAGATTTCTTTCTTTTTGTAGTTGCTCTGTGAAATGTGAGTCCACTGCAAATCCGTGAGTCTTGGAGACAAAGGCCGCACACTGAGTAACCCATGCTGAAGGAATTGGCAGAAATCAGAACATGAATAAAAACAAAAGTAGTGCACACTTACTCAATCCTATAATACAGGATAATCTAGAATTTGCAGCGGCTTGCGCCTCAAAATGTGTTTGTGAGTAACGCGCAGTTAATCATAACTGGAATGCGGAAACCAACAAGAGCAAGGCTGTTTCACAAAAGAGACAGGAACATACACAGACATTCCTTTGCCCTTCTTGCACAGACACTACTACTTCAAGAGAGCAAGAAAATCAATCAAAACTTCTGAACTATGCGCATCAAGAAGAAACGCGTTGATGCGCATGATTTAAAGTGGGCGGATAACGGCGCTGATTTTTAAAAATACTTATCCCATCATAGTCTTGTATGTATCTGAGCTGTGAGCACGTGGATCGTTCTGTAATGCAACTTACACAATACCTAAGAACCAAGAATGCGTTGCTGGAAGTGCTCGACTGAAATCACAGAAGAACATCTAGAGTGCGAATTATGTCCAGAAGCAATACATGAAGCTTGTTTGGACACGGAAGAAGCTGAAATTGTTCAATTGGAAGGCTTTTGGAGATGTTACTGCTGTACGGAAACTGTTGAAAAGTTTCAATCGGACCCCTCTGCTGCTGGTATGTAATTTTTCTTGAATATTATTGATTTTTAGAGTGCATACAATTTTTCAGCTCTGCAGACTATCTGGGACAGGATTGTTCCCAATGATAACTGGGGTGTTAATTTTCCCGTCGAAATTAATATTTCCCAAGAAGACATTGGAAATTCATATGAAAAATCCAGCAGACATCACAGAGAGGGATTCACTCTGTTCATGGAAGGACATGTAACCACATTGCAAACCTGCCTGCAAAATAAAACAGCATGGTTCAAGGCAGTAGTTGAAGCAACTCAGAAAACAAAACTAGGCTATAATGCATTTGTAGCATACAAACTTTATCCTGCAAATGAAGGCCGTCGAAGTAAGCGTATTTGGGGCTTATGCAACTGCCCTGCTGGCACTGATGGAATGTGCAAGCATTCCATTGCTCTTCAATACAAAATTTGGAGCTGTGCACAATTAGGGACAGAGGTTCTCGATGGCGATTTTGACACTCCAACTCCAACTGGTATTTTGAAAGATTCTTATAAAATAAAATTGTTAACAAATATTTCCCCATAGGCAAACTCCAACTATGGCATGCTATGAAGCCTACGAACGATGAGCCTCTGCTATTTTCAGAGATCAACTTTGTCAGGCATGACGAAAGCCGAGCCGGGAGATTTGTCCAGCCTCTTGGTGCAGAAATTGCTAGACACCAACTACTCCCTTCTGGACGTGCTACTTTACCATCTTCGAGGGTCATGGATCTTGCCTCAAGTTTACGGCGTGTTGGATTTGACCCTCCCGTTCTGAAAAACCTTGAAGCCAATGAGTACAAAACAAAAGCAAGCAGAATTTTAAGCAATGAGCAATCACAAGAAGTCCTGGTGGACAAACTGTTTGAGATAATGGAGAAAGCTAGTTACTCAAAAAGTATCGTTCCAAATAATGAGTACGAGCTAACATTTTTGAGAGACTTCATTTTAGTTGATTGGCCAAAGAGTAGAGAGATTGAGAGAAACACACGTTTCCAGAGTCAAAGCAAGCACTGGTACAAGGCTAGGCTCCACAGAATCACAGCGACTCAGGTTCACAGCCTCGCTAGTGAAAATGCTAGAACAGATGCATGGAAGAGGTTTGCGGGCAAAAGAAAGTTCTTCACCAGCTCCTCTGTCCAACATGGTATTCGTTTTGAAGAAGAGGCATTCCACAAGTTCCTCAATGTTGCAAACGACCGAGACTCACTGAAAATAGAAGCCCACTCATCCATTGGCCTTCTCGTCCATCCAAATTTCTCCTTTACAGGTGCCTCTCCTGACAGACTAATTTCCATCGACGGCGAGCTTTTCTTGGTTGAAATCAAATGTCCCTACAATCCCTTCATTCGTAAGAAGTCACTTAAACTGAAATTCAAAGATAAAGACTTTTACATTAATCTTGATAAGAATGGAAAGCCCTTTTTGAAAGAGAATCATCCATACTACAGTCAAATTCAAGCACAACTACTGATCTCAAATATTGAAAAAGCATTCCTTGTGCTTTTTGTTCCACCCATAGACATTGAATACTTTGTGATTTACAGAAATCATTCTTTCATCAACAGAAAGATGGATGTATTACATAAAGTGTACCAAGAAAACTTGCTTCCTCAATTTGTACAGGAAGTGTATCGCATCCAGCAATAAGAATAAAATTTTTCATTTGATGAACAAAACAAAATTATTGTGATTAGACTCATTTATTAGATGTTTCACAGGACCAGGTTAACTGGTCAAACCTTAGAATCTGTTTCACGGTTGAAGATATTTATACGGTACAAGAAATCAAATAAATAATATGTTATGAAATTTATCAAATAAAAAACAATAAACCAAAAAGGATTAATACTTTTCTTGCTGAAATTTATTTATAAACACTAGCTTCAAAAACAAACAAATGCTCAGTCCAACTTGTTTAACCAATGAAAATTAATTTTGAGCAAAAATCTTATATGAACATGTGAGGCGTCCAAAAAGACGGAGGGAGCATCAAGGGAATTTTGGCCAAAAAAATTTTAATTTGTTTAATAATACTTGGCACAGCGGTTGGGGAGCAGAGTTGGAAGGGGTGAGGCAGGGAGTGAGTCCCAATGTGAGACACAGTCGACTTGCCGAGGATGAGTGGAGCGCCGCCTGGCACGGAGCGGCTCGAAATTTTGGGACGAGGTCTCTTTCCGACTTTCTTTCATCCGAGAAATTCAATTTTTGGCAAATCAATTGCAAAAACCACTGGGGCGCCCATCCTCTGCAGTCAGCCTGGAAAAAGAAATTCACAGTTAAAAAAAAGAAACACCGACTTTACTTGCCAAAATTGAAACCAGTGGCAAAATACGAAGGGAGCATCAAGGGATTTTTGGTCAAAGAAATTTTGATTAGTTTAATAATGCTTGGCACAGCGGTTGGGGAGCAGAGTTGGAAGGGGTGAGGCAGGGAGTGAGTTAGTTAATTACCCAATGTGAGACACAGTCGACTTGCCGAGGATGAGTGGAGCGCCGCCTGGCACAGAGCGGCTCGAAATTTTGGGACGAGTGCTCTTTCCGACTTTCTTTCATCCGAGAAATTCAATTTTTGGCAAATCAATTGCAAAAACCACTGGGGCGCCCATCCACTGCAGTCAGCCTGGAAAAAGAAATTCACAGTTAAAAAAAAGAAACACCGACTTTACGTGCCAAAATTGAAAGCAGTGGTAAAATACGAAGGGAGCATCAAGGGATTTTTGGTCAAAGAAATTTTGATTAGTTTAATAATGCTTGGCACGGCGGTTGGGGAGCAGAGTTGGAAGGGGTGAGGCAGGGAGTGAGTTAGTTAATTACCCAATGTGAGACACAGTCGACTTGCCGAGGATGAGTGGAGCGCCGCCTGGCACGGAGCGGCTCGAAATTTTGGGACGAGTGCTCTTTCCGACTTTCTTTCATCCGAGAAATTCAATTTTTGGCAAATCAATTGCAAAAACCACTGGGGCGCCCATCCACTGCAGTCAGCCTGGAAAAAGAAATTCACAGTTAAAAAAAAGAAACACCGTCTTTACGTGCCAAAATTGAAAGCAGTGGTAAAATACGAAGGGAGCATCAAGGGATTTTTGGTCAAAGAAATTTTGATTAGTTTAATAATGCTTGGCACAGCGGTTGGGGAGCAGAGTTGGAAGGGGTGAGGCAGGGAGTGAGTTAGTTAATTACCCAATGTGAGACACAGTCGACTTGCCGAGGATGAGTGGAGCGCCGCCTGGCACAGAGCGGCTCGAAATTTTGGGACGAGTGCTCTTTCCGACTTTCTTTCATCCGAGAAATTCAATTTTTGGCAAATCAATTGCAAAAACCACTGGGGCGCCCATCCACTGCAGTCAGCCTGGAAAAAGAAATTCACAGTTAAAAAAAAGAAACACCGACTTTACGTGCCAAAATTGAAAGCAGTGGTAAAATACGATGGGAGCATCAAGGGATTTTTGGTCAAAGAAATTTTGATTAGTTTAATAATGCTTGGCACGGCGGTTGGGGAGCAGAGTTGGAAGGGGTGAGGCAGGGAGTGAGTTAGTTAATTACCCAATGTGAGACACAGTCGACTTGCCGAGGATGAGTGGAGCGCCGCCTGGCACGGAGCGGCTCGAAATTTTGGGACGAGTGCTCTTTCCGACTTTCTTTCATCCGAGAAATTCAATTTTTGGCAAATCAATTGCAAAAACCACTGGGGCGCCCATCCACTGCAGTCAGCCTGGAAAAAGAAATTCACAGTTAAAAAAAAGAAACACCGTCTTTACGTGCCAAAATTGAAAGCAGTGGTAAAATACGAAGGGAGCATCAAGGGATTTTTGGTCAAAGAAATTTTGATTAGTTTAATAATGCTTGGCACAGCGGTTGGGGAGCAGAGTTGGAAGGGGTGAGGCAGGGAGTGAGTTAGTTAATTACCCAATGTGAGACACAGTCGACTTGCCGAGGATGAGTGGAGCGCCGCCTGGCACAGAGCGGCTCGAAATTTTGGGACGAGTGCTCTTTCCGACTTTCTTTCATCCGAGAAATTCAATTTTTGGCAAATCAATTGCAAAAACCACTGGGGCGCCCATCCACTGCAGTCAGCCTGGAAAAAGAAATTCACAGTTAAAAAAAAGAAACACCGACTTTACGTGCCAAAATTGAAAGCAGTGGTAAAATACGATGGGAGCATCAAGGGATTTTTGGTCAAAGAAATTTTGATTAGTTTAATAATGCTTGGCACGGCGGTTGGGGAGCAGAGTTGGAAGGGGTGAGGCAGGGAGTGAGTTAGTTAATTACCCAATGTGAGACACAGTCGACTTGCCGAGGATGAGTGGAGCGCCGCCTGGCACGGAGCGGCTCGAAATTTTGGGACGAGTGCTCTTTCCGACTTTCTTTCATCCGAGAAATTCAATTTTTGGCAAATCAATTGCAAAAACCACTGGGGCGCCCATCCACTGCAGTCAGCCTGGAAAAAGAAATTCACAGTTAAAAAAAAAGAAACACCGACTTTACGTGCCAAAATTCAAACCAGTGTTTAAAGGCGAAGGGCACATCAAGAGACTTTGTACAAAAAATTTTATTGTCAAAAGTTGAAGGATGGATTCAGAGATTTGTTCAAGATATCAAATTTTTATTCCATAAACATACTGGTTGGATTGGGTGGGCAGAGGTAGTTGGATGGTAGGCTGCGAGAGTCGAAAGGGCTTCACTCGGGGCAAATTTATCTTACCGACAGTTAGTAAGATCAAGGACGAGTGCATTGCAGCAGCCTTCTCTTATGTCCGATACTCTTTGCTGGCAGGAACATAACTTCTGGTCCAACACTCATGTGCACAGTCGTCACACAATTAAATCGCTCTCGTGCGGAGGCCTGAAAGAAGAAATCGAGAATGAGGAACTAACTTTTAATGAAGATAAACTTTAATCGCAAAAGACAATATGTACATTTTACATTTGACCCCCTTCAAGTTTAATTAATACAACACATATTAACTCAATTATAATCACGCGCTTATTCTTTTTTATTAAAGTAAATTGCACCATTCTGTTTATGTATGCATATTAAGGCAACCACATGGCGAATGGCGACGGGTGATAAAAAGTTTGTTTGATGAGATCAGCAGAATCGCAAGTAAAACCACGACAAAATATGCAACGAGAAAGTGTAAGAATGGGTTTGTAGCTCACAATTCAAAATCGGAACACCAAGAAATAATCTTTGCTTGCGCCTTATTCCGCCCGTTCACCCTCTGGCTGAGTCTTTGCGTTGCGAATATTAATGTGTGCCTCGTGTACACGAACCATTTCTCGTTTGTCGCTTTTTGTCGACTCTAGCCGGGTCGGCGATTCGATTTGGCTTTTAAGCGTAAAGACCATGCAGTGCTGGTGTAAACTTACTCGTGAAAAATGACGGGAAAGTTGAGTCACACTCTAAAAATGAGCGGTCGCGTCGCCGGTCGCTGTTTTCATTTTCTTCAGCCAGCTGGTTCAGTTCAGTGAAGCTAGCACCAGTAGCAAAACCACACTTTCGGCCAACGCCGTAAGTCGCTGACGCATGCGCCTGCGAGGCACTCCGGCAGAAGCCGATCTGCCCAACATTTGGCTGCTTTTCGACATCCCCACGCTCCACCGCGGTGCGATGCAACAACTGTAAACTCTCACAGGTTTCATCGGCCACCACCAGTTACTGCCCCTAAGGTATCCATGACGTATTCAGTTAGCTATACTCGTTTTAGTCACCGGGATCCGCATTTCTGACAAAGTGCAAAAAGTTCGAAAGACAGCCACCAACGCTCTAGCGCCAGGGCTGCGCACTTCCCCTATTGGAAATTTTACTCTCTCAGCAAAAAAAGGGTTGAGCCGAGAGAAGAACACTCTGGTTTATTGGCGATCCGTCCTTATCTTCCCAACAGAATATCGGCTCGGAAAAATTTCACTCCATTTTCTCTGGAGACACAGAGAGAAATGTAATTTTCGTCCCATGTCAGTTGGGTCGATGTCGCCGATATAGGAAGACATCGTTTTTCTTCTTCTCAATTTGCGCATTTTTCGAGCAGCAACAGCGCGACTTCTGGGTTGCAGCACCGATTGACCTGGAATGAAATAAAACGAGTCGCCCACGAGCGAGTTTTGTCAGCTTGTCAACGGCTGAAGGTCGCCGCCCGCCTTTCAGCCTTTTTGCACAAAGGACTTTCGTGTTATTTTTGCGGATCCAACCCTTTTAGGGTCCTCCTCTGTGCCCAGAGAGCAATCGCGCGTACGAAAATATTATTTCACGCAAAGATGCGATTAAAAATAAAATGAACTTTTCGGTGGCGTGGCGGCTCGTTGGAGCGGAATATTCGTAAAAATTCAGCCCAGCAGGCCTTGAAAGGCGAAAAGCGCATCACCAGACGAGCGACCGAAGTCGCTGCGAAAGTGATTTTGCTGCACGTTTTATTCATAAACATTCATGCACGGTGAAGAGGAAAAATGGCTGCGCCCGTGTAAATGGAGTTGTGATTAATATTACTAAACAAGCAGCAGCGTTGAGTCATACCGCAGGTATCATGATAACGTAAAAATGCACCAAAGGCTTCTTTTCCCGGCCGTCCGATGCGCAAAATCAGTGAAAGCTTTTTTATGCCCAGCACGATCGTCGCAGCCAGAAATTTGTTTAAAAATAAAAAATATTAACTTTTCATCAATTCCATTATTCGTCTATAAGCACAATTGTTATTCCTTTGTGCTCTTTGGTGCACGAATCATTCACAGCGTGCTTGCTGGCTCATTCTGAATTCAACTTTTTGCAAAGACACACTTTGCATTTCAATAATGGTGATTGGCAAGAGAGCACCAGAAGGGTAAAAAGACAATCGCCATATTGCGTACAAAACGTGCGGTGGAAGGCAAAAGGCAAAACAAACGGGAAGGGTAAAAAAAGATGAGCGAAAAATAAAACGTGCACGAGTGACTTCCCAATAGCTATGAGAAGCCACGAATATGTTTTCAAAGCACTCTCGGTTCTCATCCAACATTTTCTAGTTGACTGGTTGGAATAATATTTTATACAAAAATAATATAAAATTCCCTTTACATCAATCACCAATGAAAAACTTTAAATTCAGTAGTATTCTCAATTTCACTTACTCAGAGTAATTAAAATTATCATTATTTTCAAATCCTGATCATTTGAGGCAAATTGAGGAAATTTAAATTCCAATATTGTTATTTAATAAAAATGTGCTTTTTAACAAAGGGATTGAATAAGTCATTGTCACATTATGTTCGTTCTGGACTTTGGTGACGAAAACACGGACAGCAACCGTACAGTGGCAAATCGATATGTCGCTCTCCAAACCATAAACTTTGCTTTTAAACTTGGGCGGCGTGGAAAATGCGCTCGTCTCGCTTGTGACAGCAGCGTCGAGCTTTTCCAGACACAACAATTGCTGCTTTTAGTGGAAAGACGGAGAAAAATCCGTCGCTCTCCCGCTTAAAATCCAATTTACTGCCTGCGAGAGAATTCTTTTTGAAGATAATCTCTCTCCGTTCTCGGCGGCCTCGCAAGGATGAGGAGAGAGTAAAACAAAGTACAGTGTCACTGCTGAGAAAATTCCTCTGAAGAAGGGAAGAAACAAATGGTCCAAATTGCGTCTCCCAGCACGTGTGAAACAGAAGCGGCTGCTCGAGAAAAACCAGCAGCATCCGACAACAGATGCGCGCCGCCTAAATATTTCATTTCCTAACCGACTCGTTCTTTGCCCAGCTTGAGTTTTCGGAGCGTAAACCAAAAAATATGGAGCGGCGAATGCATTATTCAGCCGCACGAAAACTGGGATAAATGCGAAAACAAAGAGCCTCCTGCGTAAGTTTAATGCTAATTTATATCCAGAAGCCATTATATAAAGGCTTAATTAGTTGCGTTTGCTGGCGCGGAAGCCTCGCCGCTCAAAGGAAGGCTTTCGGTTAGTTTGGCAAAGTTCGTTACAATTTTTGCATGGGACGAGCGAGCCACTGCGGTGATATTCCATCACTTTAAAGCAGAGTGAACTGAACCAGCCTCTAACTTTTCAGAGGGAATATTTTTAGTGAATTTTTTTTAAAAGGTAAAATTTGATTAAATTTAGATAAATAAACAGCTACACCAGTTTTGGTCACATTTTTTTAATAATTCTGCAGCGAATTTATGTTTTTATCAACATTGAAACTGATTAAAAAAAAATTTCCCAACATACTGTTTTGAGCCACCAAAGTATAAAAGTGGCAGCTTTTCGCATATTTGTCTAATACTCGTCAGCAAGTTTCTAAAGAATTGTAAAGAGCGAGACTTTACTTTAAAGCTTTGCTGGGTTTTCTTGTTCTCTCTCCTTCTTGCTTCAAATCCTCTCTCGCCCCTTGAACTTTCAAAGACGAAATAAGCACCCCCGCAGACAGTGTGAGGAATGAAGCGCAGGTAAAAATAATATTTCTGGCACCGAGGAAAGCTCAACGGCGCAATGATGAGTCTGACAAAAATGTGCTCTCCTTGAAGCCCCTGGAAAAAATTTTGAGCAAATTTGTCTATCCTGATAAATCCTCCGTTTTTCAGCAAGTACGTTGCCAAAACCACCCTCTGGGGAACAATTTGATATTCCGGGCGTGCACTTGAAAGGCAAGCAAAAGGTCCGTCTGGACAAAGCTCCGACCAGCGCTTTTCCACTCTCCGCCGGCTTTTTACTCTGCAGTTTTGTTTCGTGCCCGCCGGCCGCAAATCACCCAATTTCCCAACTGCTGGTCCGTTTTCCTCTGTCTATTTATCTCGACCACGGACGGAAAAAAAATAATCTTTACAAAGCGCTCCAAATTAGATTTGTCCCAAAAACGGCTCAGTACATGACAGAATGACAATTTTATCTGCAATCTTTAATAAAAAGTCTTATGAGGAATTTTCTTTTTGTGTTTGACTTTACAATTAAAAGCTCAAGAATAAAGAAAAGTAACTTGAATTATTTCCATCTCTGGCAAGTACATTACGTAAGTTTGTTTAGGTTTTACAGAACACAATGAAAGAGATAAAAGATTAAAATATTGAGAAATTTATGATGATTGTAAACAATATTCTAGCATTTTTGATGAAATGAAATCTGGCTTCCTGGGTGATGATGAGCAACTTTATTGTTTAGGCATGATAAAGAAAATCTCTTTTCCGAGAGAAATTTACAATGTTTGTTAAAATTTAACATGCTGGATATAATTTATTCATTCAAGAATCTGTTCTCGTAAGATTTGATAATTCGCTTCTTTCTAGCGGTTTTGATTTAAAATTTGATAATTTTTTTTGCCTTTTTTAAAGAACAAAATTGTGCTTTTCATGTGCTTCCAACCACTTTAATTCGTAAACGGCTGAAGCTAGGTAACGTTTGCTGCTAACGTGGAGGAAATTTCGTGTCGGCCGTGCTCGCTACGAGGCGCGGCACCGCTTTTAATTAGCGCGAATTAGAGCTTTGGGCCCGGAGGTACGCAAGTTGCGCCGGGGCGAAAAAGCAAAAACACGAATTTTCACTTTAATTAAAACTGGAAATTGTGGCTTGGAGCAGGCGACTTTTTTCCGTTCGCGCCGAGACTAAACAGTGCGCTGCTCTGTCGGCTGACAAAGTGCCCCGTCTCTGGGAGATAAAGAGCCCTCAAGAAGGGCCACGAGAGAAAAACTCGCGGGTACAAAGCTTGGCCGCGAGTAACCCATTTCTCTTATCTCGCGAGCAGCACTTCTTGGTGCAGCCACATGAAATATAAACTCCTCCAATAATCCAACATCGATTTTCGTTTGCTGCCAAGTCTATTAATCGACCGCCGAGAAAAGTTGACAAACGTCGAGGGAATACCGAAAATTGGGCGAAAACGGGCTCCTGCTGAGCCTATTCATTATTAAACAACTTTTTCATAGTTTTTTTTTTTTATCTCTTGTCACCGATAACGAGGCTTGCTGTGTCGAGAAGAGCGTGAGAAGCGCAGTGATAAAAGAATGAAAAAGCAAATAACGCCCCCCGACGAATAAAAAACATTGTGGGCAGCCAAAGGAATTAACAAACGTCGGGCTGGCGTTGCGTAACGAACGAAAAATTAATTCCATTGTCGATCGGTGTAATTTTCGTAAATAATGCGGTTCTCCGGCTCGCCAAATTGAAATGCGATCGCGCTGGGAGCAGAATCAGGAATCGGTCTCGAAAATTGTAGGCCAGCCGATCCACTCGGATGCGCAAGCGTCTTTCGTTTCCTCCAACAACCTGAAACCCTGAGACTGCAGCACACTGACGCAGCCGACCCAAACAATAACGTCTATAACAACTTCAAAGTTCATCATACGTTGTAGGAATCACGAGGAAGCAGAGAGAAAATTACTCCATTATCAGCAAAATTTATAAAAAAAAATACCCGTTTGCAATAAAATTGGTGTGGACGATTTCTATCTTTCTTGGCCAAGATTAAATTGATTCAATAACTGCAATTACAAAAAAAATCTAAGAAGAAACAAATTATTTTATACAAGCTGTCTTTTCAAAAACACAAAAAGATTAGTAACAAAATTTATGATTCACCAAACTAATAAATTTCTTTGCATTTTATTAATTTTCTACTAAAAGTTTTCTTATAATTAAAATTTTTGATCTTCTGAAATTAATAAATAATCTGCTGGCATAAAAAAGAATATAAAATTCTGAATTATCAATTAAATTTTTGCATTTTTTCCCCTTTCAATTATGTTCTTTCGCACATTTCATAGGAATATTTATTTGTCTTGGATGAAACCTGTATCATTGAAGTGTAATTACAAAGTCAAGAAAGTGTACACTTAAGAGAAGGTTTTCATCTTTCATTGAGGCCGTTCGGAAACACCCCCGCTCATCGCTTGAATGAGATTTATGCGGCCGTTCTTATATTTTTTCTTATGGGCCCGAGAAATAATTATAAAAGTGGTCGTCGCAAGGTTGCTTGACCCGCGAAGGGAATCTGTGAGGTAACGAGCGCGCCAGAGACTGTTCCTTTCACCGTCGTTTTGATCAGGTGAGCAAGATGCATGTAAAAAAAGAATCATAAGCAATAGAATGTAAAATGCATCTCGGCGCACCTGCCGCTCAGCCTGAGAATCACCCCCGAGGCTGCCATAGTCCACCCCCTCAGAGAACAAGAATAGACATCCGCACCGCAACATTATATGATTTTCTCCCTCCGTTTCGGGGATGAAAAGAGAGAACGCCCAGATATCAAATTCTTTCTTGTGTTGCAATCCTGGTCAAGGGAGAAGGAAGAATTTCAAAAAATGAATCACGATGCCGAATTCCGCTCAATTCAGTTTTCTTCTTACAAAAGTTAATTTTTTTTTTTATAAAAAACTTCGTTTTTTTTTAACTTGTAAAATTAATATTGCAAAATGAAATCATTTTGCTTCATTTTGCTCCGAATAAATAAATTTTTAATTTAAAAAAAGAAGAAATTTAAAAATTTTTTCATGATCTTTTCTTGCTTGCTTTCTCATTTGTAATCAATGATCAATTGTAATCAATGATTTTTGATAAAAACTAATAAATTGATAAAAATTAAAACTAATTTTTCCTTGAGGTCTTTCTTTTGTTCTTGTCAATAAAAAAATCACGTTTGACTCGATCGTGGTTGTCATTGTAGTTTAATTAGCCCGTCTAACAATGAGAGTAAAAGCAGATTCGCACAGTCACGAAAACTCTTTCCTTTTTTTTCATTTCGCTTCGTTTCGAGCTCACGTGACCGAATTACTGTCGCGAAATAATCCTCAGCTCGTGACTTTTGGTTAATGCTCTTGGGTGCGCTTTTCAACTCTGGCCCACATCCTTTCTTCACACTTTTCGAGAAATCTAGCGTCTCGTCAGACCCACGAAATTTCCTCCGCTGCGATTCAAAACCCCACGCTGATTTCGAAGGTCGATTATTAGAGACGAGTCTCGCGACGAAAGCGGCAAAAAGTAAAGCATGACGAGCGGACGACAAGGTCACCGAACGAAAACATTGTCTGCGAACTGTGCTTCCTTTTGGAAAAAATTAAATTAATTTTTAATTATAAAAATTTTGTTTAAAAATAAAATTGATATTTTTATTTTATTTGTATTTTCTATTTTTTGAAATTGTATAGTTTTGCACGGCTGTGGCGTTTAATAAATAATAATAATGCATACATTATTATTATAATTTTTAATAGATTTTCCAAAAATTGCTTTTTTTAAATATAAAAATTAAAAAAAAAATCTTTTAATTTCACTAATAATCAAAATGTGCATAATAATTCTTTTTACCGTAAAAGGTAAATTGTTTCGAATATGCAGACAAAACAAACGTGCCATCCAACGGCCGTTCCGGTTTGCCGTCAGTAGGAAGGAAGGGGCGCGCGAATACATGAGCGAATGCGGGCCAGGTGCTAGAGGGTGGTAGGGGGGTGGTTCCGATCCACCAACCGACTTTTCGCCTCCGCTGTTTTCAAATTTCAAACTCCCACTACTTGTCTTCTAGTTTTTGATAAGGAAAATTTACCCTTAGTAATTTCCTATCAAAATTTTTAGGTAAATATTTTTTTAAATTTTTTTTTTTATATATATATAATTTAATTTAAAAAAAAAAATTTAATAATTTACCTTTCCAGTGGCTTTCCGGTATCTGAGGGTGGCCTGTCGCATCAGGTCTCGAACGAGCATGTCGCCGTGTCCGCACGGCACGACCACTCGGACGCCGCCAAAACAGACCGTCACCTTCATTTTTGTTAAATTTTTTTACTGGAAAATGGGCACTGTGTTATTGTTGATGCACTCGAAGGTCTCTCTCTTCTCTCTCAGCGGTGCCGTTGATCGGGGCCTCGCATCTCGTCCGCGCGGCGCCGACTCGATTTTTGTCTCTAGTCAAACGCGGTAACTCATTCTGGACGCCCGTCGGACGGCGCGAAGGGACACGTCCACTTTTCCCTCGCTGTCACTACGACGACCGATGCAAAAACACTTGGCTTGCAACAACGGCTGTGCTGCATGCTCCACTCAAACCAACCGAGTTCGCTCCGGCGGTGAGCGCGAGCGAGCGAATACCTTTGCTCCCCCACCCCCCGCGAGGGCCGATTCCAACGGAGGCACACATCGTGCCATCTTTCGGACGGAGCTTGCAATAATTTGGAAATGGACATGAATTTAAAATATATTTGGCGCACGAACCGGCACAAAATTCCCATGCAGAGATCTAATTTTTGTTAAGAATTGTTCAAATTATTTTGGTTTATATGAATTTAAAAATATATATATATATAGAAATTGAAAATATAATAATCACTTATTTTACAAAATTCATTACAAAAGTTTATTAAACGAACGGTAATTAAACAGACTTTTATCGTCACTACAAACGTTATTTTACTTTTTTGAGGATTTGCATTTTGATTTATTTCTCATTGTTTTTGTTGTATCAAAATTAAGCCAGAGTCGACAAACTTCTTTAAAATTATTGTGCATAAAATCATCCTTTATTTTTTATTTTAGAAAATTTTGTAAGAACAGCAAAAAATTAAATAATGGCAATTGAGAGCCTTTCAGTTTGCTCCATTTTAACATTTCTCTCTCACTGCAAGGAAACTTTTAACAACAACCGTGTACTATACTTGCACTTATACACAATCAAAAAACTTTAATTCATAGAACTCTTTATGTTTTTCCAATATTTTTTCATTTGATCTTGTCAATTTCATTAGTGCAATAATTGTGATTTATATATTGAACAAAAATTCGTCCCGAAATGAGATATAATACTTAGCAGCATGCTTTTGGTCACAAATTAGGAAAGTTAAGCGGGCGTGTTTTAAGACATGCCGAGGATGGTGTGTCCAGCGCAAAACACAGGCTCTCAAATATCAGCAACCAAAGGAGCAGCTTCTGGCTGCAAGCAATGAACGAAAACCATTATGAGAATGATAATCAAGGCTCCTCAAAAAATAAATATCTGTAGTAAGTGACTTTTTTTGTAAATTAGCAGGGGAAATTCTCTGGTTGTGAATTTTTATTAATTTCATCTCCATTAATATTTTCCTCAACGTGTCCTTTTGTTCTACATTATTTTGACAACAAACATGTTCCACTCATCACGATTCATAATTAATCAAGTGTGCCAGGATGAAAGCATGAAGACGTTCTGAGAACTTGACTTTTATAAGGGTTGCTTTCAAATTGTAAGGCACTGCCCATACAGAATTGTTTATGCTGGCAATGTGACATAATTCTTTTCCGAGTCGTTCTCGTTCCACGCAGGCAAGCAACACTTATTTAAATTTTTGTAACAAAAATTCCAATCATCTTCAGACAAAAGATTTGGATTAGCTGTATTATGGGTGAATTTCATTACAAATATTACAAACTAGCAATTATATATTTAAAAAACAGCATCAGCCTATTTACACATTTCATTACTCCACAAGAGACTAAAATTGAAATTCTGAGTAGTTGGAAAGCCCTAAAATCTTCTTAAAAGGTAAGAGTAATACTCTTATTTTGGCAAAATCAAATTTCATTTTAATGACCAGGTTTGTAGCAAAATTTGATTCGCAACGAAGGAACAGAACAGAAAAATTCATTTTATTGCAACTAATATTTATGAGTCTTGGAAAAGTAAATTCCCTCTGTTGCTGAGTGGTAGAAATCATTTAACTAGCTGGTCATGTAAGAGTCATTGGATAAGTTGCAGGGATCGGAAAAGACAAGTAGAAGTAGTGACTATGTTTCACTTATTCACCTTGGCCGCATCAGGCTGATTTTGGTATCGGGGCTTGCTGTGGGTGAACGGCAGATAACGATACTTGATCATGTGCTGCAAAAAGGAAATTGATTTTAATAATTCAATTCACTTCGATGAACCTGCTGCTGTTACCTTGATCTGCCTCTTCATCGTGATGCAGAAAAGGGTGATGAAGTACATGACCAGGATGGGCCAGAACACGGGGATGTTGAAGCAGTCAAACATGGTGCACACCATAGCGATGAGCGTCGACTTGCTCACCGAGTACCAGAACTTGAACTCGGGTAGCCGTCTAATAAAAGGTCGAAACTCCTCATTGTTACTAGTTGGGAGCTCTGGACCATCATCTACAAAATATAAGGATATGAAAATTACGTATAAAATAGAATTTAATGAGGTAAAAAAATTACCATCATAGTCTGACATGGCAGGATCTATTTTTGGTGATAAGAATGCTATGAACAGGTTGAGGTGATATATTCCCAGCGCATATGTCACGATATACCAGCCCTGGGAAAAATAAAAAATTAAGAAAATCAATTGCAGGTCATATACATATTAAATATTACAGTATTAAAAATGCAATATCTTTTGTGCAAACTTAAATAATATTTTGCATAAATATGATGCAGAGATTACGGAATCACACTTTTTATTTCATGCTGTATATATATTTTCTTTAAATCTGCGAGTGATATTTTGATTATTTGTAATAAAATACATGTGTATTATTATAAATTATTATGAGCACAGAACACTTAAAATAAAGGTAGGAAAACAAAATGCTTTGTTAGTACCTGCAACCAAAATACTCTAGCGAGGAATAGGAGAATTAGTATGATGGCAAAAATCCATCTTGCATTCGTATAAGGAGTAACATCGTCCAATTTTTTCTGGTACATCTGCCAACACAGAAACAAAACAAAGGGTCACACATCATGTAATACCTGGCATATTATGACTCTGAAAATTAATGTGAATAAAAGGGCTCCTGTTGCAGCCCAACGCACTCTGACGTGCGGTGTCCACTCATCCAAAAGTAGCTGATACAGCTAGAAAAATTAGTACATAATATATATGATTTCATTGGATGACTCATTTTGTGTTCACTTCACATCACAGTTTTGCTATACTTTTGTTTGACGAGGAAAGTTAAATTTTAATTAACTTACCTGTTGAAGTCTTTTCCACGCCAAAACGATCGTGTTTGGCCCCGATCCCCCATCTGCCGGTTCTTGCAACATCTTGCCTTGGCCAAATTTATTCAACTGAAGAAAAAAAACATGAAATATTTAATAAAAAATTTAATGGACAACTGTAAAAGTGGGAGTGTCTTTAAGAAGGACCAGGGTGCATTTACATAGGAATTATATTTTCTCGCGTTTTATCAGCCATTTGTGTTCTTTATCGACTTGCTGTTGCGAAAGTCGAAGTCAATGCTTCTTGATTAGCTCCTCAATCGAAAATGGAGCGCAGCTTTAAAGGCATACGGTACAAAAATCGAACTCCAGTAGGCTCTTTTCCTCAAGGGTCTTTGAATGGAAAACAGCACTTCTTTGTAACAGGTCATTTCGCTCCGTTTAAATATAAGAAATTTATAAAAGTGAATTCCGTATGCTCACCTTCTTAGTCCAGAAAACTTGTTGCACCGTTTGGTGTCCAAATAAATTCTCAAATACACTTTCCTTCACGTAAATTGAAAATCATCCACGTCAGTGAGACCATGATCAACACTAGCAAAAGGCAAAATTAAAGATGCAGTTCTGACGGCCTCCGCTCAAACAAAGCGCCACGCTCGAACCATACCCGCGCGAAAGACGCATGGATAATATAGCACCACATTCTTTCCAGATCGGCTTAGGATTTTTAATCCTTTTATGGTTGAAAATGAGGCAAATGACCAATCTTATTGTTATATCAAAATTTTTGTTACATTCTATACTTAATTGGAAACAACCTGTTACGTCTTGTTGACGTAAATAGTGTAAATAAATATTTTAATATTTGGATACAAACTAAATCAAATAGCAATAAAATATTCAAAATATTATAGCATCATCTTCATTTTTCCTTGAAGATGGAGTTTATTGATGAAAACATTGAGCCCAAATTTTCTGTCGATCTTGCTGAGCACAGCAGTTTCTGACAAAATAAGTAGCTCTTTTGGTCAATTTTTAGTTCCAAACAATATATCAATATATTTTGTTACAGATTCGTTTCAGTTTAGAACAATTTAATTCATTAAAGAATGAGAATTATTTAATCTTTATGTACGAAAAAAATACATAACTGAATATTCAGAGCGACTTTGAATACAGCAAACGTTAACATCAGTCAACTCTTGTCATTTGAAGGTCAAACAAGGCAGGATTCTCAGTTTCAGACCAAAGAATTTTAGAAGTCAGCAGGACTTGCCCAATTTCCACCTTATTTTTGAGTTGTTTGTACTTACGGGCATCTACGTCACTTTTGCCCCACCACTCTCTAAGATCCACTGATTCCCCCAGAGTTCCGAAGTCAATGAGACGCAAAATGTGGAAGAAACGTGTATGTCCCATGATTTCGGCTCTATACCAACGCCCATCATGAAAGTTTTGAGCCACACAACGTAAACCGCGCTCTGCTCCAATGATAGGATTGAGCCCTGGAGCTTGGGGCTGAAGTCTCTCAGTTCTTCTTTCAGCCTTCGTCTTTCGGCTCACCCAAACAGCTCCATCTGTGTCCCTAATAATTTAAGAAGTGATATATTAATTTTCCTTTATTGGGTAATTTTAATTTTTATCCTTTTATACTTACTTGTGAACAACTTCCACTTTAATCAAATGCCCTGCAGCCTCCAGAGCATTCTGGCCATCCACCCACAGCCCGTGCAAGACTCCGTTGAGAATAAGAGCTTCAGCTCGTTGACCAGAGGTCAAGACTTTCTGCAGTTTGTAGGTGCACTTTGCAGTGATTTCATCTTCAGTTAGCTCATAAGGCTTTGCAAGTGGCTCAACCATCCTCAGGAAAGAACTCAAGGGCATGATGGTCAGAATTTGATCTTCTTTACGTCCAGAGTCCAGCAGAGTTGTTTCAAGGGGCTGCACACTAGTAACTCGGCCTCTGAACCAGCCTTCCTTTAGTTGGACTGCGTAGACTTCGCCCAAACCTGGTTTTGAGATGGGAATTTGCGGTGTTAGGCTCTGCAAACGCTCACACATCTCTTCAAATATTTGAGGCTCCGTGATGAGCCAAACAGTGCATGGTGGCTGAAAGCTTCCAATAGCCACTTTCTTTTGTTGGACAATGTTGGTTTCTGCATGTGGCTCAACTGCTTGTTCCTATAATTGTTTTAGTGATTTCCATTTGTATATAAATATTTTGGGTTTTGAATTAAATTATATATACAATACCTCTTCCGAAGAAAAACGGATGATCTCATTCTTGTCGTCTGAAAGGGCCACAAGTACTTTGGAGCCTTCTGAAAGTCCCCGCATGTCATTAGGGATCAGACAAAGCTTTGCTGCAGGTTCTTCAATTTTGAGGTGTTCAGGTAGGTGGCAGACCCTCCCCAGTAAGCCTCTGTGTCCATAGTCCAAAAATAGAGCTTTGCCATCTGGAAGCACCTCTGCACGAAGCCAACGGCCGTTGTCTTGAGACAAGTATACACCTCCAACATGAAGTGAATTATCAACAGGTCGAAAAGGTTTGAGGTCATTGATTTCAGCTTCCAGCCTAGAAAGCCAGTTTTTTCTGGAGTCAAGTTGAACAAATGCCATGGTAGAAGACTGCACATGAGTGACAGTGGCTTGAAGTGCCTTCTCACTGCTTTTTCTTCCTGCTTCTCTGGGTTTGCTATTGCACAGGTTTGTCAAACCTGTTACGTTAGCAAATGATGCTGCCAAAGATCTGCAAAAATATTTTTTTATCTTATTAATTTTGAACTATCCTCCATTATCAGGAAACAAAATGTAACATTTTCATTTATGATATGGATATTTATTCACATAAAAAGGTAATCCCACATAAACCAAATCAAATATTACTTTTTTGAGGAAATTGTTGGGCTGCTGTCTTTGAGTGTTTCAAAAAAATCAGAATCTCTGCAACAAGCAACTACAGGTTGCCCTCCCCTGGTTTCAATGACTTTGACTTGGATGAATTCCTGACGAGGCCAAATTTGTTCCCCCTCGGCCACAATACATGGAACAGCAAAAGCTGGTTGAATCATGAAGTGTTCAGGCAAAGGCTGCAGCGACTCCAAGGGCACCTCCTAAAAGATAATATTATTTCAGGCACTGCCTAATGCCATATTTTAGGAATGCATTGCCTTTGTGATGCCATGATCAATAAAAAGAACGGTTGCTGAGTTAAACATCATTTTCTTCACTATTGCTCGACGATGAAATGGAATTTCAAAGACTACAATATAGTCATTATCCCTGATGCTAGCAGCTTGTCCACACCCCACTGCAGATTTCAATTGCTCCTCCAAAAATTTCAGTTCTTCGTCCCTAAAATGATTTTTTTTTTCAGTATAGTCATGGGCTTTAATAATTAAATTAAAGCAATAACACAAACCTGTTTTTGAGCTGCAGGGAAATTCTCCTGCCCCATGGACCAACCAGCCTTGCCTCATATTCTTGCCCTTTGAATAATTGTATATCTTTCACAACCACGTAGGTTTTCTTCAAGATTTCAAAAGGAGGAGAGCCCAGTAAGCAGTTTACCACAGTTCCATCAGCTTAAATTATGATATAACACATTGTTAATTTTGATTTTAAATTCCATTTTCATAATAAACAAGGATATAACGCTATATATATAGTCACCTTTGGTGATGATTGTACTGAATTTTTTCAGATCTCCAAAATCAGACACAAAAATTGCTTCAACACGACGTAGATTTTTCAAAGCTTCAGTTTCCTTATGTGACCAGATTTGGCGATGCACGCCTCGCAAGGTGCAGCAAATTGCTTTTGGTGGGACAGCAGCATCCTCATGATCTAGACGATGTAGGGCCCACTTAGAGATGGTTTGCAATTTTCCAGTGTCCACAAGAAACACTTCAATGGTATGTCCCAAATAAGGAGAAGCGACAATGGCACGTTGCCATTGACCATCTACAAATGCCACAAAAGCTTTGTTTTTCCATAATTTGGGAAATTCTTCTTTGGGCCTTTTTCCATACCTGGAAATTAATTGAATGAATGGAAATTTGTATAATATATTCACCCCAATATATAAAATTAAAACTCACTTGGCTTCCAGCTGCTTTTGAAACTCATCTGATTCTTCTGGAGCCACATAAAAATTTCCTGGATCATCAATGTGGGTGATGTAGCAGCAGATTGTGGAGCCATTCAACTGTTTCAAATTTTGTTTTGCAAACACAGCCTGGATCGGGGCTTGCCAGCTATCAAGCACGGACTTTGAAGCTACCGACGAGCTCGTAGGAGAAACGAGAGATTTCCTGGTGCTGGTGTTGCTCACATTTTGAGGCTCCCAACTATGGGGAGTTTGCAGTGATGATGAGGAAAAGACACTGGAAAAATAATTTTAGGTGACAATTAAGTGTGCCAAAAGCTGTGAAATATGTAGGATTAAAATTTCTAACCTTGATATGCCTGACCTGGCTGGTGAGGGAGGTCTTACTGGAAAATTAGCAGTTTTCAATTTGTGGTCATGAATCATCTCGGGCAATCCAGTGTTATATTGAGTTTCCACAGTACCAAAAGAATTGTAACCCTTAGAAAACTTTTGGTTGTAATTTGGACCGTCTATGAAAATAACCAAAAATTTGGCACTGAAGCTTAATCAATATTATTATATTCCACTTACTGTGTGAGGTGAATGTATCTGAATCTGATTGAAGAGCCTCATCAGAAGTGGAATATTTGAAATGTGAGTTTGTATTCATCTGAGCTGCCTGCTGTTCCTTCCTCAGTATCTCTTTTTCAACTTGCGCAGAAAATTACAATTACAATATTTAACGCTATAACTGCTTACTTGATGCAAAGAACTTTTCCACATGGGGAAGTGGGTCTGCTATGCCTGCATTGACGACCAGTTCACGAAATTGGAAGTCTTGCTTCTTGTAGCAATTTGTAAGATACTGAGCAACATCCTTTTTGGATCCATTATATGGCATCAGCAGTTGTACCAATCGGGTCTTTCTAATGTGACCCAGGATCACCATTTCAAACTGAAAATTTGATATTAAATTTGATCAAGTCAACAATATATGAATATGAGAAATATAGAGCAGCTAATTTTAAGTTTTATTTATAATCAAGAAATTTTGCTGCAACTTCTGCAATAAGAAAAGTTAAAAAATAAGATAAGTTGTTGCTCGTCATTTTCAAAAATATTTTAAATTGTTCAGTTATCATATAATTTATAGATATTGGGGATGCAGCGGAGGAATTCTTCTAGCTTACTTTAATATTGCCCAGTCTGGCTCAGTCCATGAATTTCAATCCGTCACTGACACTATTTTTACATTGTTATGATTTGTGATCATTCAAAAATCCACTGATGGATCTAATATTTTACTTAACTTTTGTCAAGAAGTAAAACACTAAAATTGTGCAATTACACTAAGATAAAAAATTATTGAAGAAAAGTATGTTTTTTTTTTAAATATATGATAATTGTGCAAATAACTATTATTTACTAATTTTTTTTATTGACATAACAAAAATAACACCTTACCTTCCCATGTAAAATGTCTGCAAGTCTCGTGAAGTGATCAGCAATGGGTAAATCTTGAACATCTTGCAGCTGGCAACTGAATGTTGTTTGGTCGCCTTGGACTTTGATTGAAAACGACCAAGGCTTTTCGTTAGTGGAGACTTTTCCCACCTCAACGTCAATGATTTCCTCCGATTCTAATAATTCATACAGAGAGAAATTAATTAAATATATAGTAAAATAAGAATAATAAGAAAAGAAAAATGTATGTGGAAATATATCTGCCTCTTTCATATCTGGGGGTTATAACTTCCCAATTTGAGCCACGCATTTTAGTTCCAGTCGCAGATTCCAGTCATCAAACGCTGAAATAAATAAAATTCTTAAAGATATGTATTAAAATGATTGAAATAAAATCAAATTCTGGTGGAAAAATACAGGTTTCGGAGTCGGACAGATTTGTTTTTAGATATTTCAAACCATAAAAGAATTTGTATAATATCTTTTGAAAATCTTCCTCAAAAGTCAGTTAAACAAGAACGCTTTGAAAGAACAATGCATCCCCCAACAATGGGATTTCGACCCTTTCCAATATATTCCTTGGTCCAATTTCAAATTCTCCATGTGTACTCTTGCAAAATGGTTGCAATAATACGACTCCACAAATTTTCCAGAATGATTTATAAAACATATAAAGTTACATACGAATTTAATTTAGCGTGTCTCTCAAACTGGCTAATAAAAGTACAACCGAACTTGTCCTCTAATTAGGATGAGCAGCACAATTACATACGTAAAACTGAGTTCACATGGTGTAGTCAAAATTCATAATTTGCAAAAAATAGGCGACATGACTGCCGATTGTCCACAGTTATGTAAGCATACATAATTACGGTTTTTTTTTAATTCTGCTTGTACATAATGTCTGTCTCCATGATTCAATTTGATGCGAAAATTATGATACACACACACCATGTTTTCAAAGTGAAAAATACGGATACTTTGTAGCACTCAACACAATTAAAATGTTAAAATTTGAAATCCATACCGGAAAATGCGAGTGCCAGTGAGAGTGTAGCGAATGCGTTTGAAGATGGCTTAAGATTGAACCGGCGAGATCGCAAATCCGAAAACGAGCGCAGCAGCAGCCCGACGCAACTTGCAGTACTTGCACTCTTGCAAGACAAGACGTGAATTCTGCTCTGCTCTGCTCCTGCTGCTTGCTCACCAGTCACCACCAAGGCACCAAGGACATCAAGCGCTAGCAGCTCAAAGCCACCTAACCCCCCACCAGCTAAGTTGCATTCTCTCTTTTATGTTATGCATGTTATGTGTATGTAGTTATGTACGATAATGTAGGATGGAATGTGAACAAGTCATACAAAACAAAAGAGAATTTCGTTCCGTACATATTATATGTATTATTATTACATAGTAATGCGCCTATAAGTAATTCTAAAATTCCACAATATTCTTCCCTCTCTCGCAATGCACTGCAGTAACTGCGCACATACCTATCTCCCATCTCCCTTGTGACCCTTGTAAAACACAAGAACACAACACACACAAGTCAGAATCTGGTCAGAATTGTCAGAAAAGAGAGAAGTTTTCCAACTGTGCAACTTTAGTGGATTTGTACAGTTGCAGACAAGAGTTTTATGTTTTAGGCCTTTATAGATTCGACTTTTTTGGTCTGATCTTGGATCATCAGAGAAGGAACTGCAGGAGGTATATATAATTATGTACTCGATTAATTAATTGAATAATTTATAATTGCATCGATTTAATTATAAAATGTTTGTGCAATTACAGAGTTATCCCAATATAATATCTCTGATTCATAATATTTTGCATATTATATACACACCGCGTCGGCCTGCCTGTGGTTTTGAGATTTACATAATACATACATAATATTAAATAATTTACAAATTATGTGTATGTATGCGTACATACAAAATATTAGTCTCTACATAATTATGTATTAATAATTTTTTTTTTTTATTTTGCTAATATTTTTCATAAAACATTTTCTTGTATTTCATTTCTCATACATCAAATTAAAACTTCCTAAGGAAATGGCGGAGGATAATGCAGGAGCTGCCTTAATTAACAGTGAAGAGTCGTCACAAGATGCCGGGGAGAAAAAACCTAGTAAAAATCAACCTACTCCTGGCATTGAGCCAAAGGAATGCGCCAAAATCCCTTGGGCTGACTGCATCATGCAGCTGCTGGTCAACGAAGAAATGTACGACTGCTCCTTTCTAGTTGGAGATCCTAAAAATGGCAAAACAAAGGTATATATTTAAAAATTAAAAGCTAAAAAAGTTAATGTTTAAAATAATATGTAAAGGTTTTTAAATTGCATCGAGTGATTCTTGGAATGTCAAGCCCTGCCTTCAAGTCGATGCTATTTGGAAATTTTGCTGAAGCAAGCAAGAGCCGAGATGATCCTATTGTATTTGCTCACATTGAACCTGATGTCTTTGATACTGCCATGAGGTAAAGTTAAAAATAAAAACATTGAAAAAAATAGCTTATTTTTATACGTAAACCATTTTTTTTTCTTTTTTAAAGGTGCATCTACAGCAAAGGCGAACTCGATCTGAAGGATGATTTTAAGCTAGCAATCATCATTTGCACTTTTGCCAACAAATGGCAGTTTAATTACTTGTACGAGACTGCAGCGTCTGCTTGCTTGAAGTTTAAGTTGAGTCCAGAAATCGTTTGTGCTTTCTATGAAATGTTCAAACTCTTTGGCAACAAAGAAAGATCTGAGCTCCTTTTTGTGGTGAATAAATTTTATCATGTGATAGTTACACTTTAAAAAAACAAAATTTTATCTTTTTAGGCAATAAAATACCAGCTCCATGAGATAATGCACTCTGCAAGTTGGCTCTCTCTTTCCGAGGCTTCCATAAAAGACATCCTCCTTGCAGATCGTCTCAATATCGTTGGCGAATACAAGTTATATGAGGCACTTGTAAAATGGGGAATGCACCAAGCTAGAGACAATTTTACAAAGGTTTCATGTGCCATGATTAGGAGTAAAATTATGAGCCTTGTGCCCCTGATAAGGTTTTGCAGCATGAGTCCCAAAATGTTTGTTGCGCATTGCACTCGAACAGATATTCTCACCGAACAACATCAACTCAAAATCCTGAGGAGCTTGGTCTGTGGCAAATCTTCGGTGATGCCGAAAGGCTTTTGTAAAAAGAAAGACTCTAGAGAAGTCCCAGGTTTTCTCGAGGATCAAGTTAACATTTTCTTCTTTGATGAAACGAAAAACTTGGAAAATCTCGAAAGTCAAAAGGGATTCACACTTAACGAAGACCATTACTTGCTGGGTCTGGCTGTATATTCGGTGGAGTCTGGCAACATCTCCACTGGAGTTGCCTTCACCGTCAAATGTCGAGAGGAAATTTTGAGTGTCAGCTACCTAACTACAAGTGTTACAGATGATAAGCAACGGAAGACACCTATCAACTTTCCACAACCTATTTTGTTGAAGGCTAACCAAGAATATGATATCTCTGCAAGGCTCCTGAAGATGAAGAAAATTGAGGAAGACCATGTTTATTGTATTTGTACAGAGGAACACCAGAAATGTGAAGAAAGAGTACTGAGCGAGGACGAGTCAAAGTCTGTGCTTGGCTACCAACTTATTTTAGAGACTGTTGAATAGGAGGAAAAATAGTATAATCAGCACAGCTTTTTTTTAAAAGAAAAGGAACTAATTATTTAGCATGGTTAGGATGAAAATAGTCTAACTAAGCGCTTGACAGAGTAGCAGTATTATTGTTCAAAAAAGAAATTGCAGTCGAAAGTTAAAATTGAGGGTCTAATTATTCTAATTTCATGAAAATACAATTAATTTTTAGAAAAATTGAAAGTGAAATTACTTAAAATAAAATAATATTTAATCAGTACCAGCGCTGGCATACGGCATCGGCATACATATTAAAGAAAATACGTTTGTAGAACCATGCTATGAAAGTTTGTGCCTCAATTTCATATGCCAGTGCTGAGAAAAAATTGAAAACAAAACAAATGTTTTTGTCACTTATTTGCACTAATTTTGCGCTTTGACAAACAAATTCTAAAAACAAACTGCATTTAAAAAGAAATTAATATTATGATGTGATTCTTTTATATCTCTCATAAAATTATGTATCAACATAACACAATATTGTTTTTATTGCTTCTATCCTATTGAAACAATTTTTCCATTTTATGGCTTAATGTCTGTATAGTTTAATAAATTTTTTCTACTTTTTTAATAATATATTATTACATTTTCTTTTATTTTTACGTATATTTTTCTATTGCTGCTTCATTATTTTAATGCAAACTAGAAGAATAAGCGAGATAATGAACAGAGCAGGAATTATTACAGAAGCAGCAATGCCAGCAATAACGTATTATTCGCATAATTACATACATTATTATATCTTTATGCTAGGGCACCTCCACCACATCTCATTCCTCATAGTTTTCACTCTCACACATCACGTTGGATTAATTATTGTATTTCATCCCCCTCTCCACTTGTTATATGCATTTATTGGCTATTGCTAGGCATAGGCAGCATTACCAAGTTGCTGTCCTGCCATCATCGCTTCCTCCATTCTGTTGGTTCAGTTTGTTTTCGTTTTCGCGTTCGGCATTATTTTGCTCTGTGCAGTTCCAGTGTTCAACCATAAAAATATACTATTAATGAGATAAATAACGTGCTCACGTTTCACTCAAATTGAGTTTTTACATAATATATAACATTATGTACCATAAAATTCAGTTTACACTTCGTTTCAATTTGTTTTTGACGTGGGTTTGAAGAGCGAGTTCCCAGTTCATGGCAATAATTGTATGCGGATCAACGAGTGAGATAAAAGTCGTTAACAAAGAAGAAAGTAAGTACAAGAATTAAATTTTATGTAATTAAGAATGCATTTTTTTTTTTTCATTTTACAGACTATATTCGTCATTCGTCACAAGTTCCGAGATAAAATCATGCAATCTACAAAAAAGGTAAGACACAGCTAACCTTTCTAACACTTTCTGATTGTTAATGTACCCATTTTGTCTCCATCTCATCGCCATTTTTTTTATAAATAATTTTTTAGAATTGTTATTAAAGGTTTCAGTTACTTTTTATAAGTCTGCTAACAATAAGCATTATATACGCATCGTCAATCGTCATATAATATTATCGATATTTATCATTGTTTCAAGTTTCAACTTAGATAAATTATGATATATTGTACTTAAAGCTCATTTTACATGGAAATTTGGACACGTTATTTGCAATGACGCTTGTATGATAATTATTATTAATTTTCTATCTCAAATTTTCGTTCTTGATGACGCACACATGCCTGTTCATGTGCATGACATTCGTGCGATAAATAGCCTTTTTCATATTTTGCTAAAATCGGTGTCACTCATTGTTTTAAATTACATTCTAAAAAGGTCTTACAATTAAAATAATGTGCGTTATCGTTATAGCGTGGTATGCAACTCGACGAGCACAGAAGTTTTGCACGTTGCCTATATGTAATTTATACCAGGCAACCCATGAGAGCAAAAGACGGGTTCAGCTCGCACGATTCAATTCAATTGCTTGCTTGAACGGCCCGATCGCGGGTCGGATCTGACGCAATTCGGCGGCTATCGTGAAAGCATTCTGTGCTCAGATAGTTTGTTTTACGAGTGGTAAAAATTAACTTCAAAGATAATTTTTTATAATTCAACAAAAAAATTTATTTTTATTTATTTCGATTATTATTTTTATTTATCCTTCTTGGTCGCGTCATATTTCAAGTAGTGTATGCAGCTTCTTTTACTAATGTTGATTCATCCCAAATCAAGTTAATTTGAGAGAATACCAAATAAAGTACGTAAAATATGAAGAAATGGATTTCTCGAGGAAAAAGTTGCTAAAAAACAGGAGCCGCGTGGAGGGGGGTTCAGAGTCAACAATGCCAGTTGAGCTTACAATTCAAATATTTATATAAAATGTTTTCACTTTTCCAAAAGACTTTAAATGCTTTAAATATTAATTTCATGAACAATAATCTGTTTTCTTCCTAAATTTTTAGTTTTTAAAGATTTTTAACTTCAAATTTATAGTGTTGGGACTATCAAATTTTATCAGTAAGCGATGCATCATAGCAACTTACATTATTTCTCATGCATAGTTTTTAAGTAAACAATCATGCATAATTTGAAGCTTCATCTCACTGTGATGTTATCCAGATTTTGAGATTTATCAATTTCCTCCAAATTTGTTGTTAGCATATGTTAGCATAAATATAAGTACTTTATTTCTTTATTACTTTTTTTTTAATTCAGTAGCCCTTTTAATCCGGCCTACGTAATGTTGAATTGAGGTTAAAGGTGAAAAACAATAATATCGAAACAAAACAATAAAATTGCATAAAGATGGTCTAAACATACATCTAACTTACATTTAACTATTATAATCTATTGCTAATTTTTTAGAGAATCAACTAACATTGTATATTCTAAAGTTAACTTATCGACTTAATCACCATGATTTTTAAGTCTCGTGTTATTTGCCAATAGGAAAAAGGAAAAACAATATCCTGCTGTACATGCCACTTCCTTTGAATAAATTCAACATAATTATTAAACTTTATTTGTCCAAATTGTTGCATCACATTGTTTATATAATTTATGCATGGTCATGGAATTTGATATGCTAGTGCGATTGATATTTCTCATTCATGACATTTAACTGTTAAAATACGTTGGCTTATGGTAAAAATAAATAAATATAATATTGAAATAAAGCACCCTGTGGTATGGGTAAAAATTATTTTATTCTCTTTTGCACCGAAGTGACTATTTTTTAAGCGTTGGAAGATTCTAGTGAGCATAGCTTATTTAAGACAAGGAAATAACTTCCGTAATGCGTTTTACATTTTATAATTTTTTAATTTCTTGCGTCAGTCCGATGCGCGGTCAACACAGCAATATCCTGTTAAACAGAAGCTTCACGTAAAAAAGCGCAGTTCCCTGCCAACAGCAGTGATACGATTGTCAGATTAATTTGTCGTTCCGTAGGAACACATTTCAACTTGAAATCCTTTCCTACCACAATAATCAAAAATGACAAAGTGGACAATCTTTTTATTAATGACGCAATTTATGGTGAGGAACAGAAATTAATTTAATATACTTTGGAAGATAATTTTAAATGGTTGCTCAACAGTTGACTTATTCCTATCTTGGTCAGCAAAGAGTTGTAAAAATTAAATTCATTTCTGGTAATTTCCAATGAAATTTAACTAGAATCCTAATTTTTTAATTATTCAAAAGGGTCGAAGCAAAATATTACAAAGCGATTTCAAATAATCAATTGTTGTGGAGAAAAATCTTGTAATTCTGGATTTCTGAACAAAACTACAGTAAGGTTATTTCTTTGGATCAGAGAAAATGAACATAGAAGAATTCTTAATTTTGTGAAGAGAGGTACTGCAAAGGTGAGCGCAAGGACTTCACAAGACGTTTTTACTTCTGTCAAAGAATCTAACCCAGAGCCAACTACTGGTGAAACAGTAATAACAACCAATGGAGTGCTAAACACTCAACAACCTATTGAAAACAGTTGGATAATTCGAATTTTGTAGTAAAAATAATCAAGACAAAAATTTTGAATTAGCATCGACTGATATTACATCATCTTCTGATGCTTTACCGACTGGTTCCTTGCCGCAAGAAACAATGCAAAATACTACCCCCGTTCCCGAACTTCCCACATCTGCACAAACGTTGCCCCCAGAAACGTCCCCATCAAACACAAACCCTGCAGTTGCCGAAACCAGTCCAGCACCAACTGAAACAACGACATTAATTACAACAACTACAATTATTACAACTACAACTACAGTCACAACAACCACAACTCTCCCGCCAACAACTACCTCTAGTTGTATCTGTCCAACCCTTACTTGTGCAACGGAGGTAAAAAAAATTGTTTTAATGAATAATATCGATTTATTTCATTTCATTATTTACTGATAGAACCAGAAGAAAGATGAAGCTATAAAATGGATTTGTAATTTATATTTTTTAATTTATATCAATTCAATAATAAGTGTGACAAATTCCAACCCTAATATCAGCTGCTAATGGCGTATTCAGACCAGCGTGCAAAAAGCAATACTTCGTCAGCACAGCCTCGGTTTAAACCTCAACTGATTTTTTGCAAACCTTAAATTTCAATAATTATCGTTTAGCTAACTCGGGACAATGCAGCCATGGAATGTTGCAAATATGGCATGGAGCTATTAAATATTAACAGCCAAACTGAACTTGGTTGTTTGGATGCCATGAATAAAGGCAATTTCTCGCTTGTTTTAACCATGAAAAAGATTTAATTTGAATCTACACGTAAAGCTATACTAAAAAAATCTGGCAACTTCTGGACATTTGGGTCAAACGAGGGTTGCGAAACGAGATATCAATGGTGCCCATCGCGAACAGAAATAAGTTCATCTTTTTGGGGCGCATCTCAACCCAGTGCTGCTGCAACCAAGAGATGCATTGCTCTTGCCCTTACAACTTCAGTAAATGCGAGTCTTGTGGACCAAACGTGTACCACCACTCTACCTTTCATTTGCGAGGTTTTTATTTTTTCATAAATTGTAAAACTCAAATTTAAATCAAATTTACCAGGGCGAACCTCCTGCATGCCAAGCATCTTGTCCCAGAAACTGCTCAAAAGCAAAAGACGTGAGAAAATTAAATTTTCATTGCCTCGGTAATTTAGGTTAATTATTTATTACTAAAAGCCTAAGCTGTTCAACAAAAATGGAGATCTAATTGGTAATACTTTTTAGTTTTTTACTGCTAAATTGTGAATTAAATTAATTGTTTTATGTAGATGTGAATAAGTATGGACGATGGGCTGTCGGAAATGGGCGGGCATACCTGTTCAGCACGTCAGCAAAGGTCTGAAAAATTTCCTGCTTTTCCGTTTCATTGAATTTATTGCCAAAACACAATTAAAAACGTTTCGCAGAAAACATGGAATGACGCTTACACATTTTGCTGTCAGTTGGGAATGACCTTGGTAAAAATGGAAACCAGCGCAGTCATGAACACAATCGTACAGTTGAACAATAATTTAAGTAAAGAGTTTTGAATTTAATTAAAATTTAAAATAATTTTGGTGATAACTTTTCCTTTTTTTATTACATTTGTAGCTGATTTGAAGTACGTGCAAGATTTTTGGACCTCTGGTAGCTCTCTTAATTGTCCTTTTACATTTGAGTGGTGCGATACTGGAACGGCGATCGCTGTAGAGGATTCTAGTTGGTTCGCAAATTAAAAATATAAACGTCATAAAAGAACGTCAAACTTCACTGACGCATTTTCATAATACAGGGCCGCGGGGCAACCTAGTTTTGATAATGGGCAGCAGATGTGTGTAGACTTAAATTTGAAAACTGGAAGTCTAGTGGGGCTGGGGAATTTAGAAGATTGGACTTGCTCAACAACCAAATCTTTTATATGCGAAGTAAAATTGCCTTTATTTCTCAAACGATATTTTTATCATTTTTATTTTTTTTTTTCGTTTCCACTAGGCTGAAAGAAATAAAACAACTTGTGATAAGGCTTTATGCCCTGAGTATGACTGCGTTCCTGAAGTATTTATAATAAATGGGAAAATATAGAAATAAGTGGTTGATTAATTTTTTAAACGTTCAGCCAGCCAAAGTGAACATGTCGAAAAATTGGCAAGGAGGTTTAGGAGGTATTTTTCGCAGTGGCTGCAATAGACAATATTTTTTAAGCACTGATAAGGTTTTAATAAAATTATGATTTATATCTTGTAGCGTATTTATCAAAAAGTTTTATTTTTCAATTTAGAAAACTCAAAAAGAGGCTGCCATTGAATGTTGCAAATACGGACTCAGCTTGCTTTCCGTGGAAACTTATGATGAAATCAAATGTCTGGTGGACATGAATAATTGTAATGCTATAGTTACGCAGAATTTTACTCTTTGAAAGCGAGTTTTCTTCATAATTTTCATTTTGTCTCATTTAATCTTTAAATTTATTTTGAAATATTTACCAAATTTTAATCATTTTCTTTTCTCATGACGCTGCAGTGTTTTTCAAAAATTTCCAAATTATCTGCAAATTTTAGTACATATTTGAGCTCGCATAAATTTTACAAAACTTATTTAATTACGCAGAAAAAAAATGTTTTAACAAAACTACAAAACTTTTTATGTTACATTTCTGAGCAGCTTTTATACTTTTGCAAAATTTTCTTAAGGGTTTTTGGGCAGTGCGGCACCTTACTGGACATCGCTGACCAACGATGGTATTGGGTGTGCACGATCTCCCAGCTGGTGCCCCTCTGGAGCGCCAGTTACCAAGGATATTCCTTGGACTACTGGAGAACCATCAGACCCCATTAATGAAAACTGTGCCGCTTTGTGGTATTCTAATTACGACTACAAATATACGGGTCTTCAAGATTTTGCATGCAATGTACCTCAATATTATATTTGCGAGGCAAGAAATCATTTAATTTAACCATAAAAACATTTAAAAAAATCATTCTCATTTTCTACTCTTGCCAGGGTGACGTACAACCTGAGTGTCAGCCGTCATGTCCGGTGACCACCTGTACAAAAGATGTATTAGTTTATTATTGTTAAAAATTATGGGAAAAAATACAATTAATTTTCTACATCAAATTTAGAACTCGCTCTTTGGTGGTGACGGAAAATTACTTAGTTTGTTTTTATATACATATATATTTTTCAGTTTCATTTATAAAAAAACAAAAATTTAGATCCAAACACATATGGAGTATGGAAAACTACGTGTGGTCGCCAGTACATGTTCAGCTATGCATTTGTAAATATTTAAAAAAGATGTTTTTAAACAATAAAAAAAAAAAATAATTAATTTTATAGAAAACCTATCAAGATTCGTGGAATTTCTGCTGCAGTATTGGCATGAAATTAATCAGTGTGGAAACCGCTGATGAGTTAAAATGCATTCATGATTTAAATAATGGTGCTTTACCTTTCACTGGGCAAGGATCGTAAATGACGTTATTATTTTGCAGCCGACATGAAATACGTGGCGGAATATATGACTACTGGTGTTTCATATGGATGCCCATTTCTTTTTGCGTTTTGCGGAACCGACGCGAGGGTTTATAAAAATGATACAAGATGGTTTGTGCGAAATATTTTCAAAATTGATATGAAATACGTAAATTTGATACAAATAGGGAACCACCTTATGAGCCTAACAATAATGGTGGTTATCAGTTTTGCCTTATGCTTCACGTCGGCGTTGGAGCTGCAGGTGCAACTAATTTTTGGGACTTGGCGTGTCCTGCTTCACGATTTATTTGCGAAGTATGAGAGAATTTCGCTTTTTTATAAATAAATTATCTATTTATAACTTTCCTTCAGGGTCCAGCTGTGTAGCTTGAAATGTAAATCAATATATAAATACTCAAGTTTTTCAATGATTGTAATTACATTGACACGTTTAAATCAAGAAATGCAAATAAGTAAATAATATATTAATTATACAAAATTAATATTAATTTCATTTTCCTGGGTTTTTTCGCCAATAGGAATACTAACTTATTGCAGACATTTGAAATAAATACTAATTAAATTGATATTTAAAATACAGTGCCAAATATTTCATTAGAATTAAACTTAATTCACATTGAAAATTAAATAAATTTGTGTGCATCTTAGGTATCATCATTTAAATGTTTTAAACTGGTTGAACGGGATCCATAATTTAAATAGTGTAGGTTTTGTGCAATTTAGCGCCTCCTCACGGCTTAGGAGCGAAAGCAAAATTATCTTCAGGGTCGGCTGCGTTGCTCATTCCGCGGAGTCGGCTCGGCTCTCACACGAGACGAGATCCACACTCGAAATCAGTTTCTCTCGCGAGTCACCATGGGCAAGGTGTACTCACGACTCAGGGATAGGGTCTTCAAGCCGAGGGCCCCTCCCAGCGACGTCACAGACGCCCCCGCTGCCCTGCCACGACCACCCTTAGCCTCTGGTGAGTTTCTGCAGCAATTACATTTTGCAATGAGAGTATTGTAATTATGTTCATTAAGAAAAAAAATGAGAAGCTGAGCACGCTTTAATTTTATCACGAAATCGTGCACGCAAAAATATAAATTTGCTTTTTGCGCCCTTTTTATTGTTTCGGTTATCTTAAAGAAAACATGATTATCCACTTGATACGTGTCATAAAACAAAATGAGTAGAAACTATCTCGATTTTTCTTCTGGCGCTCATGACGCTGCTCTTTTTTTCGTCAATTTCGTTTTTAATTTTATTTGCATTACGACGTTGTAAAAAGTAATAAATGTACAGAGACTACAGAGCGGTTCAAGGCCACATTTTCAGACGGATTTACTCACTGGAAGAGAGTAAATCGGTACTCGACTCGTTATGTGAATTTAAAAAGAAATCGCATTCGCTCACTTGACCTGGCGCGCGCTTCATCAACTTTTAACCTCTCCGGCTCCAGACGCCTCCGACTCTTTTTCAGTGATAATGATATGTCTCATCTCTCTGACGGATAAAAATAGAGGAAGGCAAGCAGAAGCCTTTTAAAAAGACAATGAAAAGTTTTAAAACTTACCAAAATTTGGTATTGATTTTAAACCTAAATAACTTGATTTCCAAGAAACAATTGGGTGGGGTTCTTGTGCATCGCGCATTTCCAATTAAGCTCTTTGCTTCTGACTCGAGCCTTGCTTACTAAAAATACCATGCTGTTTGAAGCATAAGAAGTGTTGCTCTGCAAATAGCTGAATGGAGTGCAGATGGCTATTTATGTTTTATTTTCAACACATAAACAGTAGTTAGTGCATATCACCGGAATATGAAATTTCCTGTTTTATCATTTAAAAAAATTTGAAGTTCCTCAAGTACATAATTATTATTCTTATTCGAGTTTATTGAGATTAATAATTATACCAATAAACCAATTAAACCAAAGTGCACCTCTACAATAAAATTGTTTAGGTAACGATACGACAGGAAGTTAAATAAGTAATTAAAATTTTTACTTAAGATAAGCATAACAGGTCTGTTGGTTTAAATGGGTAGGTCTAGAGCTGTGTCCATAAATACTTAGCGTTAATAGGTGTGAATTGTGTGTAAATGTTTTTATCTTCCTTATTTATACACATCTTTTCATGAATTAATACACACTTGAAAAAGTCGATATAAGAGATTTTAATTGTGGAGCCTGTATGCTATTACTAAAATTAAAAAAAAAATAGTTTTTGTGGAAAAAAGTAAAATATTGATATTATGCTTTATTTATTTAGATATTAGATTTGATTTACTTCTGAAAAAGCAAGACAAATAAGGCGCGCTTAAGCAGGAAATTGAAGTAAAGAATGGCATCACCGTTTTTATCTTTCTTGAGCGATATATCCAGCACTTCCCACATACCATTACTCAGAAATGCAAATACAAAAAACGTCCACGTGCAGTTTATATTTGCCTATGAGCGTCATTTATGTTCTCGCCCTTTTTATTAACCTCTTCGTGAACGATGATACGAGACCAGGTTAACTAGATAAGAACAATTGAAAGCTTTCGTGCTATTGATGTTGGGATTAAATGCTTGGAGGTTTTCTGAGATGACATCACTTATCGCACTCGAGAATCTATAACACCCGCTTTAACAGGCCAACTGAATGAAACAAAGGTGCACACTCAGCGTGTTCTTGGTAGTTAGCCTTTTAATTGCTCAATAGTGTCTCATTCATTCTTTCATAAACTATTATTAATTATTATTGTCCTTATAAATTATGAAATTAAAAGAGTAGAAAGTAATAAAATGTATTTGAATTTGAATGATTGTCATTTGATTATTTAAATGGTTAATTTTTTATTTTTCGTTATTTCTTTTTGTTGCTAAAGAATTTGTCAAAAATGGAATGCTACGGAGGTGGTTTAGAGTTGAATAACAAAGCAGCCGATGCTCCGGTGACCCAGTGTTTGGTACGACGTAGAGCGGGCATTAATGAGATGTGCAGAGGTGGTCATCCAAGGCGAGACCCGCGGGACAAGGTCAAAACGTCGCGCGCGCGAGAAGGCGGTGAAAAGCGAGTGCTAATTTCACATGGCGATCACCAAACAACAACAACCCGCACTATTCTGGAACGATTTATCAGCGGCACTTTTGTGTTTTATATCATATTGTGCTTGTAAAAGGGCAAAATTTCACGTACGTGACTATTTTTTGTTCTATTGATGCCGCTTGGTTTCTCTGTACGCGACGTGATTGTAAATCTCCGCAGAAGTCATCGGGAATTTTATTTATTTTTCCTGCCCGAGCCCTTGATCGTTAAAAAATTGAGCAATCGTTTCCAGATGACTAATTTATTATTAATCATTCTAATACTTAAACAAATATTATAGCAAAAATTAATAGATTATGTAAAAATTTATTTTAAGCTCATTCCTTGCTCAAAAGTTAGTTCTGATGCATTTGACCACGTTGAGTCGTATTGAGTTCAGCCATAAAAGTTTATAACATGTAGCGTGTACGGCAGGTGCACAGAGACAAGCATTAATTATTCCGTCTGCACGATACGAGAAAGGCAAGAAGTCTGCTGCTGCATTCCAAACAGAGATACATTTTCCTTTCGTAGAAGAGAGACGGCTCTGTATAGATTTAAATTTAGGTATTACCGGTATTGCTAAATTTTTAAAGAGCTGTTTCGTAAACAGAGTCAAATTCTGTAAAATAAAAAGAAAAAAATCTTTTATAGGAGCCCTCGCAATTGCTCAGGGCGCTTGCACGAATTTCAAATCGCGTGATAACACTTTGAGTGTAAAAAAGTGGCCCATCAATAAACCGAGTAAATAATTAGATAAATCTACGCGATTCACGCTGAATTTCAAGTTATACTTACAAAGTTCCCCTACCCGCCAGCTCTCCTTTTTCTGTGATGAAAGAACAAGCCGCCCAAAGAGGCGAATACAATTTTCTCATTCGCAACTCGTCTTTCCAACTAATATGTTCTGGTCTGGTTCTTGGCGTCCCCGGGGCCCTCCCGGGACCCCGGTGCGTTCGCCCACTCGATTCCACCGTAACTGGCGGTCAGAGGTCACGGAGAAGCCTTCCCTGCAGGTGCTGAGTGCCAACCTGTTGCTCGCCGAAAATGGGGGTCCGCACCACACGGCCGAGTTCGACCTCATGGAGAGGGTGCAGGGGGCCAAACTTGTGGTCAGGAGAGGTCAACCCTTCGTGCTGCAGCTCGCCCTCAACAGGGGTTTGCAGCCTGAGCAGGACGCGGTTTCCTTCATTTTCACCCTTCAAGGTGAGAAAATGTATTTTTTTTTATACTTTTAATTATTGCACGTTTATGATGACATCATTTTTATTAATTGTGCTGCAGGAAAAAGTATTATTAATTATTTTAATTGCTCGATTAAGTCAGCAATAATCTCTCAAAAGGAATAGACGCGGTGATGTTTTGTATGGCCTTTTCTGCAAACTGTCGCGTGGGAAGCGATAGAAAAGATCAGGTTTTGCTTTGCAAGGCTGTCACAAAAGTAGAGAAAAACCTTGAAAGGCCCTCTTTTGGCTTTTAAAATTAATTTTCAAACAGATTTTTGGTTAGAGGGTGTGGCCAATTGTGTGAGATTGAACACTTTCATCGCACTATTAAAAAAATCACATTCCAAGTATAAATAATTTAAGTAATAATTTTGGAAGTGAAGAGATTGGGCTTTTCCTTGTCGTATAAATTATTTTTATTCAAAACCAAAAACGGCTCTACCAGTTTCGATCACGGAATGCGACCCAATTTCATGAGCAAGAACAATAAATATTAAACATCTCTTCACTTCCATGATCATCTCCTTGACTGCCAATTTCTTCAACCAAAGTAGTAATTTTATTTCCAAAGCGTGTGAAGTAATATTAAAAGCTTTTATCAAATCTCAAAATGCAATAAGTACTATTTTCCTATAAGATGAATGTATGAAAGAAAATGACATCAGTTGATTGCAGAATTTAACATAAATTACTAGCTACGTTCAAATAAACAATGTGTGGTTTGAAGGCTGCGATTATAAATAACTCTGACTTCAATTGACACGACGATAGTTCACGTTGTAACCATTAACGCAGATTTATCTTTGTGTAACCAAGTAAACCTTCAATTTGTTTAAATTTGCAATGCAAATTGCAGCTAATGAAAGTAGGCATGAACCTCACGACTCACAAAATCGTATTTTGGCATCTCTAACAGAACGTGTGTCCCTGTTAACTTTTAACCTGTACAGTTTGTGTGCGCTCAAAATTTACTAAAAATTCAAAGAAAAAAAATATTCAGTGGAGTCAAGCAATTTTCCCAATTATCAGGCTTGAAAAAGCGCAAAGTGCGCGTGAGGGACTACTCGTCTGAGAATAATGAGAGCGGTTGCTACCGCTTCTGTGGTGAACCAAAATACGTTTGTGAGTCGCTGTTTGCAAGCTTTATTTCGGTTCAAAATGTAATAACATTGTCGATTAGGGGTTGAGAAGCCGACCCATGGTCACAACACTTTGATTGCTATTCCTTTGCTGGCGCACGGCTCACAGCCACAGTCTGCAAGCGTCTGGGCGGCGGCTATCGAGAAAAACATGCCAGATGCCAAAGCTGTGCGAGTTGTAGTAAGTAGTTTAGTAATACTTTGATAAAGTGTTTTTAATAAAAATTATAGTTAAAAATTTTATTTTCATAATGTTCACTTAAAAATAATTTTGTTTATAAATAGGCCATTGATTCATAAGGAATAGAAGAGCAAAATACATTATATTTACAATGAACAACTCAAACCTTGCAAGGAAATCAAATTTCAATTCAATTGTATATCAATTGATTTATTTTATTTATTACACTATTTTTATTTTTTCTTCAATATCTTAGATAACGCCAGCAGCCGATGCTATAATAGGTCAGTGGAAAGTGGAGGTTGACACTAAAAAACAACTGGAAGGCAGTGCAGTCAGCTACACTTTTCCCGATCCAATTTACATTCTTTTCAATCCTTGGTGCAAAGGTTAGTTAAAATATAATTTGATTATTATTTTTTCTAATTTTAATTAAATAAAAGATGATTCGGTGTATATGGAGGGAGAGCACGAGCGCAACGAGTATGTCCTCAACGACACGGGCATCATTTGGCGCGGCAGCTACAACCGGCTGCGGCCAACGGTTTGGCACTACGCGCAGTTCGAGGCCGACGTCCTCGAATGCGCCGTGCACTTGGTGTCCGTCGTGGGAAAAATGGGTCCAGCGTCGCGCGGAGATCCTGTGCGCACCGCGCGAGCCATTTCGGCCGCCGTCAATTCTCCGGACGACAACGGCGCCGTCATGGGCAACTGGTCTGATGATTACGGCGGTGGCACGGCACCCACCAAGTGGCTCGGGTCCAGCCAAATTCTCCAAAAGTATTGGAAGGACAAGAAGCCTGTCAAGTACGGACAGTGCTGGGTATTTGCCGGTGTCGTCACAACAAGTGAGTTCATTTAAAATGAAAATTATTAAGATTAATTAATTTTTCTTGTCCACAAAATTTAATTATATGTTGCAAACTATTTGCATTTTTATAGTCGCTCGGGCTCTTGGCATTCCTTCACGGCCTGTTACCAATTACTCGTCAGCCCACGACACCCAAAGCTCTTTGACGGTGGACTATTTTGTCAATGAAAAGGCAGAAATCATGGAGGAGCTCAATAGTGACTCTATTTGGTAAATTACATTTTTTTTGTTTTTGCAATGTTTAATATTATTGCTGTTTTATTATTTATTGAATTTATTTTCTTTATTAAAATTCATAAATGATAAAAATAAAATTAAAGGAACTTCCATGTGTGGAATGAGGTTTGGATGCAGCGTCCAGATTTGAGCGCTGAATACGACGGCTGGCAGGTTGTGGACGCCACGCCGCAGGAGCAGAGTGAGGACATGTATCGTTGCGGTCCTGCCTCCGTGGCCGCCGTCAAAAAGGGCGAAGTGCGCAAACCGTTCGACGGCTCTTTTGTTTACGCAGAGGTGAACGCGGACAAAGTTTTCTGGCGCTACAACGGCCCAACGCAACCACTCAAGTTGTTGCGGAAAGATATGAAAGGGTTTGTTTAAATTACACTCAAATGAAAAATTAATTAAAATTTGTTTCCATATAAAGAATCGGAAGGTTCATCAGCACAAAGGCCATTGGAAGCACTTTCAGAGATGACATTACGGAGTTCTACAAATACCCCGAAGGTAGAAGTCTTTTTAAAAACAAGCCTTAATTTTAATTTTATACATTTTTAAATAAATAGAGAGCAAAGAGGAAAGAGCGGCAATGCTGACAGCTTTGCGGCAAAGTGCATCCATGTTCAGCAGATATTACCTCAACGAGGACTTCAATGACATGCACTTTGATTTTGAACTGCGAGATGACATAAAAATTGGCGAACCGTTCAGGTTTTTTTTTTTTTTCAAATTGCTGCCTGAAAACTTTTTCACCGCTCCTGCTATTATAGCGTGGTTCTTGTGATGAAAAATCGCAGCCGCAACACAGATCACACGGTCACAGTGACCTTAAGGGTTGACACTGTGAACTACACAGGGCGCATCAAGGAGGGCGTGAAAAAAGAAACTACAGATAGGCTCGTCAAAGCTGGAGCTGGTAATTTTCATTATTTTACTTAATGATTTTTTTTCTATATAAATAATTTTTGACCAAAATTTAAACAGAGTTTAATTCGAATTTTTAATTTTAGTGGAGGAAATAAGAATGGACGTTTCTTATGATGAGTATTCGGTGCACCTTGTGGACCAGGCCAGTTTCAACATTGCCTGCATGGCGGCTGTCAAAGACACGCAATATGAATACTTTGCTCAAGACGACTTCCGAGTGCGGAAACCCGATATCAAATTCAAAGTATAAGAGACAAAGATATTATTAGCAATGTATTTTTGACGTTATGTTTTTCATTAGTTGGGTGGTGATGTCGTCGAAGGTAAAGAATGCACGGCCACTGTTTCGCTGACCAATCCACTGCCAGTGCCTTTGAAGAATGGAACGTTTTCAGTGGAGGGTCCTGGTATTGTGAAAACTTTAAAGCTGAGGCTGCCAGGGTGAGTTTTCAACTATCTTTGCGTATATAAATTGTTAAAATTGTACTCTAAAACAATTAATTTAAATAGAAATCTGGCGCCACAAGCAACAGGAAGCGTGGATTTCAAGTTTTCGCCGCACTTCGCAGGAAAGAAAACGCTTTCGGCCAAGTTTTCTTCCGCCGAGTTGGACGACGTTGACGGTTTCCTGGAGTTTATGGTTAAAGAAGTCGCCACTCCAGCTACCAATGGAGACGCCCCACTTGCAACTTCAGAAATTTGAATTAAAGTGTGCAAGGATAAAAATATTATGTACTTTTTACAAACTGAAAGAGCATTTATGTTGCTTAATTTAAATATCTTGATATTTTATGTATCTATAATCTCGTAAATTGTAAGAAAAATTAAAAGTTTTTATGAATTACAAAAGAAAAAATTGTTTAAGTGCTTTCAAATGACCTTCATTAAAAAAATTTGTCAAAGAGAGATGAAAACGTTAACAAAATGGTCAGATATTAAATATATAACAAGGGGTCAACTTGGTCACTCAGTGTAGATAGAATTTAAAATATAATAAATAAAAAGCATGACTTTCATTTCTAGTTAATTTGTATAATTTCACATAATAACAATAAAATTCAACGTTTCAACAAAATACCACTTGTCCTAGTGGTTTCCTATTTAAATAACGTGTGCATTTTCCAACAATAAAGTGAATAAATGACAAGCAATGCGGATTTTCTCAAAGCGAACTTGATAGGAATTCAATATGTGACAACCACACGTGACAATAATCTCGCCTTTGATTTTCTGGCAAAATTTAGTGATGCTACATGCAAATTTGATTTATGTTAATATCGGTGAATGAATCTTTGGTGTTCTCACTATTTGGGCAAAATCAAGCTTTGGCAGCCAGAAGAGCGTCGATGCTGGCCTCGACGTCTTTGAAAATCTCATCTGGAGCACGCTCGGCATTAATCTATTTTTTGTTTCAAATCCATCAATAAAAATATTAACAAAAAGTATGTGACTTACGTCTTTGCATTTTGAGGCGTAATTCTGAATGACAGGTCGCGAGTGTTGGTGGAAGGTGTTGAGCCTCTTCTTGATGGTCTCCTCGTTATCGTCAACTCGTCCAGAGCTTTGACCTCTCTTCAAAAGGCGCTCTGTTAAAGTGGCGTCCGTGCAGTTGAAAAAGAGCACCAGGCTGCAGGGGGCCACCTCTCTTTCAAACTGCTCGCCCTGAGCTGCCTCCCTGGGGTATCCGTCCAGGAGGTAGCCTTTCGATTCTGACAGTTTGGAAACCATTGCTTCCTTCAACAGGTCCAGTACCACTTCCTAAAGTAAAATTTAAAATAATAGTTTGAAATTTAAGTAGGATCATTACCAGAGGCACAAGTTCTCCGAGCTCCATGGTGGCGTTGAGTTGTTGGCCCCTGGACGACCCTGAGGCGACCTCTGCCCTAAGCAGATCGCCCGATGACAAGTGTGTGAATCCATACTTGGCCACAATGCGTTCACACTGAGTGCCCTTTCCAGAGCCGGGACCGCCTGGAGAAAATAATTTACTCAAAAATTCTTTACATGAAGAAAAGTTAGTAATTTCTCACCGAGAACCCAAATTATGGGAACTCCAGACTCCTTGAGTGGTGTCGTGTCGATTTGCTTTCTTTCAATTTGGACGGCCTAGAAATATTAGACAAAATTTAATGAAAACCAATTAAAATTCATTTTTTTTTTTTGCAAATTGCTTGCATTTTCAAAAGCAGCTCATTATTTTTCAAAATACATAATATGATAAGCGAAACTTCCACATTTTCGGAAAATTTTGCTTTTTCTACTATGTGCTTTTTAACAAATCGAAATACACTAGATATTTTTTTAAACACTGACAATATTTATAAAATTTAAATTAACATTTTGTATGAAAATGTGACTGCTGATTTTCAAAACCTGTTTCAGTCACTCGTGTGAGAGAAATGTGTGCAAACAAGCATGCGTTACATGTATATGGAGAGTGCCACGCGAAGCTCCAAAAGTGAGCCTCAACGGGTTCTTTGCTATTTAAGCACCCCCAACGCGAGCCGTCTCTCTTGAGCTCGGAAAGGTCATGCATGCAAGGGTGAAGAGACGATCTCAGCCCACAAATTATATCCTATCAGAGCGTGCAGAACTCACCATGGTCGCGAATTCCCTGCGAAAGCGACTCTCAACCGACTATTAAAAAGAGGCAGCCGGCTATTTTTGACGACACGCTCACTCGCGCTCTGTCGGAGAAAAAGAAGAAACGCGATTTCAGCCAATGAAGAAGACACAAAAGCTAGTTAGGCAACGCGCACCACTCGCGGCATCACGGAATTTTCACTGGTCTTTTTTCAGTTGGCCCAGAAAAAAATTAATATTAATAAATTGCGGCACATCTGTTGATTCAGTTGCAAAAAAAATTAAGGCTAAACCGTTTTAATTCAATTTTTAAATCACGGTTATGCCGACTATAGAAAAAATCTGAATGCTCTAAACTGTATGAGAGGAAATTTTTTTCAATTGTTGAAATAAATTCTAGAATTCGCCAAAAAAAAAAAATCCATAAAATTTCCAAAATCTCAAATGTATTTTTCATTTATGTCAATTTATGTAAAGCCAAAATAAAATATTTTTAGAGGACATATTTTAGGAAATAAAAATGAAAAGAGAATATTGAGTCTGTGAAAATTCCGTTGCATTGAGCCAAGTGAGTAACAGTGGGTGAATTAAAATGATAAATGCGTGCGGGTTGTCGCAATAAGCTGGTGGACCCTTTTACGGAGCGCAGCATGCAATAATAATTATTGTTATGAAAGCTATACCCCGTGGGGAGATGGAACGAGCCCCCTCCGACTGAAATTACGACTCAGTTGATACCAAAAGATTTATTTGTAATTTCTGTGATCTCCATTGGGCTATATGCGGATATTTTATTCAACAATAATTAAATTGTTATTATTGCCAGCCTGCGCCTTTTTATATTATTCAGAAGGTTTTAATTTTTCTTTTGGCCTTTTATTTTACTTTTTACTAGAGTAGAATTTTTGTTGGGCAGAAAAAGATTTCAATTAACTTAGGGTCAAAATTGGTATCATTTTCATTAAAGGAACCGAAAGGAACTAATTTTAAATTAAATTTTGGTATACCTTTTGCAACTAAATTTGTATATTTTTTGCTTTCAGTATTACAAATTATTGAAATAAAGTAAAAGTAAGTAAAATAAGTGAAATAAATTATTCTACTTATTTTTAACAGAATTTGGGACTTTCGAAGACTTGCAATTAAAGTAATGAATTAATTTTTAACCATGCAATTGGAACATGAATAATAAGGATAAAGTTAATATTAAAATAATAATGTGAGTTATTTAAAATTTAATTTGTCTTAATTTAAAATGCAGAAAATAATCGCGTTTACAATTTTCTGAGCTAACGTACTGCGCGTTATTACTCATTTCTAAAAGATAATTATTAGAAGTCTTTGAACCGATTGATCCCGTCAACGCAGCAATTAACTCTGAATTAGCTATTCATCTTTTTGCTCACTCAGACTGCGCGGCGCTTTGGTATGAGAAGAAATAATTATTGCATCCCGCAAGAGCTTTGACCTGGTATATTGTGTGTGCGGCGAGCGGTCGACCTTGGCCTAGTGCGGCAGGCACCGACTTGGGAACCATCCATCTATTCCACACCGAGCGGATTTTTTGGGCTTGGGCTAGGTCCAAATGTTCGCGTAGGCCGCACGCCATCCGAAAAATTCGCTTTTGCAATCATTGAGCGGTGCCTCTATTTCTCGACAAGGTCAAACACCTCCGATTTTAAAATACTTTTTCCTTTTGAAAATTTACCCGAACCGAGCAAAAACAATAATTATTGGTTCTTAATCGAGCTATACCTGCGCTCCGCAGACAAGGAGGACAAGGATCAGCGGGTCACGCCATCCTTTGGCGATCGACGCGGCCATGCAGCTCCAAGGGCACCATGCAGGACGCTAATTTTCAGAAGCATGCAACACGAAAATTGAGAAAATAAATCAAATAAACAAAAGTTCGGCGTCAAAGCGATTTTACACTGCAATTGTGTATTTAAAGCTTATTAAATATTTGACCTCACGACAGCGCAAGGCTAATATTTATTGAGTGATATGAGAAATAAAAACAATAACACGAATGCAGTGCCACACAACATGATTACAAGGAATCTGCACAAGTGACAAAATTTATACAGCAAAATAAGATATATTTTATGCTAATTCTGGAGCTAATTTCGAGTGTAATAAATACAAAAGTAGATAATATTGCGCAAATTTTAATACTGGAAATTAAATAAGATAGAATATGAAAGCATTTTTTTTTTTCAAATTTTTATAATTACAATATTTTTTTTAGCATTCATCCTCTTTTAAGAGATATTCAGTCAAAGAATCGAAATTTATTTAGAGCAACATTGCAACATGTTTTATTAATTATTTAGAGCAAACAAATTAGCCGTTTGCACACAAATTCACGTTCCTCCAGCGCGATTTCAAACTAATAAAATTATTTCTAACAAAACGCGAACGTCTAATGAAAGCTTGAAAACAAATAATTTAGCTCGGAAGTGAAGTAAATTAAATGAATTAAAAACTCACATGTGCCTCGGTCTTTGTTGTTGAGATGGTGAGTAGAGCCAGATGACTGCGTGGGGCTGAAAAGATCAATAGCGCGGCGCTGCCCAGCAGATGCAGAGACATGCGCCCCTTCTACCATTGCACGCCGCGCCAAACCCGAGCACTACATTCAATAAAAGCAAAAGGACAATCGCAGAGCCAAAGGGAAACTCGCGCGATAATTTGCAGAAACGTTCGTAGCGGCGCAGGAAAGTAAAAGTTGCGACGTGAACACTATGCAGGTTCAAGGTGAGCTAATTCGCTCATAATTATAACCATTTATGCGATTTTCTAATGGCAACAACGGTGCACGTGCTTTCGTTTATTTGCTTCATTGGCGATGGAATCAAAGCAGGAAGCGGTCTTGCTCTGTGGTCAATTATTTTTCTTACAAGAATATCTGGTTGGAAAATAAATAAACGATGCATTTCCAAATAATGTTAAATTGATTATAATGTTCTATCTCACTTCCTAGAAAAATAAAATTAATAAAAAAAGAAAAACATTTCTTTATAGAAATAGTTAAAATTACTTTGTTTTTTTTTCGGTTTTTTTAATTGAGACTGCCCAAAATTATACAATATATAATAATGCAGACAAACTTCAGGCGTAATTAATTTTTTTTATCAACATAAATTTGTAGATTTTTACTTTTTTTTTTGTTCTACTTTATTTGCTAAATATTATTTTATTTTAATAAAATCCCATACTTGAGAAAGTTAAAATATTCAATATTAAATTCAATGTCGGGATCTGAATTTTTACTCTGTTCGGTTAAACCTTACAATTATGAGCCTCGAGCTTTGTCCTCAGCGTTTCCCAGTTACATTTAGATAGTAAACCTCGGTAAACTTGCGTGTGTATGATTTTTTTTATCTACTTAATGGTGCCGCAGGCTTTTGATAAGAACACGAGGAAACATTTTTGAGCGAGGTCTGTTCGCTGGCAAACGTTGCTTCGCTTCGTGCCATGATGTAAATAAAAAGAAGGTTCGTTGGAAACTTCCTTTGTTGAGAAGCACAGAAAAAATGAAAAAGTGCCGCCCAACAGAGAGCTTGAACAGGCAAATATGTGCACAAGTATTTGCCACTGGCTTTGTGCTTGGAATGGTCTACTGCACCTACTCAACCTATTATGTGAGTTTAATTGTCAAAAATCTTCTTCATTTTTTTACTGAACTGCTTAAAAAGCTCAGCCAATATGAGAGCTTTGGCGAAATTTTCAAAAGCAAGTGGTTCAAGAGTTACGATCAAACTTTGATACAGCGTTTGCTGAAAACAAAAATGCCAGGAAAGGATGTGATAATAGAGAAATTTTTTGAGGGTGAGAAATTCAACCAATCTTATTTGACTTTGAAATTTAAACCCTCACAAATAAATAGAGCACGCCTCAATGATGACCAAAGTAGTGGCAGATCAAATGAGAATTCTGTGCTGGGTCTGCACGTCCAACAACACTCACAAATCGAAAGCAATGCACGTGAAAGCGACGTGGAGCAGACGTTGCGACAAAGTCATCTTCGTAAGCGAAACAGAAGGTTGGGTTTGAAAGTTTGAACGGACAAATTTAAATGTTGCAATTTCGCAGATGACGAATTGCCGACTTTAAAAATTGAGGCGCCGAACGGTAGGGAAGGATTGTGGGTGAAAACGGTCAACGCTTTTAAATATGTCCATGAAAATTTCATAAATGACTACGACTGGTTTTTCAAAGCTGATGACGACGCGTGAGTAAAAAAAGTGCAGGGAAACTGGTCGAAAGTTGAAATTAGATATGTTGTTATAGAAAATATGCGGAAGATGCTTCTTCCCTACAATCCTGATGAACCTGCATATTTTGGGTACCACTTCAAGCAACTTGTCTTGAATGGGTACATGGCAGGCGGAGGAGGTGAAAGAAATTAATTAAAAAATAAATTAAAATAATATAATTCCAATAAAAGGTTATGTGTTGAGCCGACATACTCTGAAAAGACTCGTGACTGAAGCGTTTGTTGGCAACAGAACTAATTGTCCTTTGACGCCACCAGGCATGCCAATTGAGGACTTCTTCATTGGTATAGTTTTTTTTTTAAATTTTGAAATAATTCAATATTAAAAATTCCCATCCAGGCACTTGCTTGCAAGATATTGGAATCAACCCATCGGACTCTAGAGACTTTAAAGGACATTTTAGATTTTTCCCAACCAACATTGATAGATATGTGTCAACTGACCTTTCAGACCAAGATTGGTTTTATAGACTTCTCTACTGGCCATATAAAGAGGTGCTGCTTTTTTTTTCCAAAACTTAAATAACCGCGTTTACTCATAAATTTATAAACTTAGAAATCGGATTGCTGCAGCAAAGCCCCGATTAGTTTTCATTACATGACGCCAGACAGATTTTATATGATGGAGTACTTGGTGTACAATCTGAACATCTTCAGCGTTACGGACCTTGAGAGGGTTTGAAACTTGCGGCAATTTTCAGAATTATGCTGTCAAAGACCAACACATTTGCTTAAATCTTTTAATAGAAGGTACTATAAACTATTTTGAAATTGATTAAAACTCTGTTAGTATAACGGCGAACATTTTGAATCAGTTTCAAAGATGCGTTCATCGTAATTTTTAATTATTTGAATATATTCAAATCACTTTATATTATTTTATATCTTTGATCAGTTGATATTTATTGAAATAATGTAGCTTAAAAATATTTAATAAAAAAATTTCAATCATTTTTTAATAATTATAAATTCCTCTTTGAGTCTTATGCCCTTACTAGTCCTAATATCGACTCAACATTTATGATGTAAAAATAAAAGATAAAAATAAAATCAACGAGCTGAAGTTTATTTATTTAGTGAGTTTTGTCGTAAGTGTCTTTTCCCTTGTAGTTGCCGACATATCCGGAGTTCTCGTGGATGTCGTCGCGGCCCTCGCGGCCCCGACCGCGGCCCTCGGCGTCGAAACGCTCCCTGTGGGCGCCCGTGTACTGCGAGGCGTCCGTGAGGCGGTCGACGCCGCCGCTCTTCACGGCCTTGGTGGCCCCCTGCGTGCCGGGGGCGCCGCAGTCCACCAGCTTCTCCTTGATCTCCTCCACGGCCATCTTGCTGCTGAGCTCGTCCAGGTACTTGAGGAACGTGTCGAAGTTCATGGTTTTGCCCTTGAATTTGTTGAAGGCGATGCCGGTGTCCGTGGTGGTGATCTTTTTGGCGATCACGCCCGCCTGCTTGAACCACTTGTCGGCGTTCTTCAGCGTGATCGTCGAGCCGTCGTTCTTCGACTCGCCGAATTTGGCGAAAAGGGCGAATTGTTCTTTCAGCTGCGCGTCGACCATCTAATTTTTGTGGAATTTAAAGGAAAGAACGTTTCAGTTTTGAATTTTATACCTTTTAAAAGTCCAAGAACTTTTCGATCAGCAAGTAAAATGAAGAGTTTCAAGAACGGACGTTTGAATTCGAATGTAGACTGGGCAACAATGTGCTTGATACTCTTGTTGTTTGGTTGAGTCATTTCAAATTTTGAATAGTTCCATTGTTGCGCAGAGCTTTTGAAAGATAATGTAATTTTGTTTGTTGGGCTTGATAAATAATTTAGGATATTTCATAACAAACTTTACACTGGTTTTTCTGATTTGTCGTTGAATATTTCTTAGAATATTGCAACATATATTTGGGTAGTCGCATCAATCAAATTAGCAAAGCGCTATTTGAACTTTTTTGTTCATCCTCGTTGCAAATTTCGTCTCTTTCATTTCAAAACTTCGTGTATTCCGATTTTGTCGATGACTGTAATTTGGGCTCCTTGTTTTCGGCGGTTTTCGGCTTTCTTCTGCAACATCCCATGAGGGCTTGGTTTTGGTAAAATGATTATTTTCTCAAGCTTTCATATTTGCTAATTTTGCACTTATTTTCCACGAAGCAAAAAAAAAATCAATTCAATCTAAAAATATTAATAATTAAAAAAATAATAACGAAATATACCCAGAAAAAAAATATTATTTAATTTTTGAACATATTAACAATAAAAGAAAAGTCACCAACTTGTTTGTGAATAATTTTAAACTTTTCTTTGGCTCCATAGTTTTCAAAATTTTTACTCTACATTGATGTTTTGCAAAGTGAATAAATAAATAAAATTACAATTTTTAAAGACAAATATTCTTTTTCCCAGATAATAAATTAAAAGTCGATAATACTAATTAGTAATCTGTCAATTTCAAACTAAAAACAATTTATTTTATGATATGTTGATACAAATATTTTGTAAAATTTCTTAACTGACTTTGACACCTATTAATGTTAGCACAATAGTTATATATGGCATCAACGCTGAGACGACTATTTTTAGAGGAGCACAGCAGGTATTTAAGGGTTACTTGATCTTCTATAGGAACATCAACTCTCTAAAAAGTCAGCAGAAAAAGCACAAAAATCCGCTGAATATTTAAAATCCATCTCCGTTACAAAGCCTGCCTTGTAATGTATTTTTACCATTTGTGAATATAATTTAACATGGGTGCTAATTTTAAATTTGACGAAATTCTCATCAATACTTCTATGGTACCGAATTAAAAAATAAAATAAAAATCCAATATTATAACACGTCAGGGTTTTGTGCAATTTTTTTTGTCCTGTCTAATTTTAAGCAGCGCCAAATTCTTCAACTTCGGCGAACATTTTCCTGATCGAGTCTCTGGAAGGCCTCCTTGCGCCTAAAAGACCGCCGTTGCTGAATGTGTCCGAAACCGTCCCATTCCGAACGGCCCCGTTCAACTGCACCGGTCCCGCAACGTCATTTCGCGAATTCAAATCTTGAAAAAGAGCCTGAAATTAGAGACAAAGTCGGCCTTAAGTCACAAGACTTTTAAAATTCGCGTACCTGATGGAATTCCGCTCCGGTCGTGGCAGCCATAAATTCGGCGCCGGCACCCACAGCAACGTTTGGCGCGCCGTTCATTGTGGCTGCCGATTCTGCTTTGCTCATCAAACCAGCCAAAACGGCGCAGAAGTCCTCAAGAACAGCCGCACTGTCTGTGTCTCCATCAACCTGAAATTTAATTAATTGCGTTCAAATAAAATAACCAAACGGAAAGAAAGAAAATAACAATTGTGAGACGATTCTCTTGGTCGAGTTTCTTGAGCAGTGGCAGGGTGAGTTCTCTGAAGAGCTCCAGGCGTCTCCTGAACGCGGACACCGAGTCGTCCAAACGACCTCTGCCCAACTGCAGTTTCGAGCAGTCCAATAAAATTGCTGCCGGACGCTGGTTGTACTGAATCGGCATAAAATTACTATAAAAAAGGTGGTTTCATGCAATTTTTATTCACCCTTGCTTCAAAAGCTCTGAGCTGCTGCAGGTCTCTTGGGAAGCCGGCGATAAGTAGACCACGCGCTCCAGCCTGCACCGACATTTGTTCTCCCAGCAATGCTAGCACCACCGTCTAAATAAGGAAGCAATACATAATATCAGTTAATTACACAATTGAAATTGAAATTAATTAAAAAAAATAACTATAAGCAGATTTAATTTAAATTTGCTTAATTTTGTTTAAAAAAGGTTAAAATACAAATTTTGAATTATAACTGAACGCGGATTAATTGTTAATTAATTGTTATTTGTAGCAATACACTTATATATTGTTTTTTTTTTATAAAAAAAAGAAAGTAGTGTTGTAAATAAATATAATATTAATGTAATTTTTAATCACTAACATAAATATGCTCTAGATATTTGTTTATTTTTGTTTTTAAAATTAATAAATTTTTTAATTTTAATATTTTTTATGTCAATTTAAAAGTAACTGTAAATTTGTTTAGTTTTCATATGAAGGAACTTAATAATATTTATTTTGTTTTTCTTAAATAATATATAAATTTTCTGATACAACACAAAATATTCAACAATTTTATGCAAAAATTTTATTGTCTTTCTCTTTCATTACTGGATTGTATAGTTAAACAAAGTAGATTTGAAAATATTTAAAATTAGAATAACCTGCATTGCCATTTCTCCAGCAGCAATATTATCCCTGAGTTGCTGCTGGCCTGGATTGGCTGGCGCTGACGACCCTCCGGCAGCTGCCCTGAGTTGCCTTCCGAGACTGACCAAACCCCACCCTGGCGTCCTCCTGAGCGCCCGCTGGCAAAGGGCCGTTTTGTTGCTACCAGGACCTCCGATTATGAAGACGGTCGGGGGCATCGGGAAAGGTTGGACGGGTGCGCTCATCCGATCAGGGTACGGAACCATCTGCCCTGGGCCCAAAGAGGGCGTTTCGATGACAGCAGCCACTCTGGCCTCGGTGATTTGACCTGGCTGACTGTTTTTTGGTGTCAGCAGCTGCATGACGGTCTCCTTGAAATCGCGGTACACCTCCTCAGGGTTCCGTTCGCCGTCCACCTTAAATTAAATATTGATTTTATTTCAAAAAATTATTAATTTTTTTATTAATTAATGATAATAAATAACTTGCGAGTTTGCTTACAACCATAAGGTGGCCCCTTTGGTCGAGATAATCTGCAACGGGCATCACACTCCTATAAAAGTTCCGAAGTTCCATTGTTGCCAGGGAAAGAACCACGTGGCCCAGCTTGGCGCCGTATTCAACCTGACGGGCCAACACCTTTTGGCGCCAACTTAGTAAAACGGCACCATTTAAAACTTGAATCTGAAATAAAAAAATTATATGAGAAAAAAGAAAAAGGTCAAGTTCAAAGAATTGGGTCAAATGAATAACTGGCACTACTTGGTCATTATGTTTATTATTTATTGATAGGGTGGGAAAATGTCCAACACGCCGTGACGGTTTTTCATATATATTTTAAGTTTGACAGCCTCTGACATTACAGGATTTTTTTTCACACTGTTCAAAAGAGCCAAGTGGAAAATTTGTTTATTAAAACTATCGACGTGTTTGCATTTAAAGGAGATGTGTAAAGAGCCGATGAATGAGGATCATCATTGGCAAATTGCTCATATATGTGAGCGCAGTGCGTGTCGCCAGGAAACGGGACAAAACAAATCGATTTAACAATTCGCGCGCGGCCTATTGCTTTTCCCCTTTGGGGGTCATTCATGCGTCTCTCTCAAGACTTTAATATACATTATGCCCTATAAAGTAAATTGTAATTGGGAAATTTTGATCGTCGACGGGGGCAAAGTGAGGCCTTGAGCCTTTTCAAAAGAATCGTCTGTTTATTGATGCCCACAGAATGAGACCATTGTGATGTGTGCGCTATTGAACTCTTAAATACGAGAATCGACAAATTTTGGAAGGTCAAATTCGAGGAAGGCGCAATATTTGATCGATTTGCTCAAGAAGGAAATGTTTTCTTTGTGATCATTATAAATATAAATATCAAGATTTTATAAAAAATCATCAAAACTTTTTTTTAGATTTTTTTAGCGAGAAATTTTTAATTTTCTCACCTTGTCCGAATACTCAGCCATGTCCCGCATGCTTCGTGGAAATCCGGACACTAAATAAACTTTGGCACTTGCTGCCATTTTCATCTCCAGCATCAAAACCTCTGTCACAGCCGTGCTCGGCAGTTGGCTGAAGTCTGAAAGTTCTGAAAAAAATTATATTTTTCCATTTTTTAATAAATATCAATTTGCAATTTCAAATGAACTCCGTTAAGAGCTTTAAAAAAAATCAAAAAATTCATGAGTCGTTAAAAAAGTACCATTGCCTACTGCAAACTGTTGGAGCAAGTCAGTCATGTTGATGTGGACAAATCCTCTTTTCTCCGAGGCCAGGGCATCGCAGTGTGTTACTTTCCCGCTCCCAGGCCCACCTGCAAAACAAATTTTTTATTAATTGAGCAAGAAAAAATCAATAAATTTAAAAAAAAAAAATATTTAATTTATACATCAAAATTTATTTAAATGTGATAAATATGAGAGTTCTGTGGCAGTTTCTCTTTAGAAATTTTGAGTAATTTTTTTTGGAAATATAATAAAAATCTACTCTAACTAACCCAGGATAAAAATGACTGGAACATTGGGTGGCTCAAATTTGACAGCCGTGTTTGGTCCCTGTCTGATGGCACGTCTGCTGACAAATCGAGGCTCCTCCTCTTCCTCGTCTTCCTCCGCAAAGCCCTTTCGACGCTCTTCGAAAGAAGTTTCAGAGCCAGGCCGCGGCTCTAAAATAGTTTAGAATTAATAAGTTGGTTTTAATTTTTTCTAATTTTATTTTAATGAATAAATTTTTTTAATTAGGAAGCCAATAACATTTCTATAATCTATAAAAAGAATAAGGAATAAAGTAGGCCACTCTTCATAAAATATGAACGCATTCATGCCACAGACAAAAATTCGATACCGCGCCTTTGCATAAAAGGAATCGAACTTCTTAATAATTGATTGCACTTCAAGGTGAACAACCCGTTTCGTATTGGGTGGGCCCTAATTTGATGACGCTTCCCTGTCTTGCATTAGTAAACAAGACGCAAAGACTTAATATCAATCTTTTTGTGAAGGTTCTGGCTTTTGATAAATTGCACTTCCCACTGTCAATATTATTTGTCTTTGTGACAATTTTATCTACTTTCAATTAGGAAAACGCTCTTGCAACACATCTTGAAATTCAATTTTGTTTTAATATCGCCTAAATTTTCTCAATTTTAAATTACATTTTGTTATTATTTTGCATTAAATTTAATTAATATATAGAAGTTTTGCAAAACAAAAAGAACTAATGCATATTAGCGCATATTAGAAGCACACGATATACGGCAAAATAAAAAATAGTTTTCAAAAAATTTCTAAAAGTATCGGAATAAAGGCTTGGTTTTTCAATTATCAAAAAGGAGCAAAAAATTTGAGCAAAGCGTGAAAATGGCAAGCGCCTTCTCCTATTTTCAAATGCAACCCGCATTACGTGGACGCTCAACAAGTGGCCTACGGTGAGCTCGAAGGTGCTTTTTCACGTTGTTTCCTCCCTTCTATAGTACTTCTACTATCCCTACCCTTAAGCTTGACTTACCTGTGTCCAGGCAAATGCCCATTACAGCGGGTCATGCCTCCTCAGGTGGTGCGCTGACAAGAGAGTGCGCGTCTCTGTGATACGTGTGTGTGTGCGCCTTTTTCTGTCACCCTGCGCGGCGCATGTTTTTCGCCTCCCTTTCCCATCGAACGATTTGCATTGCAATATTAATATGCTAAATTCCGCGGTCGTTATTCGCTCCATAGCACTTTCCATTTGAATTTTGGCACCTTCCGACAAGTCGATTCTGATGAGCAACACTTATTTCAATGAATTATTGGCTTGAATATAATTGAAAGCACAGAATCGGCTATTATTTAATAAATAATAATTTATTGTTTAATAAAAATCAATATATGTTTTTGAGGCTTGAAATTATTCCTATTTAAAATTTTTGTCTTGGTTTAGATTATGAAAAGTGCAAATAATTAAAAATGATCTGCAATCCACGTGCTCAAAAGGAGGCAAATAAGAATATAGGACAGAGACCAAGGCCGTTTTTGCTAAACACGATTTTTTATTAATCGAAGGACGGCATCCTTGGTCGAAATAGCAATTCTTCTTACTACTTCAAATGATTTGGAAAATTGCGTTACTATAAATATATAGGACTTTTTCACAAATAAAACTATATCGTTCTTTCTTGCACAATTTATTGGACGTTGGCTTGAGGCTTACATAGGATTAAGAGATGTTTTGAGGGTTGTATATCATATCAGTATAGTATATTTTTATTTGTTTTCGATGCTTTTTGCCGTACTTGATTATCAAATATTTTAAGCAGCATACAATCGCTGGACATGTACACATGGGGGCGTTAATATCAATTTTATTGCGTTTTTTTTCTGGAAAGTGAAGAAGTTGAGTAGTTAAAATGTTTTTTGAAATGGAGTCAAAACCCCCCTTTATTGATGAATTCACATCACTCATGTTGCACAAAAGCTCATTTTTTAAGCACACATCAAATTTGATTTATTTCGCAAGGCCTTCATATTGAAAAAAATAATTAATTAGAGTTTTTTGTTCAATTTTGAAAAACTATATTACATTTTAGAATCATAACTCATTGAACGTGCGAAGAGAAAATCTAATTACGCACATGTGCTTTTACAAATTCTTAGTCGGATCGAGTAATACACAATAGCTTATTTATCTTCATATATTGTAAAATATTAATATCTCTGTTTACGAGCCTCATCTTATTAACCAAACATTACGCAATATGCGTTACAATTCAGTAGTAGATCATCCTTATGCTGCTTTTTTATTTATTTATTTACTGCATTTTTCCGCAAAATTGGTTGCTAATTACAAGTGGCCACACCTGAGTGCGAGGAGTCGCACTATCACAGGACCAATCATAATTAATGCACACATGCTTAATTTCCAAGGACGCCCACGTACCTGAACAACACGGAGAAAAATAATTATGCACATATAGCTGCAAAACTAAACTAGATAGGTGGCAAACTGTAATCACAAAGATGCTGTTGCAAATTCAAAATATATTTGACGTACTTCTTGCAAGGTAATTATTAATTCTGGTGGCACATCCATATTGATTAGAGGAAAATGTGGAATAAAACAATGTAACAAATAAATAAATGCTGGTGTCAAAATAAAATCTTCCTAAAACTAAGTAAATAAAGTGATATAAGTAAAAAAACATAATGAAATGTATAGAATTGTGGGGAAATTCAATGTAAGTAAGACTTGATAATAATAAGAGCTCAATCTTTTTTTTAAATTTTAAATCCAGTTATCATTCTCTGCAATTTTATTCCTTCGAGACAGAAACAAATCTTACAATTAAGCGCTTTTCAAAATCTATTCAAAAATTTGAGCCTGTTCAGTCAACCCCGTTTCTGTCTCAAAGCGGCGCTTGATTTAAAAAGGCATTCTTCTCCCACCTCTGTGGTATCGAAGCACAAATTATGACCAGTTTCATCACATCGTAAAATTTTTAAGAGATATATATTTTCAAGTCGAAATAGAGCGAGAAAAGGATTTTGTTCTAGCATCTATTCAGAAGACAAGTTTGAAATGTTTGAAACAATGTTTTGGCATTAAAATAAAATAAAAACTAATCAATCCCTCCTTAAAGGCTGCAGAAGCCTCCGAACAGCTGCTTCTTCCTCTTCTCGGGTTTTGAAAGCACCAGCAAGGCGCGGCAGAGATCTGTGGCCACCAGGGAAAGGAGCCGACCTACCCTTCGGAGGCGCCAAACCCACCAGGTTATCATCCCTGATGCTGTCGCCGGACAGGGAGCGCCTGTTTCTAGGCGAACTTTGCTTTTTGCTCCTGACAAACTCGATTTTTATGCTCCTGTCTCTGCTGAGCCTCTCTTTGGCCTCCTTGGCTTCCGAGCTGAGGATGTTGATGTCATCCTCGGTCGCCATCCGCTGCGCCTTCTTGTATGCACCCTCCTGCAGACTGATGCTCTTTCTCATGACGAAAATCTGGTGATTCTCTTGCTCCTCCTCCTGCTTTGGCAAAACAATCGCCCCAATGGTGATTATCTTCTTGGGCAATTCGACTTTCGCCTCTCCGGGCTTGCTCTTCTCTTCGCTGTCCGGAGTCTGGCTGTCCAGGCTGCGAGACTTGACCTGAGGTGGTCTCTGACTGTTCGGTGAAGGGCGCCTTGTTGCCAGTTTGGGCAGAGAGGTGGCGGCCTTGGAGGCTTTCAAGCCGCGCACACATTCGCAGTCGGAGGCGTTTGACATTTCTGGTAGTGACCTCAGAAGGCCTATGGAGCGGAGGTCAGCTGTCGGCTGAGGTCCGCACCGCCCTAAGTAGATGTGTGCGCATTTGTAGAGACGGGTTTGCAGGGTCAAGACTTCCTCCAACTCAGGCTCACTGAAATTTAAATCGAGTGAGCATTTGAAAGTATTAAAAAAAATTAGAGCATACTTTGCAACGGCTAAAAATCTTTGGAAGAGCTGCATGGGTACATTATTGGAGCCCTCGGCAATGTCTGCATAGAGATCGGTCTCTCGGTTGTACAGGTAAATGAAATCATTGAGCTGCTTAGCTATCACAGCAACACGGTCCTTGCCAGCCAGTTTGCGACTAGGAACCTAAAATTCAGTTAATAAAATTGTTATGAAAAAATCTTAATCATACCTTCACAAAGTAAGGAGTTCGGAGGTTGTAAGAGGCTTTCTGCAAAAACCTGAGGATCAGTTCAGCGTGGGTCTCACACGAAGCAAAGGTGGGCCCTGCGAGGCGACGTAAGATTGTGGCCAGGTACAATCCAAATGCACGGCGAGACTGACTTTGGCTGTAAATTTTTTAATTAGGAAATTAAATAAAAATTTAAAATGTGTTTTTCTACTAAACCCTTAAATTTTGTTGTTGTAATTTATTATAGGCAAGATTTTAAGCTCAAGAAATTAAAAATAAATACATAGAATCTGTCACCAAACTTACTTTAAGCTGTTTCCATTCTCAAGGGACTGCCGCACTTGCTCTTTTAAAGCGCTCACTTGTTGGGCATCCTCTGCTGACTCTAAACCCACGCCTGGAAAATAAATAGACCATAAAATTGTGACAATTTATGCTCGATTTTCCAACCTTTGTCTCCGTCTAACATAAACGCTGCTCTGTGGCCTCTGAGGAGTGCTCGTTCGTATCTGCTGAGTCTGTCAACTCTTGGAGTGCAAGTGCTTTGGTCGGGAAATAGGTGGCGCTGCAGCAGCAGATTCAGGTTGTGCACTGCTCCAAAAGGTATGGAGCTGAGGGGCGACGGAGTGCACGGCACCCCTGTGGTGGGATCCAGGAAGGCGCTGTACCTCCTCCAGCTTTCTGGTGACGGGAAGATGCGCACAAACCCTCCCCGTCGCTCAAACTCAGCTTTTACGCTGCGGACAAGTCGAGACTCGTCTGCAGTCAGACTAGGGGTGCTTGAACTCAATCGACCTGAGGCACCCTTCGACTTTGGAAGTGTGTCAGCCGACTGCACTCTGCGACACTGAAAAAATTAAATTTTGTGTTAAATTGTTAATTCCAGACAATAACATTTTCTCTTTTTACTAAGTAATTAAATTTTAATTTCAAAATCTATGATTTTTTAACAAGGGAATGTGGATTTTTTTTTAATTTTTCTTAAGCTCTTTTCGAAAATTTTTGTGTTTTCTTCTGACAAATTTTTTTCCATTTTTTGTTTTCGCTTATAACTTTTTTGAATATTATGATGTATTTTTATTTAATTAAAACTTAAAATGAATGTTAATTAGGTTCCTTTTATGAATTTTGACTTAATTATAATAATTTCTGTTTTAAACTAATCATGTCCAGTTTCAAATTTAAAATTGACAAAAACTACTAACATTATTTAGTTTTTTGAGCAGGTCTTGAGAGTAAGACGTGGTTTTGTTAGCGCCTCCTTCATTAGCTCTACGAAGCATTGGATCGACGGCAGGAATGCCAATGAGGGTCAACAGGTCAGAGAGCATTGCTGACTTGACCCTGACGTCTAGAGGTGAATCACAGCCCAGGGACGGCGACAAGTTGACCTCCAACAGCCACGGTTTCATGTTCGAATCGATGAGAATGTCGAATCCATACAACTCTGCGGGATTAGATGAGGAGAAATAAAAATAAAGGACTTCACACTTGAACTGTCTCACCGAAACAATTGTGAGTGTGCGGTACAAAAAGTTTGCAAGCTGCCACAATGGGTGGTGCTGATGAAAACACAGCCTTTACAATAAGTTCTTCAATCCTCTGCATGAGAAGGGCAGTGTCGTGACCTTGCGACTTCAGGTGGCGCAAAAGTGCACTCAGAGTCCATTTGTGGCCAACGTTCTCCGCAAGTGGGTCATCACTCCTTTTAAAATAAATATAATTTAGATGAATTAGAGAAAGTGGTTTTTTTATTAAGAAATAAGTCCACTGGAAAACAGGCCATTGTATCAGACCATTTTTTAATTTAATTGATCTAATTTAAGCAAATGATTTAAAATGGTTAAAACTATTGATTAAAGCAACACATCACATATTCATAAATCTGAAAACATTTTTTTTCTTCTTAAATCATTACTACCAATTTTACTGAAATTAAATTAATCCCAACTTTTAAGAAAAGAATTTATAAAAATTTTATTCTATTGTGTACTTGACAGTTTCATTAAAACTTACTTGATGTAATCCGAGTGATACTTGTTGATGGAATAATTGCAAAGGTGCATGCAAGGATTCCACAGATGCTTGCCGGAAGTGTCATATTTGACTGTGGCAAACCGGACAAGCCCCTCTTCATACAGGTAGATGAGCATCGGGTCGTATGACGTTACCACCACATACAGCCGCAGATCACACTTGTGGCCGTCGATCAGCAAAGGGTTGTCGATGTACTTGGCAACAATCAAACTCTCCTCCAGAGGTACTTGTTCAGGCTGCAATTGACACAAAACATCATTATTTACCAATAAAATATTGATTCATAATTTTTTTCTCCATACTGTGCTGACGATGAAAATTCCTCTGCCCCTCGAGGATGCAACCGGCTTCACAATCCAAGGCCCTCGTTGGCGATAGTGCGCCGAGCAGAGATCCCTGAAGTCGGTGGGCATGACGAAGGTCTGCGGGATGAAGTCAAAGTTCTTGAGACCTTTCAGGTGTTGCATCTTCTCAATGTTTTTGTACAGCCTGTCTTTCCTCGTCAGTTCGTACGACCTAAAAATAAGTGCCGGTCCCATTAATTTCCACACAAGGCGACGAAAAACAATAAATAATACACGCAGTGAATGGAGCAGTGAGAGTTTTTTTATTTTTGCAACATTAAAATGGATATTACTCAACGTGCGGTGCAAAAAGTCATTGTAAGGCGCGAGAAAGAGAAGGTCGACAAGGTAGAGGAGAAAACTTGAATTGTCAGCGCGATGACAAGTGCATTTTGGCAGCGACAGAGAAAGAATCCAGTTACGAACGCGCACCTTGGGAAGTGGTTGACCCTTTGATACGGCGTCAGGGCGCGCAGAAGATGTGGCTTTGGGTGGATGCCAGTCCAGAGCAGGTTGAAGTCCGGGATGTTTTGGTGAACCTGCAACAAATTGCGCATTTCCTTTTTAATAACCTCCAATTTAGGAAAACAAATAATGCGACGGTGTAATTAATTAAAAAAAAGCAGCAAACAAACAAGGCTGCGTGTTTGTATTGAAAAAGGCTCTTAGCGCTTGGGTGTCACATTATATGATTAACAACTTTTTCCGACATCGCGGTTGCGGGTCGGCAAGGCAAGGCTGCAGCAAACCCACCGTGAAATCGCGTGGCGCCTGCGAAAATTTGATACACGACGAGTGAGGAAGATCTGTGGATTCGCCACTTTTGCGCTCGGCTTTCTCTTTCCCAAATGCAAATTTCTCTGAATGGCAACACGAATTTCTACTTAATCTGCTGTATTTTTTTGCCGCATGTCATGTTTCATTTTTCTCCTTCTTCATGATTTATTTAATTTTATGAAAGCACTGGGGCGGCCACTTAATTTTTATGCTGAGCGTTTTGGCAAAAATCTTCTGGTATAACATTTTCTTCTCATTTTCCCACTTCGGATTATTAAAATAAAATTCATGATAAAATATGCAATGAAAAAAAATTAAAAGTAACTTTAAAACTCTTTCTCCAAATCCTTAAGATATTTTATAAATTTTTCTTCAGTAATCATTTGAGTTATTCAAATGGATTTTGAAAAAGGAAAATTTGCGGTTTTTTCCCCTCAACAAAGATAAAAAATAATGGCCTAATAAATAAACTGATAGAAATTGATACAACTTCAATAGTAATAAATCACTTGCTACGGAAATAAAGTTTGGCTTAACAATTGCAACCTAGAATTTTTGCCAATCCATTGGTCACTAATTAGAGGCCTGTTGGATGGCGCAGAAATTTTTGCCGCGATATCGCATCATTCTCGTTCAAAGGTTTGCTTCCGCGATTCGAGCAGATGTGTGCGCGGCCGGCTTGACGTCAGCAATTTGGCGTCGACGGTGTAATAAATCGAAAAGAATATAAAATAAACGAGGGAGAATCATCGGCGATAATGTATATTTTTATTCGAGAGAGACAATAGCGCCGGTTGTGCCAAGTGCGCAATTTCTGCTCGAGTAAAACGTTTCACACAAGTGATAAAAAGAAGTTATATTCACCGCCAGGGGAAAAACGGGGTTTGAATTCGATTTACGCGCATTCGTTTTCCTGCTAACTGCACTTTCGCTTAATCCAACATGTGCATCTGATAATGAGAGCCTATTACTTATTTCTAGTTGCACACTGTGATACCTCGAATTTCTCCTCACGCGATGAAAGTGCCAAGAACTGGTGCAGTTGCTACTTGAGAGAATGAGTGGAAAATTTAAATAAATTTGCAAATATTGCCGCTTAGATGATTATTATTTTAAAAAAGCCTAAATTTGAGCTAAAAATGCAGCAAAGCAAAACAAAAAAATTTTGTATTTATTTAGTTTTTTAAATTTCTGTTTTTTTTTTCAATTTTAATTCTCTTTATTCATCATTAATCAAGTTTTCATTTGTAAAACTTGTAATAATACTTAATTTTTAAAACTTTAAAAAAATTACGATAAAAGAAAATATAAAATATGAAAATTTAGCAGAATTTGCGCTTTGAGGAAGCATCAATGAATAAAAAAACCAAGTTGTTAATTGTATTTTTTAATTTTTATATTCCTCACAAGTGCCGTTCACCTGCAGATTGGTACTCGGGGAAAAGGTGTGAAATTTGTCTGGAGCCGCAGCACCTGTGTTTACTAATTTCTGTCACGCGGGTTGTAGAGACGGAAACTTTTGTATTCAGCCCGCCCGCTTGAGGAAGCGCCGAAACGCACGGCTTGGAAAGTGAAGGTTGTTTTTATTGCGATTATCAATCAGCCGCGCGATTTCATTTTCAGTGATCGCGCATCCGCACTTGAACATATATTTATGTATTTATGCATCTGACGAGACGTGCGCTACAAGTGAAAAAAAAATTGATGGCGTGTGCCCAATATTTTTTTAACGACAAGTTTTAAAATACATATTCAATTTGCTTTTACGACGCAGAGAATTAATAAAATTGAGCAAGAGCTGCTCCAATTTTCACGCTCGATTAACGCACAGATATATAAATTAAAAAATGCTCCAGGAATTTCCAGCAAGGCTGCATAATTATTTGTAACTCTCATTGAACTTTCAACCGAAACAAGCGTTAATTTATTTCGTCGGCCGCACAGCGCAGGTCAACAACTTTTGCAGATGGGATTTCCTTGCGCGTATATTTATGCGTCTTGAAAATTGGTTCACGGGCGCAAAGGGATTTTCGCTCTAAACTGGAAACTGGCGGTTTTATAGTAAGGCCTTTCCACTGCAACGAGTAAGCAGAGTTCGTTTATTTCCTTATCTCCTGAAAGTGATTGAGTAGATTTTGTTAAATAATTTAATTTGAATAATCTCGTTGAAATTAATTAGGTTATCAACTGTTGATATTAATCAGGCTAATTATTAATACTTATCTGAAAAAGCTGTCCGCCCTTGGGCTGATTTGTAAATTTTATGTGCAAACATAAAAATGCACGCTAATTTTTTGTTCTGGGATTACACTAATCAAGGTCGTTTCACTTTGGCCAGAATTGATAGTCAAGAGGCGCGCGCAAAAATGAAATAAACTGCTCGAGAGTGCCAAAAGTGCGCAGAAGAGAAGTAAAACTGATTCGCAAGAAAACACAATGGTCAATTTTCTCTTGTCGGCTTCTCAGAAAAGGTGAGATCATCATGGCAGATTTGCATTAAAAAGAAATCTGCCACATGATTGGTGAAATTTTTGCCCTGCAATATATCAAATCACACTTGAGTTTCCAAATAAATTAAAAGTTCCAGTTGACCATCGTTACACTGCAAAGCCGAATCAAATCTAACTAAAGATACAATTTTGATCGTTTTTAATTTGCTAAATCAGATGAAAATGAATGTCACGAATTCGTAATTTTTTAATAAATGAGGAGTCAGATTTATTTATATTTAGTGAACGTTTTAAATTTCCTTAACAATTGTAAATTCAAATGCAGAAATTATTAAAATTACGGCGAAGACTTTTCAAAAAATATATTTTATAATCTTTAATGAATTTTTTATTGATATTTAACCAACCATCTGATTTTCCTGAATTGAAAACAAAATTTTGAATTTAAAAAAAAGTTAATTCATGCAAAACTGTGGTCGATTCTGTTACGATAATGTGCGGAAATACGCATTTCTCTGGTATTTTGCTTCCTGTTGTGCATTTTTTATTATTCATTCAGATTTCTTTTCGGGCTCTTTTATTCAACAACAGAAAGTTTGAAGATGAAAAATCTAATTTAGTGGAAGAGTCGCACAGATGACCCTTATCTGGTAGAAAAGGTGCAATAATTTCCGGAGGCACTCAGCTTGATGAAATTCAGAGATCGCGTGCGTGTTGCTTCTGTCGCTCTCTCGAGTGCACAAATTAATTAACTAATGAAATGAGTCTGGGTGGAAGAAACGCACGCGCGGTGCATGTAAACAAATGCAGGCAGAGCCAAGTTGTCTGGCGCGACCGCTGTTAATTAGCATTTCTATTTAATAGGCGGTGATGCGCTCACTCGTACAGGCTTGTTGTGGAAAAGAAGTCTCCAGCGAGTCTGGCGTGCATTTGCTCCACTTTCACCCCGCAACCTGCAGCCACGGCAATTAAACTTGAAGCGCGCGGCCGGCGTGATTCACTCTGAGCCACACAAAAAAATGACCCACCACGTAATAAGCACCGCTAATTTCGATTTCCTCAAATAGGTGAAATTTTTGTGCAACCTAAAACCATTATGCAAGTTTTGACAAAAGTTTAATTAATTTTTTTCCCTAAATTTAGCTGCAAACTAGAACTTCGTTTACAAGGCAACAACACGCATAAAAAAATAATAACTTAAAATATCCGATAGAAAAAAAAGCATACATTCTCTGCAAATAAAGGCTTTTTGGGAAGGAAACTAAGAAATTGACTTTAGTTATTTTTTGTAAAAATCATAAATTTGGAAAAAAATTTATTTATTTAAGGAAAAAACAGTTTTTTTCAAACGCTAGAAGAGCACTAAATAATTTTTCCTCTCAAAACTTCAAGACATTTGATATTTTGAATGAATATTTAAAATAAATTAGGATTTAATCTGCGTAGTAAATTGGAACCGACTTGACAGAAAGAAATTGTAGGGTTGCTTGACCTAAAATTTATTCCTGCGCATTAGCAATTGTAATTTTCCTCTAAGTACAAATCGATACAAAATCTAAGCCTGCGTGGATTTCCAAACAGCGCTTTCAAATCTCTCCACCTCCAAACAAACATTTGTTGATATTAACTTTCGCAATTAGAGCCATTCATTCATGATCTCGATGGAGCGGCTGGCAGTCTGAGCGGCTCAATCTGCTGGAAAGTGGGAGCCGCGGTGCGCGCGCGCACCGCTTTTAAAATAAAGTTGCCAGCGTTCATGAGAAGCCAGTCAGTTCAGTTTCAGTGAACGTGCCCTCGAGAGCACAAACGCCGTCGTCATTAATTCCATGTGAACAACAAATAAATGTGCTTGTGAACGAAAACAACGATTTTCTCCACTTCGTGTCCGACCCAAACTCCCGATGGCACCTTTGATTTTCCCAATGTGGTACGTATAATAATTTTGAAAACTCAAATTCGGCCGAGAGGAGCAAGTTTTGATTCACCTTATTTTTATGGCCACATTCAAGCCGGTTTCAAAACAGCACCGCGATTTCCTCCGTATGTCTAGAAAGAAAGAAAGAAAGCTAGTCCATCGAATATGTAAGACAAATATTTGTTTTCTGCTGACAAATCGTTATTAACAACCTTTGCCTTCCTATCTAACAACGAATTTTTAGCTTTTAGCGTGACTGACATTATTGAAATATTTATTCAGTGACTTTGATATTAATTTTCATTTTGAGATCAAATTTTATACTCTCATTTCAAGTTTCGGAACAAAATTTTTTGAATAATTAATTAAAATAAAAAATTTACCCCTAATAAAGTCTTTCAGCAAAATGCAATATGAACAATTTTGATCAGAAATTGGTTTTCCGCTGCTTTTCATAGAATATAGGTCACGCCTTGGGACACGTGTCCTGGAAAATGTGCCGCTGCTGGGCTGGCTGGGCATTAAGTTGTATTATATGGGGAGGCTATTCGCGTCGCTCCTCTCCAGCTCCAGAAAATCGATAGCGGCGCTCGCGAAATCCAGCCTGCACAGCCGCTTTTCGCCAACATCAATCTCGCTGGCAAATTAGCCGTTGGCCTTTGGCCGCTTCCTCGTTCAAAAGCACCCGATCATTTAGTTTTTACCCGTAATTGCACTCCGCAACTTTGCACGCCGTCCGTGTCAATTAATCACACGAAACGTCAACTTTATAATTGGCGCTGCGGTAAGTGCTGCTCTTGCTTGGTAATTGCGCCAGTGCATGCAGCAACAGTTTGCACTTTTGGTTTTGAAAATCGTATATGGACGTCGTGTGCTCTCAAAACTCAAATCTTCTGCTGACATGCGAGAAAAACTTGTTCCGCGAGGCGAGAAACCGAGCAGGCCACATGATCACCGACAACCTGTGTGGCAATTCGCGGCCAGTCCGCAATTCCGCCAGTTAATACAACAGCAACAAAACCACGTCATAATGCATGAATTATAATTTGTATAATTAAAGGAAAATAATTTTTTCACTTTCCTGGTGCTGAAATTTCCACGTACCATTGACAAGCTTATCAAGTCCTGGCAACGATATAAAAAAAAGGAGGAAATTCCGGGCTTTTTTTTTGATAGGAAGTGTATTGCAGTAGATATAGAAGGAAATTCTTAACTTTTTTATTACAAATGGAAGAAATTATTTTACTATTTAAAGTTCAAAAAAACATCTCTGAGGAAATAATTGGAACCAATTTTTTTTTAATAATTGAAATTTTAAATATTTAAAACTTGCATTTTTTTTCTAAATCGATTATTTTTTGAAGTGAAGTGATCGGGCTTTTTCCTCGTTGTAAAGTTTGTTTTAATCAGAAACAAAACGTCAGCGTTTGCTCATGAAATGGGTTGGTACTAGAATTAGTTAGTTCAAAGATTTTAAATTTATTTGCTAAAAATAAAGGTTTTTCAAATTGCTCGTTTTTGGAATTTTCTTGCTCACAAAAAAGCTTCGCAGACCTTGACCGAAACTGGTAGAGTCGTTTTGCTTTTAAATAAAAACAATCTTTACAACAAGGAAAAAGCCTGACCTCTTCCAGGATAATATTTTGTTGATAATTAAAAAAAAAATGTTTATTTATATATTGTAATTTTGAAATATAAATTTCCTTGAATCAAACGTAAAAAATCCTCAAGAGTTTGAATGAAAGCATTACATTTTAAGATGCAATGCTGAATTTAATGGCTTAATTAAAAAAGTAGCGAAATTCACTAGACGTTTGTTGTAAATTACTTCTTAGTTAAGTTAAAAATTATGCAAAAATTAAAAGTCATTCGCCGTAATTAAAATGTTATATAAATCGCAGAAAGCCTTCGAGAACAGTCGACTTTTCCTAATCTCTCTTTCTTTCGACGGCGGCCGTGAAATTCTGAATTGAGAAAAGAACTGCAGTCCTCCCCCCTCGCTAAAGAGGATGCTCGTAAATTAGCATGCGTTTTAAAGACGCAATAAGAACGAGTTCTGCGCCGCCGCTGCCGCCGCGTGTCTCATTGAACAACATAATACATCCGACGCCTCCACCTTATGTAATCGTTTCATTAGCCGATTTTTGTGCTGCGAGATCGAGATGGGATGTGTGAGGAGCGCAAAGGAGGAAGGAACCTAGACCTAAATTTGAATGTGTGCGTTTGGCCTTGTCGTGGAAATAAACCAGCGAGGCGGCGCCGCGCCTCTCTAACTTTTCAACTTCGGCGGCGAGGCCGCATTCGAACAAATCCCATCGACTCCCCTATGGCTTTCGGTGTGAAAAATAAGGCCATCCAGCAGACAGAGACAGACACCTCTTGATGTTCGCAGTTGAGGGTCGACCAATAAATTGTGCACTCCACGCACTTAAGCTTAATCGCCTTCAATTGTCAAGATTAAATGAATAGAATGACATCATGGAGAGATGGATCTACAGATTCCAACTCGCAAACGCAAACTTTCTTCAAATAGGTTCAATTTTTTTTTTTACAAAAATCAAATCAATGTAAATTGCTTCCATAATTTAAAGAAAAATGAATGGTTTCCCAATGTTTTTATGAAAATTAATAGTCTTTAAAATTAAATTTATAGACTTATAATTTTTAATTAATCTCTGATTGATCTGTTTATTTATTTCAAGGAAAAGAAATGATAATTTGCAAAAATATTAACTTTTGAGGACTCATAATAAAATATTTTAAATTTAATATTAAATTCGAAGATCCTCCTGCTGGAAGTAAAAAGTTTATAAAATAATTTTTGGCAAACCAAGGAATATTTTCAGCAAAATTGAAATAAAAACAAATGCTTTCCAGGAAGCATTTTAGCATTTTCACAGGCCAAGACCAGTTCTGTGTTATTCTATGCGAGTTACATAAAAATGTGTATTTTCGTTTTTATTGCGAAACCTTTGTTTTGCCGACAGATTAAAAAAGCTTATCTGCATGTCTTGAGACGCGCAGGGAGTCCCGCGCTTTAGAGCAAAAACGCGGTTTCGTGCGGGAATATAAATAAATGCGGAAGGTCCAAGTTATTTTATTTCGCTGCGCTTCACGCAAGCGGCGCGCCATTTATTGTTTAGACCTTGACACCGAACGGCGGCGTCTCTTCTCGATTCTTTTTACTCACTCACTTACGTGCAGTTCAGCACGAAATCTGAACGTACGTTTATACGAAAATTATTTTTCTCCAACCCCTTCGTGAGCGAGATCGACGTTAATAAAGCCATCAGCACGGTTAGTCGAGCAAGGCTTAGCGACCGAATCGATATTTTTGTCGAGACAATGAGGAGAAGGTTCAAGCATGTGAGGCAATTTTTTGCTCGGCCAAATTAAAATAGATTTTGGCTCCCGCTTCGCCATTCGATATATTAGCCGTCTCGGATTTTAAGTGCCAAAAGTTGCAAAGATTCATAGAGGTGACGTGGAATTTAATTGCGGATCGGAAGAATGAATCATATGTGTGAGTAATTTTGGTGGTAATGACAATTACAAAGAACTATTTCCTGCATATTTTTTGTTCATTCAAATTGCGTTTTTTTTTCTTTCTAAAATTATTTCAGATTTAATATCTATAGATTTTTTTTCTTTAAAATATTTTTGTGCACCTTTGAAAGTCGCTTCTTATTGATAGATTAAAATAATGCTCTTTTTATCAGCTCAGTAATTAACTTATATTAAAATCTTCTTGATCATTTTAGTAAAAACAGGAAATGAAATTAATCTGAAAATTAGACTTTGAATCTCATCTTTAAAGTTAGAAAAATATACAAAAGCAATCTTGATAGTAAAAGACAATTGTAGAAACCACTAATCCATTAATAAACCTGCTGTAAAGGGGCACGTTTCAGTCGTTAAACGAGAGCTGAATCCGCCTGACGAGCAGACGAAATTTATTGAATTTCAATGCACGCGGCTGCAACGCGCGCGGCTGACCCAAATTCGGCGCGCACGAAAATAATGTTGTACAAATGCGATTCGAAAAGCATTATTGTCGTTGCATCCGCCTGTGCGTTTATTTTGGTCGTGCCCTTTGCTTCGTTTCATCAATCCAATAAGCAGGGCTCGTCGAGTGTTTGATAAAAACAATGAGAAGCCAAACCTAGCCCTTATCAACGCAAACATTCGGCACTGCTTATCTGCCTGCGACTATAATTGAATTGATCTGGGAAAATATTTTGACGGCGATTTGGCAACCTCGGCAGTGTCATTACACTAACGAGGGAACATTGCCAATCTTCACTTGCTCAAATTTTAACTGCCAAATAGAATTAGCCTTATATGGGACTTCACACGGAACAGAATAGGACACTTGTGACATTAATATTTAGATGAAAATGCAATGTAAATTATTTTTTAGCGTTGTTTTCATTGAACATTTTGCAGCGATAAAGATTTAATAACAATAATAATTTAAAAGGTATAAAAGTTTGAAAAAAAAATTGTAATAATAATTTTATATTTTAAAATAAAATCTTATTTTCATCATTTAATCATTTAAAAGTATTAAAAATGAATTAAATAGTTTAATTTTAAATTAATTTAATGGTAAATTTTTGAAAGAAATTTAAGGATAATTAATAGAAATTATATCAAATTTTTTAAATTGATACTTTTTATTGTTTTGACAAGATTTTTGACAAGAAAAAAAGTTTCATAATGTCTGGTAATACAAAAAACATAATTGACTGCAAAATAATATAAAATATGATAAAATATAAACACAAGTTTGTTCGGTTTGATTGTAACATTTTTTTTTGTATTTCATTGCAGAAAGGCCGCGTCGCTCGAGATGCCCCAAAGAAAACAGCCAAGAACGCTGCAGACAATATGCCAAGAGTGTATTACATCTCATCTGGCCGTCACCTGTCGCAAGCTGCAGGTATATAGACGCACGCATGAATTAATCGAACCGCACCTTTCTGACTCGGCCTAAGGTCACGCTCACTCCGTGACATATTATTTTCCACTATATTAATTGCGCCTCTCGATCGCGACTCGAGCGCCGCGTGTGTTTTCGTTCGGATCGGATTGCGTTTTTATACTTTGCATCACAAACTCGGCGCACATCATAAACAAAAGATGGATGCTTCTTTTTCCATTCATTGATTCGCCCCGAGCGTTTCTTGAATCGCAGCCTTGATTAGCGAATCGTAACGGACTGAGCGAAAGAATACGCAATCTTTTTTATTACTTTGTTGTTGTTGCTCATAAAATATTTATTGTTGCATGATGATAAGGCAAATAAATAAGAATTTAGTTAAAATGTTTTTGAATTTGACAAGTGAGCAACAATATGTAAAAAAGGTATATTAAAAAATTATTGTAAATAAAATAAATTAGTAAACTGGACCAATGTAAAAGATTGTTGCTGACAAATTTCTTTTATGACTTCTCACTAATTCTAAAAGGCCAAAAAAGATTTGATTCTATAAATTTGAAGTTCAAATAATTTTTAAAAATTTTCTCATTGCAGTCGGCAGCTCAAGATGGAGCGGCGGCGCAAGTTCTGAGCCTGGCCAAAAAGCAGCTCAGGCCCTTGTACCTGGCAACCCTTCCAGGTTCGATTCGGACCGATCTCCTACGTGAAGCTTCCCGTTTGCTGAGTTCACCGCCTCCAGACGGCTCCAGCTCTCCAGGCGCTGGTCCCGCACCCCTTTATCTCCTCACCCTTTTACTGGCGCCGGACGTCAAAAGTCTGCGCATCGAACTTTGCTGCTACTATGGATGCAGCCACCAGGTGCAAATTACAAAGCATTGGCAATTTTTTAATGAAAAAACATTGAAAAGGGGGAGTAGGAAATCCGCGTTGAAATAATCACAATCAAGGCTTTTAAAAATAAATTTAAGCAATAAAAAATTATGTATGGAATTTTTAAAGATAATTAAGAGTATAATTATAAATTTAGATCTTTTTATATTTCTTACAAAAGTTTAAAATTAATCAATGTCGCCAGTTTAATTTGTCCTCTTTTTAATAATTAATTTTACAGCATAGAAACTGTATAAGCTGAACTATTTTTTTTTTTATCAAATTCGGGGTGTGGTTAAGATGAATTAATTAGCCGGCCTCGGGATTCCGCGCGGTGCATCAGACGCTAACGAGTTTATTGCCGGGCAATAAAAATAAATAATGCAAGCGCAAATCTGGCACGTTGCCCGAATTCCGCGGATGCAAAATGATATCGCAGCACTCATGCCAGACGCGAGATTCGTAATTCAATCCGCATGACTCGCCAGTTGCAATGCAAATAATTTTTGGAAAGGGCTCTTGCGTGCCGTTGACACCGAAAAATTGTTGCTCGTTTTTGATCCATTCCTTTTTCGCAGGCGGCACTTTTGCGGCTGTTGGCGCAGGAGGGCACTGGCCTGCGCAGTCTGGAAATCGCGAGGACGGCCCTCTTGAGGCTGGACAAGGCCCTGCTCAGGTCGGCCCTGACGGCGGCCCCTTCCCTCAGGAAACTGGTCATGCGAAACATCGCCAGCGATTCAATTTTGCAGGTGAATTTATTAATTTTTTCGAATAAAAAGTACGAGCGCGGGTTGTAAAAAAAAATGTTTTACGAGCTCGCGTTGCAGCTAAATGCGCAGCAATTTGCCGGCGCGGCTTTCACTTTTCATGTCTAATTGCTCTTTAATTTGCATCAAAAACACCTGCTGAATATTTAATGCCTTTTTATTCCACTTCTGGGGACGATCTTTGTGCATTTTGAATAGTAAGACTCGTCTCGAGAGAGCGGTAATCTGAGCAGGCACTTGCTTTTGCAACACCAATTAGACATGAGATATAAATGCACGTTTTGAAACGTGCAGAGCTCTTGACATTTCAACTTAAGACGAGAGTGCCATTTGCTCGTCTTCTCGATTGCCTGCGACCCAGTTAGGTCACCGAGTGAGACAATATTTGCACTGCTTACCTGCTAAAATAATCAAACCTTGCATAACTGTGAGGAAAGCCAAAAGTGCGCCACCGCAAATATTAGCATTTGGCTTTTCGCCCAAGACCCCTATTGACCAAGCGTCGAATTTCTCAGGTGATCGGAGCTAGTTGTCCTAGTTTGGAGGTGCTGGACGTGGCTCACTCGCGCCAGGTCACGGACAACGGCGTCCGCGACCTTCTAGTCAGCGTCGAACTCAAGGACAAAGTCGGCAACCAGGAGCAGCCCCAGAAGTCGCCCGTGCACCGCTGGGCAAAACTGAGGATGTTGGCAAAGTTCGTGCCCTGGATGAAAAACGAAAACTCGGGTATTTAGAAAGTAATTATTATTTTATCCTTGGCGCTGACGTGAATTCTTTTTGCACAGATAAACAAAGAAAGGTGCTTTTGCACTATTGCGAAAGACGAAACAACCTTTGCTCTTCGCTGCACACCCTGGACATAAGCAACACCGGAGTGAGCACGGCAGGAGTTCTTCTCGCGCTAAATCACGCCCCTGGACTTCAATCCTTCGGCGATTATGCACACACTGTGACTGCCCTTGAGGCGCTGGACAAGACGCCCGTTAATCATCAAGAGAGTCACAACAACAGGTGGAGTGTTTTCAGAATTTAGAAAATGATAAAATTAACTCATTTAAGTAAGAATTTTTGCTTATAAAAAAGATAAAAAATAATTTAAAAAAGACAAAAAAAAAGCAAGAAAAGGGATAATTTAAATTTACACAATCACAATAGTTATTATAAAAATATTAAAAATATATAGTTTTTATTTTTATTTTTAAGAAGCAAAAACTTTTTGCATGTTATGTTATATTGTCCTTTTCTTTCCACACATAGAGATTCAAGGCTAGATTAATTCTCGTTAGTATGGTAGTATTTTTTTTAGCTAGAAGAATATAACAAGGACCGTCTTTGAATTACCTACAATTTTGTAAGACAAAATTTGGTTGCAGATTTAACCTGATTGCGGCGAGGACGGCGCGAATCACGCAGCACCGCCTGGAGGTGATGACGCATTACTGCCCTGAGCTCAGGGCACTCGTCCTAGACGAGCCCCGGCTTCCCGCGACTGCCCTGCAGAGTTTGCCCAAAAACCTGTCCATTCTTGCCATACACTCGGCGCCCAACAACGCACTCTGGCTCAGCTGCCTATACTCGCACCTGAAGACCAACGGGCACACCCTGATGGAACTGACCCTGAGGTTCAGCTTCGTCAACCCCAACGAAGTGCCGCGGCCAGCCAACGTTTTGGATCTCACTCAGGTTCAATGCAATTTATTTTCGTTTGAATTTTTTTAAATTTATTTCTCGTAGGTTGCGAATTCGTGTCCGCAGCTGCGCACCCTGATCGTGGATGGCTTGAATGTGGCCTGGGAATCTGACCAGGGGATATCCTTCTCGGACAAAAAACCCATGCCAAACCTGAAGGTGGCACATTTGGGCAGAATAGTCAGTGCCCAGGCCATTTCCAGGCTTCTCAGGTGCGCGCCAGATCTCAGGGTAATGCACATCTTCTGCTGCCTTGATCTGCAGGACCGTGATCTGCGGCACCTCGTTCCCCATATGAAGGTTTTTATCTTATTATAATTGTAAAAAATCCGTACATTTTTTATTGTTTTGATTGAAAAAGTTCAATAATTGAAATAAATTTTAAGATTAATGAAAAATTAAGCTAATTTGATGGAATTTGCAAAATTTTAAAATTTATATTTATCAAATGAAACAATTGAGGTTGGCAAATATTTGATATTCAAAAATTTTTTATTTTAAAAATGATTCAAACTTTATTTCAGAAACTGGAATGTTTCTATATCTACGAAGCACGCCAAGTGAAAACCTTAAGTGCTGTGAACGCACTGATCAGCTCGTGCGGCCAGTTGAGCAAGTTGGGCAACCTTGGCAGTTGGGGTCTCGACTGTGAGAGTACAAGGGCGGTCTACAGCCAAATCAACGGCGGCCAGTTGCAGCTCGAACTGCTCGGTGGATCGCACTGGTTCAACTCGCCGTGCATTCACACCACATGAGCAGCGAAACCACCCTTTACCTGGTGCCAAATCAAGGGCTGTGGATTTTTTAGTGCATTTCCAGTGCCAACCGAATCAAACGTGGACATATCAAAAGTTGATGAAGGTGAAGAGGAGAGTATTTTCTGTGTCTACAAGCTAAATAAATGGATGTGTGTATGAAACACAAGTTGCCATTTCAATTAGATGCCGTGCCAGACTGGATCGAAGCCAATTTGGCGGATAATTTGCAGAAAGCACTTTGCGCCGGAGATCGAATTCCAGGCCAATGTCAACAGCTAAATGTTTTATCCCCATGCAAATGGAAGAGTGAAAAGCTGTCCATCAAATGATACATGAAAGGAGAAATTTAAAAGTTTTGACACGCTTGTCTGACAATCGTACTAAAGGTCATGAGGTTATTTTTGTAAAGTTCTTTGCTTGAATTATTGATCAAGTTTTCCGATTAGTCTATTAGTGGCAAATCAATAACTTGTGACTTGTGCTGTCCTTGCAAGTTGCAAAAGTAGGAAATAATAAATAAAGGTCAGTTCATCAAGAAGTCTTATTTAAAGTAAATAAGTAAAAAAATTAGACACAGAATTTCATAAGAACAATATAGCGATTTTGTAGCTTTAAGGCCACAAAAGTCATTTAAATTAAATGATAATGGCTTCTCCTCATTGTGAAATGAACTCATGTCTATTTTTTAAAGCTCCACGTAGAAAGGTTTTTGAAATGTTATTTCAAGAAGAAATGAACAAAATCATGGAAATTAACAGAAAATCAGCATGATACGAAGCAGAGCCTAAAATTAGTTCTTCATTCCATGAAAAAAATTTAAAAAAAAGAGACAGATTTCAATAAAAACTTCAATTATTGTTGATAAATATGAAAAACAGAATAAGAAGAAGACAACTTTCTTTGATTTCCCAAAACATGTTTTTTTTTTCATTTGGCGCGGAGTGAAAAATTAATAATAAAAAATTGCCTCCATCCCCCGGCCAGATCGAGTTCAAAGCCCTGCGATCGCCCTCGATGATGACGCGGCGCGCAATGCAATTTGTTCCAAGGACCCTCAATGCCATCGATTTCCTTTTCTCGCCACTAATCATTACAAGTCAGCGATTTCCTATCGCGCAAAACTTTTGAAACACGCATGCAATGCCCTGTTTAAAACGCCAGGCGTATTGTCATTATTTCTGCGTGGCAGATGCGCGCCCAAAACTGTTTTCCCACGACTTTTTTTTCGCAAAACAACTCCAGGTAGTCGAGTAGGCGAGTTTTTGCGGCAAGAACTTCTTTTCCGCCGCATTTTAATGGCGAGGGATGGGAAAGTTTGTTATTCAAAGGCGGCGTGTACTCGGAAAACTCTCGAGCACTTCTTCCTCCGCCTTGGATTTTTATAATGAGCAAAACCCCGGCAAGAGCGGCTCTTCAAATTACACTATTTTTCCTGCAAAGCTTGGCAAACTTGCAGGGCTCGTCGCTCAATATCATAAAAAAAAACACACAACCGGCGCAAAAGTCACTCGACAGAAAGAAGAGTTCAATTTTCGTATCCGATTGTTTTACGCAACGACATAACAATATCTTCAAGGATGTGCAGAAGTCGCAAAAGCGACTCTTTTTTTCTAGGTCTCTCTTTTCCACGAGAATTGCACAGAAGTCTTAAAAATGGAGAGGTGAGTCGCGGTCTGATCAAAGAACGAATTGTATTTTAATATTAACCACGCGCGTCATGCTCTGAAAATAAAAATGCTATTTTGACTCATCCGAGTCTGGCCCATCAGCGGAGAAGCGTTTAAAAGTCTCGAAATCAAATCCGTACGAAAATGGTCTGTGTGGCCATAATTTTCAAAGGCGCTTCAAATTTGGATTAGCTTCCGGAGCGTGAGTCACAATTGGAAAAAATTATTCCGTAGTCACGTGCGAAGCAAAACAATGACGACGGCGAGGGTTCAATGTTTCCGCAGCACCTGGCTGATGTGAAACGAAATTTATGGCCGCGTGGGTTTCGATTGTCGAGGCGCCGCAATAAAAGAGCGGCAAACTGACAAGAAGAGATTGGACAAATTTCTCGTTTTAACCATTTTTTTTTAAAATATCAAATACAATAATTTTGAGAAGGATGACATACAAAATATGCGATGTAATTTGGATGGAAAAATATTCAACTCATTAATTAATAGAGCGCAATTTTAGCAGATAAATAAATTAAAATAAATAATTTGATTCTCAATTTAGTCAGTTCGTGCAGTCAACATATTATTTGTCCCGGCTAAAGTACGAAAACATGATTAGATAGATTACAAATCTCCGAGTTGTTAATTTTAATCTAATTTACCTACGTAATTTACATTATAAAGCTTGTGACCTTCATCTTAGCTGACCGTTTTTGTTAAACTTTTAAATTGATAAAACTCTCCAGATTATTTAGAAGTAGCATTTGTTTTAGTTTTCATGCAATTATTTAGTTAAAAATCCCCACCGTAGTTGCTGTGCGAAAATCTTAAGCGTTGAACTGCTTGATTTGTATTTTGACTCTTTTTTTTAATGAAAAGTTAAAAAGTTAAAAAAAAAAGTATAATTAAAACGTACAGCTCGTCGTGTGTCTAAATTGGTTATTTAGAATCATTTTAAAATTGAAAGTATGTACATTCTTGGCTGCTCCCAAAAGTTCTTCAAATTTCTCAACAAAATTAAATTTTCCGCCTAAATTTAAAGGAAACGTTTTTATATGTGGCTCAAAATGATGTTAAAAAACGAGCAGATGGTTCTTGAATTGAGACTTTCAATGTAGAAGTCCAATTAATATTAGAACAGGAGGGGCGCAGAAACAAACGCGGCGCAAGATCGATTTCGCGCGTCATTAGTCGCGGCGGTTAATTGCGGGCCTCGCGGCGGCTCCTGAGCGTTTAATTTTCCTACCTCTCGCATCCCGTGGGCGTGGAGCAGGGCTGAGATGAGTTTGGTCTCGGCCTGGATGGTCTTGTAGGTCATGTGGAGGGCGTAGGCGGGAGGGTTGTCGGGCCGCTCGGCCAAAACGCCGCACCTGAACTTGAGGAACGTGTTTTTGCCGCCGAGCGGGCCACCCACCAGCAGACTCAGGTCCCAGTCGCCCTCCCGGCTGCTGAAACGAAAACCGCAAAATTTGTCACCAGAGTAGAAAAAATAATGTTAACAAAGTTTTTCGCGCCTCTCTACTCTTTTAACCTCAAACTTGTGAACATTCATTGTGTTCGCTTCAAAATCACTTTTTTTAAGGGAAGAAAGTAATGCGATTTAAATTACTTGCACTGCATGTTGAGAGTGACAAGTTATTTACGTACAAGAAGCCCTATTGAGAACGTAAAAAAAAATCAGCATGACTTGAACTGACAAAAAAAAAACTCTTTGGCAAATTGAGCATGTGTGGTATTTGCAAGAGACATCTCGGAAACGATTTCTGTATTATTATATTATTGGGGTGAGTTTTATTTTCATTTCGGTCTAAGCTGCCAATTATTATTATTATTATTATTATTGGGGGCGGTCGATAAACTCCATGATTGGGAGAAAAACTTTCGGTTTCAGAGAAACAAGTGCAGAACATGTTGTTTTGAAGCAGTAAAATAATAGAGGCCAAGTTGCATGAAGCTTTCGTTGAGTTTCTTTTTTTTCTTCTATCTTTTGTTTGTTAAACTCTCTCAGTGGTTAAATGGAAGTCACGATTTTTTTAGCGATACGTCACGTCAGATCAACAGTTTCTCACTCCGTGAATTAAAGTATTCGTTAAATCGAATAAATTTGTCTCAACAGTTGTTACGGAAAATGAAAATCGATTATTATGAAGAAAGGCGTTTGCTGACGTCGAAAAACTGAATTATTGATTTATTTCATGTGCATGTAATTAATGCATGAATTATTTTATAGAATAAGCTGAAAGAGAATCCGTAACATTGCAGTTTGATTCATTTATTTTAATTTGTTCTATTTAAAAAATTCCGTGTTAAACAATGAAATTGCTAATTTAAAATAAAAGTCTATGATAAAAAATGGAATTAATTAATCATTGGCAGATGAAATAATTGCAAGCCGCTCAAATAGCAAAGGAAGACCTATATAAATTTAATAAAAATAACACTTTATAAATTTACAAATGAAAAAGTTCATATTCACAGAGAAAAAACATCGATACTAACTAAGGCTGTTTTGAAGTTGGAAAAAGTTATAGTTTCCGCAGAAGAGAATGGTCAGCATGCAACTTTGCGCTTTTCAGCCTACGGCGCTTGGATTGCGTGAAAACGCAAATTGCGTGCGTGCTTTAAATTTTTCCACTTTTCATCTGGCATTCGCCAGTCAGAAACTGACAATCGTGAGTGAGACGGGCGTTGAGTGGAGAAACTGATTAACCAGCGACGCATGTCATACTTAAAAAATAAAAATAAATCAAAGCCAGTTTTCAAAATAAAATTGCACATTAAAAATTTGCTGCATTTACAAATAATAATGAAAAAAAATTATGCCTAAAAAAATGAAAAATTCAGTAAAAATTAAAAACCTTTTAAGTTTAGAAAATATTTTGCAGATAAAATTTAAAATTACAGCAAATTTTTTGATTACAATGTAATTATGTGCACTTAAAAATTCCCTAATTTCTGCTTATAAATCAAATCAAATATTTCATTGCCGCTTTAATAATTCCATAAATTGAGACAAAAGAAATTTGCTAATATTAGGAATAATGAAAACCAACTTTTTTTTGCAAGTCAGCCAATATGAAATTTGTAAAATTTGCAATTTGCGAAAGAGTAATTTGGGGGTCAAGTGATTCTGCTGCCAACGGGGTGACCCCATCTCGGCGGGGCAAACAAAAGGCGCAACGGACGGACCGAATCTGGGTCGCTCAACATCAGCAGCACTGCAGCAGCTGTAAAAAGTGAAAGTGGCCGGAATGCACCCATTGTTGTGGCCGCGGCATAAAGAAGTGTTGACAGAAGCGGCCACGGCGCGGCGTGCTGCATTTCGTAGTATTCGCTCCAGGGTACGTCAACCTTTCAAAACCAACTCCCTCCCCCCTGACTGTGAGTTTGACACGCCAACAGCTGGACATTGATCCTTGTTAATGAACGCTGCAGTTTAAAGGTCTACAACTTTGTTAATTTTTAATTCCATTTACTCTTTATTTTTTTTTTAATTTTCTCAGGTTGAATTAAATAATTACCTGTGACCCTGGCTGTCTGGAGGGACGAGTGCCAGGTCCGCCCCAGCATCCTGAGAACCTTCCTCCTCCTCCTCTACGAGGCTGCCCCCTGCAACCATTGCAAGGGAGGCTAAAACCTGTAAAAATATAATTGAAATTAATTTTTTTTATAGATTTATATTTCATCTTTACCTAAATAAAGAAAATTTCAAAATAAGAATCTCTACAAAAGTGTGATTAAAATTAAAAGAAAAAAAAAATTTTTTTAAAAAAGTTTTACAATCAATGTTTGCTTAGGGTGGGCCTGGCCCTCAGATTACTCAAGAGTTTAGGATTTGACGGGGAATTCAGACGAAATTCTTTTCATCTTCACCACCCTTCAAGTCAAAGTCACCTCTACAGCCGGAAGAGTCTGATCAAAAATCTGCCCGTGCAGAAGCAGCAGCAGCGATATGCATAAAATAAAAAAACAAAAAACAGCTGCGGATGTCTGCATTGCGGTGCCGGCGGCCGCGACCGTGTGGCCGCCGGAGGGCCCACTTGCCTTGCTCATGTCTGCCGAAGGTCAAGGGCCATCGCCTGTGGACGCTGCAGGGCTCGTTCGGCGGCGTCTCGTCCGCAAATCGCTGACAAATCGGCCCGAAAGCGAGCGAGAAATGCGACAAACTGACGGGCGGCTCAGCCGATTCGCTGCTCCGACTGCTCGCCCTGGTTCCCGATCGGCCGCACCGCACGTGGAGGCGCTGCAATCAGTCCACGACTCGCCGCTTGGCTGCCGCCGCGGCCCCTCGCCCACCGCCTCGCTGCCCTGGCAACCCGCCTCGCTCCCTGCCGGGCCGGCTGCATAACCACCGGCTTGTTGCTTTCCCATTATTACAACCCTTCGTGATTGCCTCGCATTCTAAAATCAAACTTATACGAATGGCCGGGGTTCATTGGTTTTTAGCGTCGCCCGAAATTAGATGTAATGGATTTATTATTTTGTTTGCCAAGGAAACGAATTTTATGTATGGATTTGTCATACTTTTGTGCGCTGCGAACTGCCGAAGGCTTTTTGTACTAATTGCGGTTCATTGACTGAAGAATGAAGAATCAACTTCAATAATATTATTCTTGTTATGATATGAACAGATTTATTTGTCATAATTTTATATCATAGTTGCAAAAAATGAATTGGTAAACCCGGGTAAACCCAAAGGCACAAATGGAGCTATATCATGAAAAGATTAAAAAATGTTACTATGCGAAAAGAATAAAAACAGTAATTTTAATCTCAAACATTGAAAAGGTAGTAAAGACCTCTTTACAATGCACGTTACAGGCACATAGAACAACCGACATATTCTAGAAATATTAAATTTTTTGTCCGAACATAGAAATTTCAGTAAAATAAATTAATAATTTTAATTTTGCTCTAATGTACGAAGGTAAACACCACTTTAAATTGCTCTATTTTATGCTTTGACACTCCCAGAAGACGTAAAAGGCAGGTTAAATGAAATAATTTAAATTTATGATTTTGACCAAGAATCCAACTTCCAATATTGACTCGGTTTGGCCAGCACGTTTGATTAACGTTCTTTGTTAATGTTCTCTCCTGGTCAAAATCAATATTTAAGTAATTTAAAAAAATTTAAAATAAAAAAATGAATATTTTACTAAATACGTCGAAACATATTTTTTTATGTATGTTAAAAAATCACAGAGATATAATTCAAATTAATCAAGTTTCACTGCGGTTATTATGGGATTATAAACATCTCTTTAGAAAAAAACGTCATTAGATTCACTGTAGATTAGATTACGCTTTAATACCGCAGATCAATAATAACCAAGTTTAATTTAAACACGCAAAAAATCACACCCTTGAGATTTAAAATACAAAGAAATTTCATTGATTTTCACCATAAAAAATGTACATGATATTTTGAGGACACTGAAGACAGTACCTTTTTGATAGTGAAAAATATTTCGAAATGGCTTTTCAGGAGCAAAAAGTTTCCACACAAGCAGACATGCTTGAAAGTAATCTTTGCACGAACGAAGCAATCTCGCAGTGATTTGGCTCTTTTGCTGATATTGACTAGACAAAAACGTGTCGTGCGTTTGGCATTGTTTGGATTGCTTTGGAGTGGACGGCAGGTTTAACATGGTAAATATGCGCGCGCCCACGTGAGCGGCCGTCGAGGCGCTGGAGGTGGTTTCTCGATAGAAGAAGAAGAAGCGCCTTTGCTTATCCTGCTGCACGTTCCGTCTGGGTCAGTACAAAAGTGATAACCAAATGATTGACACCATCTGATCTCCACCAAACTTGTGCACCGCCAACACTAAACATGAAGCTCAAAATATTCGAGAGATTTGAGGTTTGTCTTCAGTTCAAAATTTTTAATTAAAATTTTATTCTCATTGAACAATAAAAAAAAATATATATTTTTTTTTATAATTTTTTTTTTTTCTACGCGCAATACTCATTTGATTCTTTTGGCACTCTGGTGTTTTTGAAAATTTTATAGTTTCAAATAGTATAATTTTTATTTTCATTTCGATCTTTTCTTTTCATTTATGAATGCATCATAAATTGCGCGTAAAATCAAATACGTATGTTATATTGCAAAATTTTTGCTTCTCGTCATTATTATAAACATCTTTTTTTCTGAAGGAAATCTGTAATTTACGATCTGTGCTGTGATTACCAGCGTAAATTTGCAACTATCCACTACAGCTCGTCGTGAGCACGGCAAGGAGTGCAATAATTATATTTATGGGCACAGCAGAGAGCCCAAGGTCGGCGTATTTTCTTATTACCTACTCGGTGCACTGACTGCGATTGTTAACCGTAAATAATTACCATGCACGATTCTTTAATGCATTTCCTGCACAACACACGTAGCGTATTTTTTATTTATGCATTTTGATTTAAAATTGCAATTCGTCTCTTTTGGCGAAATGAATGAAATGAAAATAGGGAAATAACGAAAAATTCCGATTTCAGCAACAACAAGACGGCCCGGCCAAAGCTCAGGGTATTGCAATATGGCAAGCGGCGATTTTCATTGCGGCACAAATCGCGGGGAGCGGCGTTTTGGCCCTGCCCAAGGCGGCCAGCGACGCAGGTAAGAAGAAGACGACGGACACTCTCTAAAAATAAATTGCCCACGGCGCAAGACACGTGCGAGAAAATTCTTTTTGTCAACACCTGTAATGACTGCAGCGTGATGCGTCGATTTTTAGAAATCTGCAGTTGATTGATTATCAACGTAATATTTCTTAATAATTTGATCTATGGCATAGTATTATGAGGAAATCTTTTAAGCTCATAATGATTTTGAATATTTAAGAAGAATTGCATACAAAAATTTATCTCCCGGATTTTTATAGAAATTTTATTATAATTTCTATGGTTTTGTGTACAGCATTTATTCGGACCTTTTGATATCCGCTCTGACAATTTGTCCCTTTTTTTATAACATTCAAACTAAAAATTCCTGAAGTATTTAAAATAAGTAAAAATTTAAACTGGCACACATCAGATTTTTTTATTTTTTCTTTTTCATAAAAAATTTTATATTTGATTTTTAAAAACTTCTTAGAGTGATTCTCTTAGTTTCAATGGTAAATTTTCATTATCTTCGGAAAAATGATGAAGAGAAAAATGAATTCATTTTTATTAATGTGACTTGATACTTTATAAAAAAATAATGGATGAAAATGCGCTCTGTAGCATGGTATTTTCGCAGAGTGATTTATTTTGATTAATGTTTTGACAGTCAAACGTATTAATAAAAATGAATATATTTTCTCTTCAGAACTTTTCCTACAGGGAATTGAAAGAAACCGCGCGGACCATTCACAGAATAAAATAAAACCACATAAATTTTTATTCATATTATCGTGGTTTTAATTACTTATTTACTTAAAACATATTTTATCTTTTCACTGAATGAGAATAAATCTTTTGCCAAGATTCTTATGAAAAAAAAAACAATTTTACAGGTGGATGGCTTGGATTGGGCATCATGTTAGTGTTGTGCGTGAATGCAACTTTTGCGGGCGCCCACTTGGGGTTGTGCTGGGCCATCGCCGAGCGCCACTACCCAGACCTGAAGACGCACATTCGCAATCCGTACCCCACCCTGGGCGAAAAGGCGTACGGCCGCTGGCTCAGGTGGATCTCTATTAATTTATTTTGAATCGATTTGTTTCAATTGAGTTTTGTGCCAATTTAGCATAGTGATTTCCGTGGCCATGCAGGTTGAGCTGATTGGCACAGGCACCGTCTTCCTCTTGCTGTCCGCACAAATCATCGAAACGCTGCTGCTGCCCTATGAACTGAGCGTCAACGCGTGCGTCTGGCTGCCAACACTTGCAGCCTTCCTCTGTCCCGCCATGTGGCTCGGCTCGCCAAAGGACTTCTGGTAATTTCCCATTTTTTCTTTCGACGAAAATTATTAATTTCTAGCATTTCATTTTTATTGAATTATTTAGAATAAAGCAAATAAGCAAAAATTATCTTAGATATTTCTTTTTTAGTTGCAAATAATTTTTTTTACTTTAGTACACTTGAATTAAAATCGCATGATGATTCAAATTTAATTGAATTTCAACTTTTTCATCTTTATTTGAAATGATTTACAGAATTTTATCACTGTAATTCTTTATTTCTGTAATTCGAGTAATGATGAATTAAATATATAAAAATTGTGTTAAAGGCAATTTGGTGTTGGAGCTCTGCTGACGACTTTGACGACATGTATCATAGCTACCGTTGAGAGCATCAATGACGCTGCTACAGGACTTCTACCTCCTCCGGACACATCAGTCACACTTACTCCGTTAGTATACTAATTATACTCCTCTGTTTCAAATACATTATTAAATTGATTAAATTTAATTTAATTTATAATAAAATTATAAATTTAATTCCGCCGGAAATATTTAATATTTGTTTGGATGACTTGACAAAAATTTCTAGATATCAATTTGATTTATCTAGTACGTGATGGTATTCAACAACTCTTAATTCTGATAAAAAATTAACATTTTTTTTCTTGATTATTTTAATTTTTATCTGGCAATTTGGTAGGCTTTCCAGCCGATAAGCACCGAATGGAGCTTGGCAGGATCATAGCCTATCCAGATGAATATAACTAAAAAAAAATCTACAGAATCAGCTTGCATATATATAAAAATATAAATTATCAAAAAATTGATCTTGAACCTCTCTTTAATTTTCAGGAAGAGCTTTTTCCTCGGATTCGGTGTGATTATCTTCAGTTTTGGCGGTGCCTCGACCTTCCCCACGATTCAAAACGATATGCGCCATCGAGAAAAATTCCCGATCAGCGTGATGGTCGCTTTTGCGGCCATCATCACCATGTATGTCCCGGTGACGGCGGCCGGCTTCGCTGTCTACGGACACGACGTCCAGTCGAGCATCCTCAACTCCATCTCCTCCGGCCCGGCAGTGGTGGCTGCGCAAATTCTGATTGCGATTCACTTGGTCACGGCGTTCGTCATCCTCACCAACCCTGCAACCCAGTACATCGAGCACCTCCTCAATATTCCCCACAGTAAAGTCTTTTTATTAATATTATTTTCAAGTATAACAAACTTGTGGGTCATTTTCCCAACAGAATTCGGCTGGAAAAGGTGTTTGGTGCGCACATGCGTCTTGCTGCTCATGGTGTTCATCGGCGAAACGGTGCGAGACTTCGGCAAAGTGCTCTCTCTGGTCGGTGGCTCCACCACAACCCTGCTCAACATGGTCTTCCCGCCTATAATCTACCTCAAGTTCAAATCAACTCTCGAGCCCGAAAGGTAATATTTATTGAACATTAAATTAAATTTTGGTTCATTTTTTATTAAAAAAATATTATAGAAATTAACAAATTATGCACAATTGAACAGCAAGAATAGGGAATAAATTACGATTTTTTTTACTTTTATAATTAAAATAAAAACATTAAAAGGAAGAATAGACTAATTTTAAAATTCAAAATGATTTATAAGTTAAAACTGAAGGCAAGATTTATACAAAAATTACAAATTTATTATTTTTATCAAAATTTAAATAATAACAAAGTTATTGTTCTACATTATTGCTAATATTTCATGAATTAAAAAATTATTTAAATAACTCCTTTTTTTGTTTAAAATCATGCAAATAATTTTTTATTATTAAAATTTAATATTAATTATATCATTTTATGTGTTATATAAAATAATTAGTATATATTTAAGTGTTATTTATTAATTTTCAGCACTGTTCCACTCTGGAGAAAAATTTATCTCTTGGTTATCCTGGTGATAGGACTTGTAGGCGGCGTGGCGGCCACGTACAGCGCCATCCTTGACATTGTTGGCCCACAGTCCTTCAGGAAGCCGTGTTATATTCCGTGACTCATTTAAATTTAATTTCTTCTGGAAGCTGTGTTGATATTTCACATCTGTTTTATTTTTATTACTTGTATTTTGAAATCATCATAGAGCATACATTATTTTCATATGTACTTAAATAGATTTATTTTATATTCGGAACTATAAATCGTAAGGTATTATTAAAGGAAACTCTATAGTGTAAACTTTGGTAAGAGTTTATTTTCCATCCTTTTTTATTTACAAGACTCATTGAGGTTGCATCATCATCTCTTTTAGTGTTATCATTACCACAGGGGGCTGGAACTCGCGGGGTTGCATGTTTCTTTTATTACATTTTGATTTATTTATTTAAGAGCTGAAATTAAGTACACTGCGCATAGATTTATATCTTACATGTGAGATAGAAAGAGAGAGAGAGAGAGAGAGAGAGAGATAGATAGGATGTGAAAGAGTTGAGATAGTTTTATAAATTTTTGCGTTTTCTTTTTTATGCAGAAACCAAAATTGATAAAAATGAGCTTGCCACGGGTAACAATACTATGAGTTAGTTTCATTAAACAGGTAATACAACAACTCTCCAGCTAAACAAATAATAATCATAAGAATAGTAACAAATAAATAAGATCCACATATATTGTTGAGTTGTGTGTGTGTATGTGTGTGTGTGAAATACCTCTTGCGAAAACAGACATTCCATCTAAGTTATTACGTTTAACACAAGCTTTTTGACTTTGTGTGTAAAGTGTGTATGTTTAATCCAAAACACGAAAATCAACTCCATGTAGCGGATCTTTCAATATTCACAACTGATAGAAAGCACAGCTTCCTAAAAAAACAATTTTCAGGAAAACCGAAAGGTTTCACAGAGCGTCGCATTTATTAATTAAGTCGCCAGGTAAAAATTAAAGTAAACATTTTGATGCGTGAGTTGATATTTTTCTTTGTTTAATTAAGGGCACAGGTTAATTAAGGGAGTCCCTAACTTTTCAAACACAAGCTAGGGAAAAGTTAGGCTCTTTAAAGTTGAAAAGAGACAGCAAAATGAACGGCTCTTGAAATGAAATTAAAAATTTGACTTGAAAATCGTGTAGCAAGATTACTGCAATATTCACACATGAAAATGCGCTCGCCCTTTATACATTTTGATGCCTCTTCTATGGATAAATGCGTTTTAGCATTGTGCTCTCACAACAACTGTCATTATTAGTAAGTCAATCAATTTTTCTTGTGAACATTTTCAATAAAAATGATACCAAATCATCCCTTGAAAGCAAGTTTATAATGCGTTTATTTCTTGTTGGTTGAGTGGCCGAGGTGTTTTAATGCTTAATTAGTTTTCCGGTTTTTAGAATATTTGGGTAAAATTTAACAACACAATGTAGTGTTACATTGCTATATTTATTACATTAATTTATGTACCGATGCTTATCGCTATATATGATAATAAGAATATAATTCTTCAATTTTAATACTTTCCTCTGATGCGATTTTGAAATGGTGCGTTTGATTAACATTTGCAAAACGATTTTTCTCTTTTGTTATTTATATTAACAGAAAACAACAACGATATAATTGAAAATTTTTAAAAGGTAAAAATTCAACATTTTAGATCTCTGATAAAATAATCACTCGCTTTTAATATATATTTTTTTTTTCAAATACAACACTAACCACTCAAGGAGTGTACTGACCACAATCATGATATAACAACCACATCTGATCCGTTTGGAAAAATACGTCGAGCAATTATGTTATAATAAATCTAAACAATCACGTATATATATTTTTTTTTAAGAAGCTGCTCTCGTTTTTGTGTGCAGGCGCTTCCCCTGTCTTCAATTTTAACAAAACAATTTGCACCTGTTCTTTTTATAAAGTGTTAATTGTTGATTTTAAGTAAAAAAATTATCGTAATGAGTCACACCCAAAAGGATTTACTTTGTAGCAAATCAAACACGTATTATCTGTAAGATATTATAGGGCGAGTTACATTATTCACAACAATTGATTTATGCTGGGTTACTCTTGGAATGATTTGCATTGCTCAAAAACTCTTTTTTGTTCAATTTAGATTGATTTTATATGTTTCAATTTCATTTGTTTGGGGAGTTGGGACGGACGATTTATTCAACAAGTCACCTCTCACAAGAAAAGAAAAATACTACTGAAATATATACGATCGATGCTGCGTTTAGAATATATAATAACGGCAAAAGAAGCTTTTTTAAACTAATTTTACCTCGGTCTTGATTTCATCAGATTTTTAAGGGATATGTTTTTCAATTTGTCGTTCATCCGCTTACCAAGGACAGGCGATCAAAATAACAATTTGCACTTTATTTCCGCAAAATTTTGATTGAAAATTTCCTTAAAGAATACTGATTGTTTCAATTTTTTTTATTTTTCGAGGGGAAGTGAACTAGCTAAGATTTTCATAGCTGTCATTCTCCGCTAATCGTTTAAAATACAAAAGTACTTTTTTTACTCTCTCGAAATGTAGTACAAAATCTACTTTAACTGCTGCTCTAATTTCTTGTCTCCCGTGATTTGTGTCGCTTTTCTGCTGGTGTTGGGTAGATTTTGATTATTTTTCTCGATCACCGACTTGAATAAAACTCTGTAATTTCTACTTTTAGACTGATTTGCTGGACAAACGCTTCAGAAAAGAGCAGTGCCAATGATGTGCGAGCGAGTGAAAAGTGCAAAAATCGAAATTGCAAATCAAGCCAGATGCGAAATTATCGAAACCCCTCCTTTTTTTTATCATCGTCACGATTCTCCCAGCCAAATCAGGCACGGATGGACCCATATTCAATGTACATTTTATTCTTTCTTAAGAGTTATGATGTATATTTAGAGAGGATCGCGTTGCTCAAGGGTTATTGTTTGCCGTAAAATAGTGCGCGTATAGTTTTTTTTTATATGTTTTAAGCGGATCGATAGCTGCAAGATTAATAAGTATATACGTCAGCAATAAGTTGCAACTCTTCATTTAAAAATTTTAACAAATTAAAAAAAAAATAATACTAACCGAGGGAAGTATTGACTGAGGGAAAGAAATAAAAAGCATCCAATGAACAAAGATTAATCTGCAGTGGAAAATGTTGGATTTGCAAGTGATCGTACAAGTCCACATTTCGACGGAAATTCTTTGCTTGGAAGAAGAAAGAGAGCAATGACAAATTTGAGAACCAAATATTAATTGATAAATCTACTCATCTAGAGGAATTCGTTAGATTAGTTGATGCAGTGACTCCATTAACAAATAATGAAGGACTTTGTTTATATCGTGGGGATGAGGTGTTTTATCCAATCTATGAGCTCTATAGTATCCGACTAGTATTTTATTTTTCGGTTGGGGGACACAATGTCTAATCGTTGATAAAAATACGGCGAGCACGGAGTTAGTTAAGAGTAATGATATCGAAGTATGGCACTGGCGAAGAACACTCTGCACATGTGTGTACGTCAAACATCAAATACCTGCTCTCATCACTTGCACACACAAAATACACGCTTGGTTGATCACCTGTTAGCAGCATTCACAAAAACTTACAAGTAGAAATTATTTTAAATATCCCTGGGTCATTTAATTTTCTTCTTTTAGTTCGGTTTCTAATATCCACATGCTCTTTTGTTTGTAAATAGCAAGTAGTTGAAAACAAAAAAGAAAAGAACAGTAAACTAGACAAATCAAAAATCAATGTGTAGGGGCGTAAAACATTCTCATCTTGTTCCCCTCTATTGTGTGAATTGGCGGCAGAAAGGAAACTAATTAGGTGCGTGGAGCTTGGCGAGTTCAACCAACTTTGAAAATGCAGAGTTAAAATTTTGATCAGCTCGCGCCGCCCACCATCTATCAACAAATATATCAAAAATGGAAATATGGCCAAGAGCGCGTGTGGATCTCGCGTCAACTTGCGGCAGCTTCATACCACCGGGAGGGAGGCTTTTGGCTAAACCAAGGACTAGTGTGTGTGTGTGTGAAAGGTTGAAGAAATTAACTCGTCCTGCCTGAGCTAGAAAGACAAAATTAGATCTTTGTAGCACCGCGGGTGTGCGGATTTTGACCACCACAGCCTTGTACGACCAGGGAGTTTTTCCGTGCATAATACTATCTCATTAAATATCAAATCAGAAAAAAAATGGCAAATAATAAAATCTCTCTAAACGCGGCAATGACGATAAAAATCGATTGCCCGATGGCTGATGCACAGAGCTGATTGATTATCTTCGTTCTTTCTAACTCTTAAAAATAAAAAAAGAAAGAAAAGCACATGTGTGATTCGTTCTCAATAAAAACAACTTCTCTCGCAAAATGTCTGTGACGCCGGGCAGCAACTTTTTGTTAATTGTTCTGTTTGTGGCAGCAAAAGCAGTCGGTCGGTCGTCTTCATTCTCGATTCTTTGGCTTGTCTTTATTGCTGGGCCTTGCACTGAGGCCCCCGAGCTCAGTTTGATTCGTGCTCTGGTTCTCTTCTGCGTGTATGAGTCGGTTTGAATGGTCGGTTTTGTTTCTTAGCGCATTCGTGGTGCTGCCAGGGAGCGACCGCGCGCGCGAGCACAGGCGCCTTAAAATCCCTCGATGATGTCGTAGGCCTCCAGGGAGGACAGCAGCAGGTAGATGAGCCACAGTGAGAAAAGCAACACCGAGGAGATCATTTTGTAGGGCATTGGTCCGCCCAGCTCACCACCAACACGTTTTGAACGTCTTAACAACAGAATCATGATCGCCAATGCTGCTTCTGAGCAGAATATCGTCACTGAGAAGGCAAGGCTGCAACAAGGGAAATTCATTAGTTTTTGTCTTATAAAGGAACAAGTTAGTGATGAAATTCAATATTTATATTTTCCATTATTTCATTCTTTTTTCTTAATATTTATTTTATTATGGCTAAAAATTACAGCATTTTTCCCATCTTGAGAAGAATTAAAATTAAATTTTTATCAATGAAAAAATGGGTTTTAATCCAATCAAGAAAAATAAGTCATAATAAAGAAAGCAATTGGAATCAATACTTACTTTCCAGGATTGACCTTGAAGGTTTCTCCCTTAAGTGCGTGATGGACCGCGGCGATTGACCAGGCAATGCCGATGCCCAAGAACACGTTGACAGCATTGCTTCCTGTCACATTGCCCACAGAAGCGTCAGCGTATTTGTCCTGGATGGCAGCCACTTTGCTCGCAAATGTGTCTATTTGGGAAAGAATTTCCGGATTAATTTGAGAACTCTTCATACACAGGCATCCAAGACTCAAAGACTTGTGTCGGCTTCACGGCTCTTCAAAATTTACAGAGTAAACAAAGTTTCTTTTTTATATTTACATTCCCGTCCATCCCTTTGCATCAACTGCTTTTGTATCTTTTTAAGATGAAAAGAAAACAATATATGTTCCTGAAGGCAGAGTTGTGATGAAAACCGCGCTTTAAAAAAAGAATGCACTCTTTCTTCTTCAAAGGATTTGGTTATTCAGCTTATTTGCTCGCTCACTCGAGAGAAGTCTTTGAGTCTTGCATGCACCCGCATCAAATTTAGCAGACCAACAGCTTGCACTTAATGAAGCTTGCGGTGGTTGTCAAAAGTTAACAGGTCTAATTAGCACTAGCATTGTTAGTTAAACTAGCTTTTTACTTTGTTAATATTTTTAGTAGATGATTCGCACACAGCATGGCAAGTTTTATAGAAATGATATGATTGAGTTAATTGAGAAACACACAAACATTATAGATTAAAAGAATAGCAGTTTGTTTGATAAACCTTGCAGTCAGCAAAATAGACGTAACTTCAACGTGAAAATTTTCAGATTCTTGTCCATCGAACACGCAGAAAATAAGGCAGGATGGCGTTAAGAAACGATTATAATATTCAAGTAGGTTTAATTAAGTGGAAAACTTACGTCGCACATATTGAGAAGATTAAGAAACTTTCAAACAAAATAAAAAAAGTAAATCCAAGTAGCTCCAAAAAATCGCGTGCGAGGTTACATTTTTTTATTTAAAGAAATTGAACAGGGTAGAAAAAAATAAAATAAAACGGACTCGGAGACAATTAATTGATTGCATTGCGGTGGTCGTCCGGCCGGAAATTACCTGGCACTGAGGTGCCCAAAGCGACTATCGAGATGGCGGTCACTGCGTCGCGAATGCCGAGCGTGCAACCAAAATGCGAAGCAACGTCTCCGATCAGACCCGTCAAAACGCCAACCCACGCGATCGAAATCACAAAACAAACCCAGCCACCTAATTGGTCTGTTTGGAGGAAATAAAAGTTCATATATTTGTTTAAATTTTTCTTAATTAAGACAGGGAAAAATATTTTTTTAATTAAAAAATTTACATTAAACAAAAAAGGTTTAGATATTCATGTCAAATTATCATGTTTGTGCGTGTGTGCGTTTTTGTTTTTCGACCTGACATTATAAATTAAGCCACCTGATTTCGCTTCACCACTGCCTAGCCCTGGTTAAAAGTACCTGGTATACTAGTTCCTAGCGCTACTATAGAGATGGCCGTGACCGCGTCTCTGATTCCGAGTGTGCAGCCAAAATGCGACGCAACGTCGCCTATAACGGCCGTTAAAATCCCAACCCAAGTGATTGAGACGAGAAAACAAACCCAGCCGCCCAGTCGGTCTATTAAGACAAATTCAAGCCGGTGATTAGTATCAAAGTAAATTTTCTACAACTACGAATGGAGTATTTTACATGATGGTAAATATGTCTCTTGCTAATAATCACATAAAACACAGTAATGGCGAATATTCTGATTAATTTGCAAGATGAGCAGCTTGATGAGTTACTTGGTTTATTTACACTGATGACTGTGTCTAGCTATAACATTAAGCCGAGAATGTACTGCTACTGAAACAGAAGCCACTTTGTTCCAAAATTTTTTTTTTAAATATAAATGCGAATTTAAATACTTTTGGAACAAAACGTTGGCAGGTTAGTAAGTGTTGCGCAAGCTGCAAAAGCAGACGTCAGTGAGGCCCTTTTACCTGGCACTGAGGTGCCCAGGGCAACAAAAGTGATGGCAGTGACAGCGTCCTTAACTCCCACAGTGCAGCCGAAGTGCGACGCCACGTCGCCGATCACCCCGGTCAGCACGCCGATGCAGAATATGCAGACGACGAAACAAATATAGCCGCTGCAAATATCTGCAAATCCATCGTTTTCCGCAATTTCTATTCGAGGTAGGCAACTTGCGTGACGCGCGCGTCCGGCACGTAGCCTACCCGCTTAACTACTCTCTTTTCCTACTCTACTTTTTGTCAGCGCTTCTGCTTCGGTCTTTTGAAAAAGTTAATATATCATTTTCGTTTCGGAACAAATAACTAATTCCAGTCGCGGCGGACTGTCATTGTCGCGCCAGGGAGGCAAAAATAAATCACGTGGCAATCCCAAGATTCGAAGCAGACGCGCTCGGAATTCATTTATTGTGCGTTTGCCCCATGTGTGGTGCTGGAGAAATGTCGGCCGTGTTTTTGTGACAACAACAAAATGAATTATGTGTCCACAGGATCAGCTGCATTAGTATTCTGCTGTGGAAAAAGCGATTATCTCTGCGCCACTCGCCAGCGAAAATTGTGGCCAATAATTTTGAATTTTTGCATATGGCGCAGAGAGCTCTGCATAAAATAACATGTGTAAAATGAGTTGCCGCAAGTGAAACCTGGAAAGAGTTTTATTAACTGACAAAAAAAATTCAGCTCCCGATTGGCATGAAAATCTGTGATGGATGAATTAATTTTGATTCAAATACGAGAGGGTCAGTTCCATTACCTGTGGGGGGCACAAAAGCGAACAGGAGCTTCCAGAAGAGAGTGAGGAAATGCATGACGTAGTCGCCGCAGGTGGGCAACTTGGGCTCGGCACCCTCTTCCTCGTCGTCGTCTTCGCCTTAACAAGAGAGAAAATAATGTAGGTTGCTTTTAAAGTAACGAGATCAAAAAAAGGAGTGATTTTGTTGGTTTCTAGTTTTAATTAGTTGAAAAATTCATCTCAAATATATTTATAAAAACAACTTATAATTTTTCCTGCTTGTATAACGAATTGTAATGAGGAAAGGAAAATCCTTTGAATTTTTGCTTGATATACCCTCCAGCTTTAGGGAATTTTGCCATAAATTTTTCTTTACCCTTCAGAACCTCTGAATGAAACTGTAACGCGTTGGAAAAATGCTTTGAAAATTTAATTACAGTATCCAAGCACTCCCATTAATCATTCCCAATGCCAATCGCATTGAAACGTTGCCAAAAGCTCAATCTTTTGGCACTCTTTCGTAAATGAAATGGGATGGAAATTCCGTGCGTGCCAGGAGGAATAAAAATAATTTACCTGCGGAAACGGTGATGGCCTCAACGAACTGCTCCTTCCAAGAGGATGTGCCAACCATGATGGAGGCATTTGCGCGTTGGACGAGCTTGTCTACAGTGTTCTGCAACGGCAAATTTATATAATTAGTCATTTGTTGATTTTTAAAAATTATTATTAACCCACGACCTAATTAAAAAAAAGATTTACCTTGAACTCTTTGCTCTCCTTGATCCTGATCTGCGCCCTGATGACGTCGCCAAGCTTCGGCCTGCCCAGCAGAGCCATCTTGTCCTCCTCGGTCAGCTCTTCAGGCTTCTTGCCCTCAGCCTCTGCTGCCCTTCCTGCTTCGTCTGCGGGGAAAAAAGCAAAATGAGCGAATGCAACACAGACGCGTCCGGTTGAATACGAAGACCTAATCAAGCACACTTTTCCAAAGACATGCAATTGGCGCCGCCACCGACAGAGGACTGCAGTGGCCGACCGCCTTAATTTTGGCTTGTTTAGTTGCTTTGCGTGTGCGAGCGTGTCGAGTTATATCACGTGTATTTTTTTTCTGTGAAAATGATGGCCACTCTGTATATCGCGTTTGTTTGTTTTCTTGCCGGCGTGCGTGTGTTGATTTTTTATTCTATAAGAGTCTAGTGTTTTTTTCTATTTAAAGAGGCTTAATTTAAAAAAAAGTTGAAATCTAAATCCCTCTTGAGCTGGTATAATTTAAAAAAAAATCCCTCTTGTGGCGGGATTTTGTTGAAGGGGCTGTTAATAGCGTTTGCATCTATCGACAAAGGAATTCTGATGTTTGTTCGAAGAAAAGGCGGAGAGGCAGAGAAGACTCGTGCCATTCAAATGAGGCTAATAAGCATCAGGAGGCTCTCGTGGGGGCTGATTTACCACTGACAAGGAGGGATGCGTTCTGATGGTGAGTGATTTGCACCGCTCATTCATGCGTGCTCTTCAATTTGCAAGCCCATCGAGCTCTAGTTGCTGCGATGCAGCGTTTGACCTACAAATATATCAGACTCGAGTGCCCACCAGTTTCTTCGAAATGAGTTTTTTTTTTAATCTTATCATGCTCCTTGATTTTATTAAAACTTGCTTTTTAGGTATTCTTCAGTCACATACGTTTGAATTTTATGTTTCCAGTGATGGACAGCCAACATTAAATATATTGAAACATTTAGTAAATACATAATATGGAGAGTGAGAATTGAATTTAATCACATTTAGATTTAGATCTGACCCATCGAACATCAAAAGTGAAAAGGGAAATGTATGAAATTTTCAAATACAGATGGTGAACATCAACTGTACAATACTTATTACGACCAGGTTTAGATAATGATGCTCCACAGTAATTACATTGAAACAACTATTAAAATGACTGATGACATTTTCCACATACATGTATATATAAATTCATGAAACACATAATTATTCTAAACATTAATGGATAATACATGAATGTGATGAACAGAAATATTAATTCAAAAGTGAATTTATACCAAAATATCAAGTGCCTGCAGAATCCAATTTTGCGTCGCAAACAAATTTGCACGATAAGTTTTGATGTGATTAGTTGAGTCATGCATGATTTTAGTGTTGACAGAGTAAGCACTCTACATATATTATATGTCAATAGCGAATTTATATGTAATAATTAACCGCAGCACTGTGTATGTAAATGTGTTGCAGCATTTGTGTTTTTGTAGATTTTTTATCAACTCTGCTGCTCTATTCAACGTATAATGTTCGTGTTAAAATGCAAGCACGTTTGTTTGTTCGTTCATTCAATGCTTTGGCTATTATTATTTCCGGCTAATAAGCCTTTGTTTGTGTTGTAGTTGTTTTCCCTCAGCGGCATATCTGCTGATGCACATCGTTTCTGCGGCTAAAAGCACTGCTCTGCTATCTGTGTGTGCGTTGTTGTTTTTTATAGTCCGGCGCAACTTAAACTTTTTATTGCATGTCTATTTCAATTGTATAATATCACGAAAAAAAACATAATAGTAGCAACAGTGCGCTTTCCTAGCTAATTTATTGTTCCAGCAATAATTTGTGAGCTATTCTAGGAAAATATCAATCAGATATTTCTACCACCTATAAATCTGCATAACACTTAACTTGATTGACTTCATCAGCATCATCAAATTACACGAACTTTCAAAGTGCAATTCTCTGTTTTTAAAACATGCCATAAACCCAACTCCTGTTTGAAAGTTGCTCAAATGCATTTTCGGGGTTCAAAATTGTATACAATCAGGTGATTTTGTACAGTTTTAGAGGGCAATTTACTTGGGCAGGACGATTTTATCAAGAATTTTTAACGTTCTTACTTTGTGCTTTTTATGGGAACTCACAGTTGGACCTGGGTTAAAATGCATTAATCAGAACATATAATCTCGTAATTAATGCTTTTGGCTGAAAACGGAGAAGAAAAAGTAAAAAGGGCTTTGTGAAAAAAGTTTCACGTGAGGTTTGTGGAGGGAGAAATTATATTCAACTACTTTTCAGTATCTAAATGACAATGAAAAATCTATTTCTTCTTAAAACAGGGCAGGTTGGCGCATGAGAATTATGAGATACTGATTGGGAATTTCATGGTGTGCTGATGAAACCAAAACTCGGCGAGTTGAATTGACGAACAGGTTAAAAGGAGTGGTTAGTGGCGTCAGCATAACACGATGCAAATGAATGGATCGAGGGACAAAGGATGCAGAGACAAAAGCGTGCTAAATAATTAACAGAACAGAGACAGGCTTGAGAGAGAGCGCCACTTACATGGGTCCAATTATGGTCACGGAATCACGCGGAATCAAGGACACACGTACGTACGAGTGATTGGGTTCAAAAAGGAGCAAAAAAACAAGAGACAACGAATTAATAATTGCACCCTGGAGATATTAAACTTTGGTTGCATCAACTGAGACAAATGAAAAGTAAACCAAATAATAAGTGGAAGAAAATAAAAAAAGATTTTGAAACTTATAAAACGGACCACAGGGCATTTCTAGGAATGTGAAGAGACGGGAAAAATTTTCTCGTGATTTGCGTCGAATTGTAAATAACTAAGGAGGCGCCTGGACAATGGACAATCACAATAGCTTTTCCAATAATTTCATTTCCTCTGCGCCAAATTTTCATGTAGGTTGATGCGAGCAGCGAGAGGCAGAAAAAAGACAAGAGACAAGTTTGGCACTCACAAATCAATTTAGCGGCAGCAGCAGCGAAATCGACAAAAACTATATAATTTGCATGTCAATGTGTATGATTGATATTTTTTAGTATTTTGATTAATTCGTGAATGAGATGAGAGGATGGCTTTGCTTAATTCATACACATCAAAAGCTAATTAAATCATATTATTCATAATTAACGCACTACCTCAAAAGATACTAATGATTGGTTAATGATAATACGGCACACAGTAAATCTATTATTTTAAAAACAGCAGAGGATTCTTGGATTTATGAAGTTTATTTTCATTTTGTGTATTTTTTTTTATGTGGCTGATAAATATCTTTGTCGTTTTTAAAATCTAAAACTTATTTTAAGGGTGTTGCTAATTATATTTTTATTTTCAGGCTTTTTCTTATTCTTTTTAATGTTCTAACAAAAAGGAGACGGAAAAAAATGGGCATTACTGTTTACGTTTTTCAGCTTGCTTTTAGGCGGAGGTCTCTTTTCTTTTTCCGCCCCTCGGCAATAAAGGGAAGACTAAAAGCCCTTGCGCAGGTGAAATAATTGAAAGTGCCGTTGGTTGTGTTTCCGCGCGCGCCACTATCACGTTATATATCAGGGCGTGCGACGCGCCAGTCTTTTACGGCCTAATATTTTAAAAGGCTAAAAGGTCTCCGCGGGGAGACGACAGATTGCTTGCTTTTGGCACACACCGCGCGCGCGTCTAGATTACCTCGGCAAATGTACATCATCGTTATTTAGAGACTCGCGATCCGTCACAACCCATTGTGTGTCTTATATTTTTTCGTCAACACACAATCTCGACGGAAGAAAAAATGATTAAACGATCCGAGTTTGTTTGTATATATTTCAAAGGAAAACGACTTCTTCTGCTATATTGTTGATGTAAACGAGGAGATGCGTGGGCGCTCCTGTCATTCCCCACTTAAATATCTCTAGACCGCACTGCTATCAAAGAGAAAGTATCAAAACTTTGGCGTAAGAGCATCACATGAGTGTGTTTGGTCTTTTTTTCTGAGCCACTCTGCGGACGACTACAAAACTGATAACAAGCCCTTTTCTTGTGCACAAAATGTGTTTGCCCAACTTCATTCGTCGACCACATCACCCACTTCAAACCCTCTCTTGCCGATGGGCAAAAATGAACTCGTCTCTTTGTGTGCTCAGACCATAAGAAATAAAGAGGTTAATATTTTTTATAGCTCTTTATAGAATTTAAAAAAAGTTTATCCTCTATATACAGTAATTGTACTTTTATTTAAAAATTGCTCAACTATTTCTAACATGCTCTTATTTTGGATTTTATAAATAAATACCAAAAATAATAAGTTACTAGTGTTTTATGAGGGGATAAAAAATAGTAACAACTCCATACGTTTCTATTATTTTTCTCTTCTAAAGAGTTTATCTATAATCTATAATATCAATAACCTGCTTTTGCAGCGCGTGTGCCAGACAGAGAGAAAGCTACAGGTGACGTTCCTTTTATTTAAATTTGGTACATACGTGGAGGAAATTCAGAAAGGATACAAATTTAGGTGTGTTCTTGGTAGAAAAAGAGATCGTTTTTTCCTGAACCAGTTGAGAGCTCGAGAAAGCAGCAGCACTATTTTTTCAAATAATTCCCGTCGCGTTTGTTTACTTTTGAAATATATAATTAAGCTTCAGCAAAAAAGGTTTTCAGAAGAATTAAGTTCCATCCATTTATCGACCGCCTCGCGTGTTTTAACTACAGCGCTCATGTAATAATGCACGAGTGCTCTTGAAAAGATTATTTCCGTGCAGAGTGAGTTTATATTGTTTGGCGCTTCAACATAACACTTTGCGCGGTCTGGGTGGGCGGCATTGATAAGAGGCCTTATTAAATTAAAACAAGAAGTTTCTTATCGCGCTGGCTGCTTTGCTCGCAGGCAACGAAAATTGCTGCTTGACCTTCTCGAGACAGACTGATTCTGTCTGGTTGGGAAATAAGAGGATTTGGGTTCGTGGTCCTTAATTCCTTGGGGCAAAAAAGCTCCCGGGGATGAGAATTAAATGAAAACAAAAATGAGAAAGAGAGAGAGAGAGAGAAAAACGGGTAACAAAATGAGAGAAAAGTGGTGTGAAACCCCAGCATGCAGCCTTTCTAAAGCGTCGCTTTCGTTTGAGCCACAATTAATGCAGCCCGCAAATTGTCCTCTTTTCTTTTCACTGTGCGGTGCGCGTTGAAGAGAGGAGCGGGTCTTGCGGTGCCTGCGTTTGTGACAAAGAACTTTAATTTTGCTTCCTTTGAGGTTTTGAGAGGAAAATTACAAAAAAAAATATATATTTAATAAAGATTTCCGTTGCTATTAATTGTGGCTCGAATGGATTTGAAAGCGCTTTGACTGAACTCGACTTCCTAATTCAATGAGGTCGGCGACTTTTCCATATTAAAATTGGTGAAAAGGGGTTGGTGCCAGTTATGAAAAAGAAAACGTGGGATTTTGGTGGTGAATATAATTGACTGGTAATTATAAGTGTGAGAGAAAAAGAGAAAATGTCGGAGCTAATATGGTTATGAAAGAATCAAGTGTGGAAAAAAAGCAAGCGACAAAGTCGTACCTCCGAGCATCTTGGGCTCGCCGAGCTGCACGTAGAATAGAACGTCCTTCTCGTAGCTGTCCTCCTCCATGATGTGCAACGGGATAACTTTCCTGCAACACAATAAATAACGGATTGTTATGGAACCGTGATTGTCAAACAAAAGATAAAAGACCCTATTCAAAGTCAATTCGGGGATTGCAAAATGAATATTTGATGCGAATATTGTAATTTCGTTTCGACCCTTTGCGCAACAGAGTCCGTTCGCCTTGGGCAACAAAACAGAGCCGACCCCATCCATTTATTCGTGTAAAGATGTAGTTTGATTTTATTTATTTGCAGCGCGTGTCAGCATCAGATGCTCCCGCCGTATCGCGGAGGGAGTCAAAGTAACCCGCTCTCGCCCTCTCTGGTGAGGGATGGGGGCTCTCGAGGGTCTGGTGTTGCTATGGAAACGAGCGGGCACAGCAGCACTTCTTCTTTCCTTTCATTAGAGGTCCCACTGACTGACTGACTGACATTCCCACCCAAAACTTTCCAACTCATCCGCTTTGCATGCGACTTGTTCACGGTAAAGATGACTTTTTTCTCCTCCACCGAGGAAGGAGACGAGAGATGCCATCTCAGATAAAATGCTAGTCTTGATTACAAGGAAAAGCTCCACAACCTTGCGATTATTGCCCGGGCTTGTTTGGCAGAGGAAACAAATCAAAAGTCACGCGATTGTCCATTCAGTTGGCGTGAGAGCGATAAAATTTTATCTTCTGAAATGATCTCCTAAAAATAGCATCAAAATTAATCAGAAAGTAGTGTTGCTAGTTTTGACCAAATTTGAATTTCCACAAGAGAATATTTGGAACCTGTAAATGTGGTGTTTTGATTTAATTTAACAACAATTGAAGCCCTACCAAAATTTCCATTTAATTTTCTAAATTCTAATTTCGATGCGCCCACGGGTTTCAAATTTGAATATGCAACATTCCTAGAAGTGAGTCAAATGTTTTCGTGCTAACGAGATTTTCTATCGTTTTAAATAAATGCATTGTTCATGTTCTCGAGTCTAGAAAAACATTTGCATAAACCTTCCATTTTGCTACGAAAGGGTTATATCGTTGTTTGAAAAACAATAACGCAAATGGATGCAATCTTTCAGCAAGAGCCAGCTGTGTTCACGGTCTAGTTCTGCTTGCAACAAGAGAGGAATTCCTTCAGGCTGCTCATCACAAACCGCTTTTCCGTGCTTTGTGCTAATGCAAAACGCTTGTCCTGCCACCGCGCACGAAATCCGCGTGCGTGGAGTTTTATTATTTTAATTTTCTTAAATGCCACCGGTAAAACGAATGGGACGAAACGACCCTCGGGCGCAGTCGGCCGTGGAAACAAAAAGCAGCCAGGAATAATTGCGGCGATATGGGACGCACGTCAGCAGCGGTGTGTAAAGGGCTGGGTGCTCTGGCTGGGCCCGGCGCAGGGAAGAGCGGGAGCTGCCGGCGAAAATAGGTCACGCGCGGCAACAAATGGGCCCGAGTGAGACCGACGAGATAAAGAGCGGGTCTTGCGCTTAAATTGCGTCTCCGAACTGGCATCGCTGCAGGCGCAAGACGAGCGCGAACAAAAACAACGGCACAATTTCATTTCGTAACAACTGCGCGATGTTTTTCATTTTGCCTCGCACTCTATTATATGTCGAGGAGTAACAATTTTGAACCAACTCGAGTGCTTTTGCAAGAGCGGAAAAGTCTGCCAAAGCCAGAGAACAAGTCGCAGTGACGTGTCTTGTATGATATAGCGGAAAATTATAACTTCAAAAATTTATAAAGGCAATGTTACAAAGTTTAAGACAAAACGGATTTTTTTATTTGAAAATTATGAGATTTTGTGGTTGCCACAAATGAATATTTAAATTCTCAGAAGGGAAAATTCGTTAGAAAAATTTGTTCCCACGAGAAGGTTTTTTATAGAGTTCCTGGAAATAAGAAAAAATTATATTGGCCAACTTAGTTTCAAAATTAATCAAGGCTCGCAACAATGAAACATACTTTGATTGTTGTTTGATTTGCAAGAATCAGAAAGCTCGGCAACAATCAAATTTTGCTCCAATCGTTTTAATGTCTTGATAAAAATGAAATGGAGAGATCGGGCAGAAATTTTTTTTTATTCAAAAATATAAAAATCTTTCTACTTTAAATTTATAAAATTAAAATATTTATCCTGATACAGTCCATTTAAAAATTTCCCAGTTCCAAATTTAACTAAATCAATATAACAAAATTAACTCAAAAATTAAAAAATAAATTCATTTTCCCTTGTTTTGGCGCTCATGTATTTAAAGAAAAATTTTGAAATTAATTTCAACGCAAATTTTGTAAAAAAGATATTTTACCAGGCCATTGTTTCAAACTATTCTTGTATTGATTTCAGACAATTAACAGATCAATCAAAATGCAACTCAAATAACTTGCAAATTATTAGTTCCTAAAATTAATCCCTAAAAATTTTACGGTGAAGAGCTAAAACAAATTCAACTGCTGGAATTAAATTTTCCAAAATAAGCTTGCGGATGCTCATGTAATTTTAATTGAAGTTTAATTAAGAAGTTTCAAAAATCTCTCGGAATTAAGTAATAAGTTGGTGATGCTGAGCGGAGAGGACGGTTTTTGCTCGACTAAACCAATGTTTGCCCTAATCCCAAGTCGAGAGAGTGCTCGGCGAATGTTTTCTTTTGCTCGACTTGCGGCGCACGAGCGGATTTCCATAATGCTTCTCAGCAAGCTCAGCTCTTTATGCCCAGCACGAAATTTTCTTTCCGCGCCGTGGGAACAGTTTGCCGGATATTGCGAGTTGCAAATCAAAATTGGGTGCGGCCGCTGCTGCTGTTGGCAAAAGTTATTTTGCGGATCGCCGCTCGTCCGCCACCAGACAGACTTTCCTGCTCCGCACACGACGGAAACGCACATGAATAATTTTCCGACAAATCGATCTCGTAATTTATTCACGGGTGGACTGACGCGTATGTCCGTCCCATTGTAACTTGTGAATTTTGCCCGGCACAAAATTGACCGGCTGCTTTTCTTTTCCGAGAGAGACGGCAATTTTCGCAGAGAGCGGACGTGATTGAGCTGAAAAGCGGCCTCGCAACTAACAGCTCGTCAACGCGGCCGAAAATCGACGGCAGACGAGCAGCTCGTATATGCAATAAAGATAAAAGCATGCACATTAAGGCCATTCGTCGCCAGCTGAAAACGGCCCCCTGCTGAGTTTTCCATCTTCATCCTCAAATTTTGCGCCTTTTCAAGGACTTCTGGCTCGTGTCTGACGCCAAAACTTCCACGTCTAGACTGAGTATTTTCTTAACGACGAAACAAGAAGCTTAAGTTAGTGCAAAAAGCGGGGACATTTCTTTTATATCGCTTTTTTTGTCATTTAAAAGTCTGAAGAAAATTTACAGAACAGCCCAAAAATTAGAACTTGCCGATTGCATTCTACAGTAAAAAAAAACACAACAATATGAGATTAAACTAAAATTAAGCCAACAGCAGCATTTACAAGGTCAAGCGGGTCAATTTCAAACCAAACAATCTCTTTACATTAATTAACAGTGAATTGATTTAAAAAATAATAATAAATAAACCGATTTTTACGTTCACTCCTAATGGCCGTTTTTGAAAAGCACTTTTTTTTTTTTAAACGAATTTCTTTTAAAATTATTTTCAATCTTTTTACATCTGTTTTACTTTGAATTTCACTTAAATAGATTTAACAAAATCGCAAAAACTAAATTTCTTTTGCTGAAATAAATAGAGAAAGAGAAAATTTTCGTTTTTGTTTCAAAAAGCTATTTGGAGAATTCTACCTAAAAAATCTGCGTCACATTCACGGAGTTCAGCTCCATTAAGCGTTGGATATATGTATATTGTCAGCTGCCACGCGCTCACGCAGCCCATTAGGTGCAAGATTCGCGTCGCCCGCAAACAATCAGCATCTTTGAGATGCCATTAACGCCGGATCGATCGCAGCATTCCATTCAGTCCGATGCTTTCTTTCGCCTGATAGCGGCAGGCAATAATTTTTTAGTGCCCTTTAAAAAGGCCCTCCCCGCTTTGTGTAGGAAGAACTCTCCTGGCAGAAAGCGAGGTGGAATTTCGTCGCGTTTAACCCGCAATTATACGACACCAACGGCTTGTGTTTCGTGCACGCTTTAGTAAAAAAAATGCGGCTCAAAGTGAGAGGTTGAGCACTTTGTCGCTGCTCAGTGCGTTTTATTTTTTTCACTTTGCGTGTTTGCCCGTAGAAACGCAGAGAGGCATTCATAAAATAGGCTCCGGCAAGCTTCACCAGTAGTAAAAAAAAGTGTGTTATTTATTATGGAAACGAATTAATTTTTTTTCATATCCACAATGTTTTACAACTAGGAATTAAGATTAAAGAATTTTCTAGGAAAACTATTGACCTAATAAATTAATACAAAAATGAATCCATAATGCTATGATTTTATTACATTTGTTTTGTAAAAAACCTGAAGGTAAATTTAAAAAAAAAAAATATTAAAAAAAACTTTTTTTCAATGTATATCATACTGTTATAATCGTTTTAATATGGAGGACTTTAAAATAATATATTAATTAGATAATTTAGAAGAAAATTTACTTTTAATTTTTTTTTTAACAAAATGTTCTTGTAGACCTTGTTGTAGCAATATAAAGAGTTTTCCTTTTTCATTTAACCTCTCCTTCGTCTTGATACCCCGTGAAAGTTCTGTTGTGAGAATCCCCACAAATTTTTTTTCTCAGCAAAACACGGAAATTCACAGCTAATTTCACTTCACGCACGCCTTTCGGAAAAGAAAAGGAAAGTTCATAGCGTGACGTGCGACGTGGGAACGGTTAAGTTGTGGGCGGCTTACGATTTGTAGTGTGTTTACAAACGCAAGCAGCCGCGTGCTTGATCAAACGCGAAATCACATGCACGAAAGCCTGCTGGAAAAGGCGGTAGGTAGATAAATATCCTGCTCTAAAAGGGTCCTTTGCAAATACTGAATTATGGAACTTCAGCTCACTGACAGAGACAGAGAGATGGACTGAGCCAAAATCGGATATTGGGTGAATGGGCAGTC